TGTCCGTCGTCTTCCTCACATCGCTCGTGGGTTTTCCCTCAACTCTAATGAAGCATTGTCACACTGCGAGTCCTGCATCATCGCCAAACATCCACGGCTGCCTCATCCTTCGTCACAATCTCCTCCTGCTTCCCGTTTCCTTGAGTTAGTTCATTCCGATGTTTGCGGCCCCATTCCGGTACTCACTCCTCACCATAAACGTTACTTCATCATATTCCTCGACGATCATACGGGACTCCTGGACCTCCAGCTTTTAGCCACCAAGGATCAAGCTCTAGATGCATGGAAAAGTGTACGTGCAAGGTGGGAGACCCGCTCAGGACTTCGCGTCATCGCCTTTCGTTCAGACAACGGTGGAGAATTTCTTAATGATGCATTTACCGCTGAACTGCAAGCAGCTGGGATCGAGCGTCAGCTCTCCGCGCCTTATTCGCACCAGCAGAACGGACGGGCTGAGCGTGTCCTTCGCACCATTGAAGGAAGGATGTACGCCATGTTAAACTATGCGCGTCTTCCTAGGAATCTCTGGGGGGAAGCAGCCTTAACGGCTGCATATCTATTCAATCGCACAGAGTCACGTGCACTACCTGCGGGCAAGACGCCCTATGAGATGCTACATAATGTTCAACCCGACCTTTCTCACATTCGCGTCTTCGGTTCCCGCTGCTTTGCACGTATCCCTTCCGAGCTCCAGGATAAGCTGGGTCCGAAGTCACGCGAGGCCTATTTTATGGGCTACGCCCCTGGTGGGCGTGCTTGGCGCTGCAGAGACAAAGCTACCGGTACCTTCTTCAACTCGCATGACGTCATCTTTGACAAAACATTCTCGGGCCGACCTTTTCCACCGGATGATGACTCAGACGATGAAGACACAACATTGGCTCTTGCGAGTCCCTCCACACCTTCCTTGTCGAATGTGAATGCAACTTCAGCAGCACTGGCACCTCTATCAACAGAACCTCGTCGGTCTGAACGTGTCCGCTTGCCCACTGAACGTGGGCAAGTCTTCCAGGAGAAGCTAGTGTTGGATCGCGAGCGTTTGGCACGTCAGCGTGAGTTGCGTCAAGCTCGCATTCAGGGGGTGCCTCTTGAGGGGGTGAATGCGCCTGACCACGTCACCGCTGACTTAGATGCTGATGCCATTGTCCCGGATGAGGATGAAGTTGGTTATCCTCGTGTACTTGCTAATCTCATCGCCACTGAATTTGCCTGCGTCACCATCCGTAGCGATACTCGCAGAAACCCACTTGCCGCAGACTATAATATGAAGATACCACCTTCTACTTTCGACGAAGCAATGCAACGCTCAGACTGCAATGATTGGCTCAATGCCATGCGCAAGGAAATCAATCTAATGTCCGAAATGAACGTTTATGAGCTTCGCAAGCTTCCAGCGGGATGCAAGGCTATAGGATGTAGATGGGTCTTGGAGTTTAAAGAGGACACGGAAGGTGGGCCTGCGCACAAAGCTCGACTAGTAGCACAGGGATTCTCGCAGGTACCAGGCATTGACTTTGGCAAAATGTTCGCACCTGTCGCCAGACCATCATCGATCCGACTCCTTTCCGCGCACGCAGCAGCCCATGACTGGGAGGTTGACAGCTTTGACGCAAAGCGTGCATTCCTGTGGGGAAAACTACGCGAAGATGTTTACATGCGGCAGCCGCCTGGTTTTGAGTGCCTCGATCACAACGGGAGAAGCTTAGTATGCCATCTTTTGTCCTCGCTCTACGGGCTGAAACAAGCTGTGTACGACTGGGATGAACTTCTGTGTGCTGTTCTATCACGTTTGGGATTTGTTACAACAAACGGTCGTGTGCGACTAGGATGATCTAAACAGCGACAACCACGACAGTGGTACCGAGTGCTGAGAGTCATCGGCCTTTACAGACAAGCAAAGGTTGCGTACTCGAACATAGCTCGTGGTGGTTAACGAGGGGTTACGCCGAGATGATAGCGGGTTTACAGACAGTGAGAGGCGTCACTGAAGGTACGAGTCGATGTCGAGCAGGTAGCTTTAGCGGGACAAGGAGTTCAAGGGTAAACCTAGTAAGATTAAAGTAAGGAACGTCTACTTTAATCTTCGACCTTATATAAGGCTACTCTTCGTATCTAAGCTCAGCCTAAAGCTGGGTTCTAATCTGCTTATCTACATGAGTCAGAGATAGCGTCCATGAGGCGGGCTTCTATCGTAGATAGGGTCCATGCGGTACCCTTCTATCAGTACATGAGGCAGCACGAGGCTTGCCTTCTATCGGTACATGAGGCAGCACGAGGCTTGCCTTCTATCTTGATAACATAAATAGGTCTTCTAGACCTATGTCGTCATGTGTCGTCACGTGCGGTCCAGACCGCTTATCTAAGCCAGCAGTTGCTGCTTATCATCTATCATCATCTATCGTCATCTGTTGTCATCTATCATCATAGAGCTGGTGAGACTCCGGTATCGTCTATAGCCGTGCGGTGGCAGAGGGCTGTCTGCTGGCAGGGGACTCATGCCATGTTACTGTAACAGGATTCTTATGTTGCGAGGCTGACTATGCCGTCTTCATATACAATCACACCACCAGCGAGGGGGTGCATGTCATCTGCATCATTGCATGGCATGTTGATGACGGCCTTGCAGGGTGCAATAACCGGAAGTTCCTTGATTGGATCAAGGGTCACATTGCTGAACGCTTTGGAATCACAGACCTAGGGCCAGTCATTAAGCATCTGGGTGTCCAATATGTCCGTTCTCGCGCTACACGAGAATTATGGATGCATCAGCAGGACTACATAGTCTACCTTCTCGAAGAGCATGGCCTCCGTCACTGTAATCCTGTCTCACTCCCCATGGACCCAGCCTTTCCTTTCGGACGGGACACTGATGTCCATCCTCAAATCGACAATCTCCAGTCAGAATATCGCAAGCTTGTCGGAGAGCTGCTTTATCTCGCCATGTACACTCGTCCCGATATCGCCCACGCTGTCATGAAACTCTCCCAATACAACTCTAATCCCGAGCCACGTCACTACGCTGCCGCAAAACGTGTTCTTCATTATCTCTCTAGCACTCTGTCCTATCGCGTGCATTACGGGGGGAAGAATGCAGACACCAGCATTCATGGATTCAGCAATGCTGATTGGGCCATGTCTCCCGAAGATCGTATATCCATCACCGGCTATGTGTGGTATTACTATGGTGGTCCCATCTCGCACGCAGCAAAGACACAGTCAACGCAAGCATTGTCTTCCGTGGAGTCAGAGTACATGGCGTTGACAGGGGCGATTCAGGATGGACTCTGGATCAAATCTTTTTGCGAATGCTTACAGATCACCATCAATCTCCCTCTCAAGCTCTATGCCGACAATACAGGCGCTATTGCACTGTCTGTGGAAGCTGCCAATCATACGCGCACCAAACACATAGATTTACGCTACCATTTCATTAGAAAGCATATTGAGGCCGGCACCTTTCTACCCATCTGGGTCTCTACTCATCGCAACAGCGCCGACATCTTCACCAAAGTTCTTCCACGTCCAACATTCGTCGTTCATCGTGCTGGACTATCACTCGTGGCGGGTTGAGGGGGTGTGTTGGAAGTTTATTCTCTGCATTCGGACGTTGATGAGATAAGTCCGCATGCGGACAGATTAACGTTGCATTTGGCTATTGGGCAACCTCACCACTTCGTCGTATCACATGTTTCATGCTTGGCATCGTATGGTTACCTTACTTCTTGACATTCGAGCTCCGTCTTTCCGTATCCTACAAGTACCTCGTCTTGTTGTCGCTTGCGTCCCTCAGCTGTTGTTCACCAACGCTGAGGTACGCGTATTGTTTATCTTGCTCCAAGTCTCATACTTACTAGATCTTAGCGCACTTTCCAACAGGTACATTAATTATGAATACAGCTGTTGTTCACCAACGCTGAGCGCACTTTCCAACAATATTCTGGTCATTCATAGGTAAGGATCCGACTCTGACTTTATTTATAACCCCCACTATCGCCTACTCTGCCTCTAGTCACTCATTAACGCTACTTCCTTCAAGTTTCTCAAGTCTCCGTCCAGGGAGTCGTGCCGTATGGTATGGTTCAGCAACAAGCATTGTGGTCTATGTTTCTGTCTAAGGAACGCTGGTCTTCGACAATATGGCCAAAGTCGATCCCACATTCGAACTCGATCCTACATTCAAACTCGGTCCCATGGCCAACCTTTATTCCAAGGCCACAAACTGGATTCTATGGCCAGACTCGATCCCATCACGTTCTATAGTACTGCGGCCTGCCAAATTCGATCTTATACCACCGAGCCCGATCCTATAACGCTGTACTTTATTCGAGTCCGTGATGCCTGGTGCGAATCCCCGCTTATGGACCACTATGTCTTGCTTTCGTTGGACTTCAAGACGCTCACAATATCTGTCGTGGTTACCCACTGTCTGTTATTGTCAAATTCTTGCAGGTGGTGTTGACAATGAGATTGGGGTAGAGCACGTGTATTGTACCAAGCATTTTTGTATAACTCGCATACCATCCAATATGATTTCCTGGCCAATCAAGTATAAAACCCATAATATCATAATACCAGTATTTGAAGCAATTGTCTGTATGATGGTACAGATGGCAAGAATTTATATTTTTGTTACTTATTGGACAGGAGAGCCACTGTGCTAGAAATTCTACATGAGAAACACTTCGTTGAACATGTTTCATCACTTCAAAACAGTACTAGTATTTGTCACTACACGATTCATGACAATCATTGGTCATAGGGGATAGCGTTCTAAACACTTATATGCCTATATATCTCGCACTGTCATATTTTAGCCGAATATGGTTATTATCTACATGATAATGTGTATATAATGGTTTGTGGGGAACGGTGGGATTTAGTGATGCCCGTTTGCAAACCACAAGGGAAAGCCAACATGGATGTAGTAGCATCACGTGACTATCGACGAGCGTCCATTGAATTTGTGATGAAAGCGCTTCTGATCAACCAGCACCACTAGCATGGAAATATCACCAATTACTCTCAACCTTCCGGAATGCGCGCCCAATCTCATGCCATTCCACATCTCTCACTCAGGGCCCGCACCAATATCTACGTACTTTCGGGTCAAGCCCTCGCTTTCTAGCCCGCACCTTTCCCTTACACAAAACACGTCAAACGAAACACACCTGTCTACAGACCACAGCCAGAACACCCTCGTTGCTGAAGAGTCTCAATGCTCCATAACCACAATTGCCGAATCACAGTCTACTCCATTAGAGGAGGATTCTCAGACATGTCCTGCAAGAGTGGGCGCTATGGTAGTCGACGCGGATTCTGGGACTCAAGCCAGCTCATCAAGTGAAGTAGCTCGCGCGCCACCTGTGCCATCTCCAGTCGAAGTTGGTATCAACAATAGCTTTATTGCAGCATTCAGAGGGAGGCAGGTACACGGTCGTACCGCAGACCTGCCACAAGGATACGGTGGCATAGTTCTTAGTGCACCAAGCGGTGATGCAAAGAGTCAGGGTGACGACGCTGGGATGGTTGAAAAAATGGCTCAAACAAGAGGCAAGGGTCGAGCAACACGAACATGCAGCCGACAGATGGACATAGATGAGGACGATGCGGTGGATGCAGATCATGACGGCTCACATGTTGAGATTCGGAGACTAACCCCGGTCTCAAGGTTTTCTTCCTTGACCGTTTGGTCCCCAGACATACCGGTGGATGAGGGCAAAGACGAGTATCTTAGGTCTTTGACAGAGTGGACAAAATTAGCGGCAGAGGTACGTTTTCATGTATATTCAGCTATCGTGTCGTGATTCATCTTCAAAGATTCATGCCTATGACGCATAATATGGAGCCTCAGTAGTGGACTGTAAGATGATATATTACTACACGCGTCAGCTGTTAGCCCTGGTTTGGCTAATATCAAAACTCCATCATGCATAGTAATCGACTTGATCGATGCCCTTTCGTCACCGAGTCTTCACGGCTAGATCTCGTCGCTTACTGTGATTGCTGACTACCATCGGAACTTCTGCAAGATCACTCGAAGATTATTTTACACCATTATATCTTTTGGATCATGAACTAGATTCTAGTGGCACTATGACTTAGCTATTAGGTATAGCGACTTGCCTATTCACTTGCGTAGCTCGTCACTCGGGGAGAAACACATCGTCACCGACACGGAATGGAATATTGGCACGAGTGAGAGGTCAATTTCAAGATTTAGAAATTAGGTTTGACTCTCAAAACTCGGGATGACATGACACACCGGGGCAGCTTTGCATTTGCAGCTGGATTATTTTGTTCATTATTCCGAAAGTAGTGATCAACATATCCGTCCAGATTTCGCGAAGCTTTTCATCTCTTGATTGAAATGGCGGTGGCGGTAGAACTTCCAGAAGCAGATTCCAGTCTTTTCCTACGATAACAAATAGGCACGCTGCTTGGCGCAGAGGCACAGTTGCATTTGTACAATCGCTTGATAAGATGGTTTGGCAGGTTAATGTCACGATTCTGGACTCGAGCACCTGATGGGTTATCAATGTTGCCACATCGTTTACATTTCCAGTGATAGGGATTCGAGGTGTTCTCAATTCGTTCCAGGCGCTCAAAATTGCCTGACGCGAGGGGGAACCCTCCACCGTGCACCATCTTACGTTAAGGACGTCGGTTTTCATTGTCGTCATGGCAGGCGAGCGCACGCAGCGAGAAAGAGAGCTATCAAAGAATAGATTCTAGCTCAGTACGAAACGAGAGAAAAACAAATGGCTCACATCTCCGATGAATCCTCGACGATGACCGCGAAGGCACTCATGAACGGGAGTTGCCATCTGTATACTGAGGCTGTTCCTCAATGGAAACTTTGGCACCCAAGCGAGATATTTCTGAGAACGCTGCTTTGAGGAGGTCAAGGTCTGCGTCCAGGCCCTCCGCCCGTGTCTTCATCTACAGAGAAATGAGACTACACAAAGATGCACCTTATAAATCTACACACCGCAGCTATAGTATCACTAGCTGCAATCAGCTCATGATGGTGGTTGTAAACAAGAGACTGCCTATCGCCATCAAGTTGTCGTATTTCTGAACATCCGAGTGCATGAGCAGACGTCTCACACGGTCTTGAACAACACGAACCTGTAAGTAGGTCGTTCTCTCGCTTCAGGAGAGCCGACAGAGATGATGCGGTTATGAGTTGTTCGTAGTATGATTTTGCGTCAAAGGCTGCTGAATCTTCAGTAGCATGGTGAGAATCGAGCTTGAGAACTTGATGACTTTCAAAGCATACCTAAATCCATGGGGTCGTCTGATCTCCCAGGTAGAGGTGGGGGTGGACCTACTCCGAGGCCATAGTGCTTCCTTAAGAGATCTCTAGCACGAGACTTTGCAAGAGGGCCTGGAGGTGTTTTCGTCCGAGGCGTTTGTCCAACACCAAGGGAGGATCGACGAGAATTGGACGGAATTACGGTTGAAGAGCTTTGAGGAGACGTTGGTCGCAGCGGAGATAAGACCACTCTAGGAGCTGACTTCACACGTTGGGCCGTTGGGGATGTAGGTGTAGACTGTGTGGTGGACATGAGAGGTGATGATGATACTCCAATTTGACGCGATCACGTGCCTGTGCATCGGCAACAACTCGGAGTCCGGACGCCGAGTACGTAATTTTATCTGCCGCGGCGGTCACTTGCAAGCATCTAGTATTACGGCCCATGGCACAGATGCCATTTGGGCTGGTTCAAGCACCACTCATATCACGACAAGTTCTCTTCGCAATATCCGTACTAATGTCAACCTTCTATGGCGCATCAAGCTTTCAAGCTCCACCCTGCACGTCCGCCGTTGTTTGAAATAGTATTTTATCACTTGTGCGTACCTAAATTCTCGTCTACATCTGGTCTTATAACAATTTGCAATACAGCACACTCCAAATGTCTTTGAACATTCCCTTAAAGTAATACCCTTAGTATCACCACTTCTTGCACGCACGTTCCAAGTTCAAAATTCTAAATCAATCTAATGTCGAAAACATTTTGGCCACATACCAGCTACATCGAGAGATTCCCCTTCACCTCGCTATCACGTCCGGACTCCGCAGCCTGACCTCAAGGAGCAGATGCTCGACTCCCGCAATATATTGCTGGTGCTGGTGCATTCCTGGGTGCGTCGCTTCTCACCGTTTTGAACCACATCAACAAGCTGTTTTATGTTCCGTGTCGCCTCGCCAGCACAGGCCCAGGGAGCATAACACCTCATTCAAGGTCACCCAACAAATGCACATTTGCGTCAGCATGACGCCAGACCAGAAAAGTCAAAAATAGCGGAGATTGACACAATACAAACAAATTCGCATCTTACCCTGTGTGCCGATAACATCCTGCGAGCACCTTTCATTATCTCATCTCGTCCTTAGGTCATCTGTCGCTTCATGCGCACGCTCTCGTCTCGCTCTCCGCCTCAGAAATCGGGTCATCGTATGATCTGGATACCAGAAATGGTCAGCCCAGAATGTTTGATTTGTATCGTGGTCCGTGGAGTTGGTGAGGTGATAAGAGGTATCAGGTTTCACCAAACTTTCTCCTGGTTGAGATTCCGTGATTGATGTATGATGAAGATACATCACCACCTATATCAAGGGAGTATTGAGAGAGAAAATGATGGCTCGAATGCGCAATGGCTGAAGGCGATGATATTCTGTTGGCACACCATCAGAAATCTAGAGATTTGAAGAAGTCGAGGGAATCACCCGAAAACATACGGCTGCCAATGCACACCGTCAATATTCATTCCAAAACATGCCACACTTATGTAACCATCATGCACTTCATGCCCTTCAACGGTTGAGTCACGCTTTCGTAGGGTAGCCTGAGTGGAAATGTGGATTGGAACGCTGTTGTATTTCGCATGAACCAGCTACTATAATGACGCCCGAGATAACACCGACACCTCAGAATTCCTGATGATCAAGATTCGAGACTTGAGAATTCTTGTGGCGTTAGAGCCCTCGCATGCTAACAGATTATACAAAGCCGGTTCTGTGTGGGTTTGCTTAGCGAAAAACGATCGAAAAAAGGATGGGACGCTCACCGCGAATGTACATGTGCTGTGAATCAGAGTGGAGCAGCTGTACGATTTCATCAGGTGGCCTTGGTTCGACATTGAAAGAGTGGGATGCCATGGCTGAGCACTGAGGTTTAGCCTAGGAATAAGTACTTACTTCAATTTGGAGCATTGTGGATGCTGGCGTACCCAGGTGCAGACCGTGTGAATATCGCACTAGTAGTTAGCTGGTTTACATTTGGGAACAAGAATATATCAGATGAGCAACACGATCGCGAACTAGACTCGTGACCAGGTGCAGTCGCATGTCTTTTGAGAGTGGAGAATATATAATAATGATGGATGTAGCACGTTGGACTGGCGCGGCTGGCAATGTGCCTGCCTCTGGCAGACGGAAGCTGGTGTGGCCTCAACTAGATGAAAGTGCTACCTACGACAATCTACCCCTACTGACTAAGCTACGCAAATGGTGGCAAACACCCGCCTGTGCCACCCCCCGCTGGAGGGGTACCCCACTCCAACGTTCTTTTAAGATACGGGTGGTTTAGGAAGAACGAAAAGAAGATATTAATGTGGAACATCGACAGCGCTCGGCCGATGTCGACTCCCTGCACTCCTACCTGGTGTGACTTCGATTCGTCAGAGTCCAATATTCATGTTCTATCGGATTCAAACTGTATTATCAGAGTCGAATTACAAGATTTGCGAGTCCTGGAGTCCCGCCAGGTCGTGAGTTCTGCCGTTGACCAGGCACAACCACCGGTTGGCAAAACTCCAAAGTTCTGCCAACAACGCTGGCTGTATCCCTAATTAATATCCGGTCGTTACAGTAGTGGTGGGCGCTCACAAGTTGGCTCGACTCACCTCCTTATGACCAAGGAATCATCGTCTCCATCGTTACCTACTTCAAATGTCATCGAGAAGCAGTGCGCGGTGGTGTCGACGGTGATGTCCGAGTCGCCGCTGTCCGGATTCCAGAATGCCCCGTGCACGCATGAGGCCCTAGCTAGATGGACTTGGCATAAGTTTTGTGCCTCACTAGTGTGAACTTTTATGAAGTTGTGTGAGCCACCGGCGGCAGCGGCCAGTGGGTTGCCCAACGATTGATGTTGATAATAAGTGCTTGCGGACGGTCCCATAACGGGTACCCATCCCCGACCACGGTTCACAATGACTTGGACACGTGCTAGCACTCGTTTAGCAGCTCGCTGGCTTCTCGATCGATGGATAAATTTAGTCTGGAGGCTGGCTCTGCCCATAGTGTCGGGTGTATACACGAGTCGATCACTTGGCAGGGGGCTGACGCGCGCTGACATGTCAACTGGTTGGGTCATGAATACAGCTGCCGGTCTGACGTACGTGGTACAAAAACTTACTTCCGCGAGTTACGATCCTTCACCCACCACAGGCTTGTATCGGCTCCCTAGCACTTCGCCAGTCGCTCCTTTGCTATTTGCTGAGTCTTTCGGGTCGTCTTCACCATCAGTAAGTCGCGATGTATTCATTATTGCTGTACCTTAAATGATGCAATCGCCACCGTTGCGTTTTTTTTGTCAACCTCCAGTTTAAAGCACACTCCTTTCATATAAAAAACATGTTTGCGGCCCTCGCGTTGACAATTTTGGCCTCATCTGCTGCTCTATTCGCACATGCCGATCCAGATCCCACCAATCCTGGACCTGGAGATGTCTTCATCGAGGGCCAGGCCTGTTCCATGAGCTGGAACCCGGATACCACTGGCGTGTGGAAGACTATGATCATTCAGTTGAAGACGGGAGACAACTTCAACATGGTCAACTTGACCAGTCCGTTCATATACTCGGTCATGAGATACTGACTTCAACTGTTCATAGCGGTCGGCACTGTTGACGGAACGGACGCGACGAAAACTTCATTCTCTTATCCTTGTCCTCAGGTTGGTGGTGTCTCATTCCACCCATACACGCATCGTAATCGTGCTTATCCCCCCAGGTCACACCCCACTCGCCTATCTACTTTTACCAGTTCTCTTCTCCGGCTTCCACCAACAGTGTCTGGACTGGGCGATTCACGATCACTGACTCTGTAACCGACATCGTCCCCGCGGCTGAAAGCACTCAATCGGACGGCTCGGCCATTCCTTGGGGTACCGGTTCGCTCGTCAATTCGACTTCAACCACCACCGTTGTTATCACGGGATCCACGTCAGCTACAGTTAGCACACTTGGAACATCGAGTGCCACTTCTTCCGTAAGTAACGCTTCAAATAATGCCAGTCTCACTGGTAGCAGAACAGACTTACCCAGCAGTATTATTTAGAGCTCTAGCTTCAGTGCCACGACTGCCAGTGCATCTTCAACTCCGACGCCGTCCTCTGGTTCGCAAGCAACTGGCGGTGGACTCCGCTTAGCCGCGGAAAGCATCGGCTGGAAGACTGCTTTAACCCTGGGCATCTCGGCACTGGGCTTCACTTTGACGCTTTAGATTCATGACCTCACGATTAGTACAGACCCCACTTCATGTTACCACAGCATGCCGGATACTCCTACTCGCGAATTCTCCCAGTCATTTATCTCACTGTACCTTTTTCAACTTTCGGGTCTGCGGCGTGTATACCCAACAGGGCAAATATATTGTTAATTTAACTGGGTCGTTTCTCTGTCGGTATTCCATTTTTCGTATTGATACCACAGACAATACTACCTTATTGCTAAATTATAGCGATGCTCCAGATGCTTTGCTGTGATCTTCGTGCCAGTGGTGATCCAGCCTGATTGAGTTTGATTGCATGATACTGATTACATGTTAGTTCCAGGAATACTTCACCACTGAACCCATAGGCTGCATCAAATGAGTATGTAGTGTTTACTCGCCTCACGAACAAGCCGCCGAGAAAAAACCGCATGCCACGGTTCACGGAACAAGGCGAAAGTCAACAGGGCCGAATTCGAATAATCATATCATTACATCACTGTTTTACCGATTATAGTAGCGGTGATGGTAACGCACAGGTCTATAGGCCTTATCTCTCGTGTCCGAACTAGGCCCCGAGTTAGAGCATGCCCTGATAAATATATAAACCCAGGTCTTGTGGAATCGTTCGAGTGGAACTTTACCGCTAGTATCGACATTAGTACTGTATTCAACGCGACGTAATAAATCTTCTACAGCAGCTATGTCAGACTCCGTCGCTTCAAACTCTAGCTCCCTATGCACGTATATGAAGGACCATCCTCGTACACTGGTTGCATATGTCAAATATTTCGGGAAAGTTCAGGACAATGTGGTTAGTGCTGAGATGTCTGGCATCGACTCAAAGGTCAGTCTGGGACGATGGACTTCTTGTACTTCATTTGCATTGACGAATGCACCCAGGGCATGACACTTTCATACAAGCTCCAATCTGGAGTCTCAAATTCGGTTCGGGTACCATTTAATCCATCGCTTCCAGGATACGATGGTGCCAAACCCCGCCTTTTGAGTATGAAGACAGAGGCGCTTGATGGTCTTGGTATGGTACGTGTTCGCAAAAAATATTCCTTTCAATCTGTCTTGTGTCTGATGCATACGCGTCCACTTTAGCTCAAAGTTCCCAAGTTGACCACATTCCGGTTTCCTCCCAAAGCTATCTTGACGCCATTCATTTTCCTCGCGTACTTTTATCTTCTTGCACCACCACCCCCTGGCACGACATTGTTCTCTATCCCTGCCGCCACCGTGGATACATTCTTCTCCCCAGCAAACGCGATTAAAAACTTCACCGGTTTAGGGTTTGCTGCTCGGACTCTTGCTACGATACTCGGTGTTATCCACACGGCTGAAGGGCTGTATACCTTGTCACTTTGTAGGCGTTCTGTAAAAGGCTTGGCAGTGACGGTGAGTTTGTCTGATGAGTCTTCGAGTCTTGCGCTTAAACTCTATGTTCAGGCTGTTTACGTGGGCTGTTCTATGTTGTTCGGCGTTCACATATGGAAAGACCTCAAAATCCGCATTCAGGAGAAACGCACTGAAGCTGCCACGAAGTTTGAATGATTGACATGGATCCTATGTGCAATTCTGGCCGAAATATATGTTGAAACGTTGAACTGCGGTTCGCGGAGTATCGAGCTGTATGTTACAGATTAGTATTAGGCTCAAACATTTGAAGTTTAGTTGCTTAGTGGATATGTTGTTCTTGATTATGAGGTACTGATCTGACCCTACGTTAATTTCATATCGGTAGAGTCGTACTGCAGAGCTCGGCTTTACATAAATTGTTTGTGATAATAAGTAAGAAGTAGTGCACGGCCGGTCAGATTTTCAAATTCAAAGTCAACTATAGCTTCCAAATATGGATATGTCAAACAAACTCTAGTCTCTTGAGTCTTGACCACGTTGTTCTATGCAAACACACGCGACTCAAGCTTCAAGCTACGGAAAAAGAGTCAGTTATCTTGAGTGTTTTGATCTCCTACATTATGTGACCATGATGTTTCTGGATTCAACGAATATAAGTGCGTCAACGTCCTGGTCGAGGATAGCCGCTGGCGACTGTGATCGCGGGCGAAGAGCTGACACTTCTGTCTCCATCAGTTGTGAAATGAGCGGAACGAGAAGCTCGCTCTCAAGGAAATTGGTTGGCAAACTCCGGAACGCACGCACGGTGCGGAGCATACACTTCCTTGACAGGAAGATCAAAGAGCCTGTCTTCGTCACATTGACTAATAGAACTTCAATGCATCGGCAAAAACTTCGGAACGGCCGGCTACATACCTTAACCTGGTAACATTCATGCACCCACTTACCATGCAGACGCCTGCGACGAGTCTGTACATACAGATCGGATAATATCGACCACTTCAAGCTGAACTGCGCTCGGAAAGTTAGAATTCGACTCCTCGTACTACATACCTTGTAACTCTTCCCCCCAGCTTTATGCATTCCCGATAGGGAAACAAGAGGCATACCCCCACGATCCTCGTTGAGATGGGCGGACATATATGACAAACCTTCGTATTGCTGAAGTGATGGTATCGATGGAGCGGAAGTACCATCACCCCTCTCCCGGGAGGAAACATCCTGTGAACTCGAGTCTGCATGCCTGGTTAGGTACAGACTAGATCACACTGCGGCTCCGAGTGAGCTGTCAGTGTGACGTGGAACAAAGTAAGCCATCTTTCCTAGAATCCATTAATAACATAGTAGCAACGCTCGATGAGAGCGGTTGAATCTGTACCCGGAAAACTTCAATCGATCTCGGATCGTTGGCGCGGAGAATATATTTGATGGTAGCTGTTCCCCATGAGGATTACTGTCAAGGAAGGAGGAGCCCCTCGAATTCAATCTCAATCCCATGTCTATACCGCGAGTCTCTTGTGCGAGATTCCTGGTGTGCCCATTTTCGTCAGTTTTGACTCTTGAGCACGCAGGTAAGAGGACCATGGACCCAAGTGCAGTCATCGCGTCGGGTCGATTATGTAGGAGGAGCCTCGCTTCGTGACCATATAAATTTGAGTTTGAAGGGAAGGAGAGAATGTTGGTACGGAAACCTTCCTTTAGTACTTTGTAAACGTTCGGATGGCGCGCTTTGAGTAGCAACGTGGTGTATTCAATCTGCTGAGATCAGCTACATCTATAAACTCAAACTTTTGAATACCCATGCCGATTCCACTACCGCCTGGGTCCTGGGTATGACGCTCCAAAGCGTACTTTAATAAATTGCGCGATACAACATCCAGTGCGCGATACACAACACCCAGTGCGCGATACACAACATCCAGTGCGCGATACACAACATTGAGCGCGCGATACACAACATCAAGTGCTCAATACACCAGCTATTCTAGTGAACTAGACGGCCGAAATCTTCAAAGTTAGGCTCGACAATTAGGTACTTCACAAGATCATCAGCTGTACGAGTGATAAGTTTTCGCTCATGATCAAAAGCACTGCGAGCTTTCACAATATATAGCACAGCCTTCCAGCAGTCTAGATTGATTTCTCCGATGTCGAGTTTCTCGAAGCGTTCGACGGCATCCTTGTAAGGCTGGGGATTTCGTCCGTCCAGTAAAAATCTACCCATTCCGTTCCACCACAGCTGCTTCCAGTCGTCCTCGCATAACTTTTGCTTCGTGCAAGTTCCCGCGTGCACCATAGGTGGGGCTTCACATGCAATGATCCGGCGGTGTACATCAAGTCGTTCCTTGACTTTGAACATTGTGTTCCACACAACGGACCCAACAGCGCGAAATTCGTCGTCGGAGATATCATTGATGCGAGCTGAAACGAGTCGTTCGAAAGCATGCGGCAGGATTTCTTTGACATTGTACTTCAATGCGAGTGAGATAAGTTGTGTTGGCTCAAGCGAGTAACGCTGCCGCTGGAGATGGTGAACAGCATAGACTCGCGCATCTTTGCAAAGATACATGTCGCTTAGCTCGAGCAGTTGAATGACAGCTTTGTTACATATTTTGAGGACATCAGGCCTCCATCTGTATGGTATCAATTGTTAGACTTGTCCGAGTCGTCCATTGTCAAAATAAACTCACTTGTTGTAACAGACAGACAAAAATAATTCGAACGCACTTTCGCTTACTTGCGACGGCACACAAATAGGCTTGTCATCAGTACTACCATCAACCTGTTCAAGTTGGGTGCCTTGGCTTGCAGCAAACATGTCTCGGAAAGCAAGTGATTTATCCCCGAGAATGCTTGCATGCACCCTAAAGAGTGAGTTTCCTGCCTAATAGTGGTACACTGTCAGTCCGCGGTATCCACTATGAGACTATTCAGATAAGTGGTCATGGTGCACGAACCTGGAAGATGTGAGTGCCATCTAAGAAGTAGAACATTTGATGGTGTCGAGCCGTCATTGAACCACTGATAGTTGCAAGGTTGACTAGTATGAAGAACAGCTTGAAAGAGATGACTTGAGTGGTTGTTAGTAATAAAACCGGACACACTGGAAAACAATGCCTTGACCACGTCACCTGCGAATTACATATGCCCGCGGAACTCTTGGTGACAATTTTTATTACCCTTCCAACCTACACTGACTCGGACTCTCGGAAACAATGGACATAAACAGTCCTTCAATGCCATTGTCACTCCCGCTTCTCCCTGAAACCAGAAATTGGTCAGCAGAAATCCGAGCTGCCTATGAGAATATCCAACACACTTACGATCATGCAATCCGAGTTCTTCGAGCAGAGGGAGCCGACCCTACCCGTATTGCTTTCCATGTGGATGCTATCTCGTCAAATGCACTTCTGATCCTCGAAGCACTCACACCAGATGCCAGTAACACAGACTCCGAGTCGGATGAAATGTCAGAGTCTCTCCCAGTCAAATGGTTAGCTGATGTAGCCATGGTACTTGGCTGTGTAGTTTCGGGTCTGGAACACCTAGGGACTACTGCAAATGAGGAGTAAGCCTAAATTTTGATAGATATGTGGATACTGAGACAGGGATCTTACAGAGAGGAGCATCATGTTGATATACCAGAATTAACTGGAATCGAGAACACGGGAAAACGAGGGCGGCCCAAAAAAATAATAGACCTTGATTTCTTGATCGAGGCCACCTCTGCTCAACATCACATCAGACATGTTGAGCTAGCAAAGATTGTCGATGTTCATCCAGCAACATTACGGCGCTACATGCGTCAACACGGCATTGAAAGGTGCTATTCCAACCTTCGTGACCGTGACCTTGATGCTTTGGTGAAGATATTCAAATGTCATAGACCAGAGTCTGGGTTTCGGTACCTTGTTGGTTTTCTTCGACAACAAGGTGTCCGTGTACAACATAGGCGAATATGGCAATCCCTACAACGAGTGGACAGAATTGGACGCCAATTCAGACGCCAGCAAATTATTCGAAGAAGGACATATAAAGTTAAACGTTCCAATGCTCTTTGGCATTTGGATGGGCACCATAAGATGATTCGGTGGGGATTTGTTGTCCATGGATTTATTGATGGTTACTGCAGAACGGTATGTCACAAGTCCGAGTCGAAGTCATTAGAAATTAATTATGGCGTGTCCAGGTGGTTGCACTAGAAACGAGCACAAATAATCGTGCTACAACAGTTCTCGATTTATTTCTCAAAGCACAAGAAGAGTATGGTATGCCATCACGTATGCGAGGTGACCGTGGTGGTGAAAATATTGATGTTGCCACTTATATGGTCATGCGAAACGGCCCAAATCGTGGCTCGTTTATGTGGGGATCGTAAGCCTAGTATCATCATTTGATCCTTTGGGTGTTCTTCTCACACAAGTACCACAGGTCAACTCGGAATTCGAGGATTGAACGCCTCTGGGTTGAAGTAGGAACACAATTCGTGAGACGTTGGAGGGCTTTCTTTAGCCGTTTAGAAAGACTGCACAGGCTCGATATTGAGCAAACAGGTCATTTGTGGCTTCTCCAAAATCTATTCTTGGATGCTATCAATGACGACTGTAAGACCTTTCGTGAAGAATGGAACCTCCATCCAATTGCTGGCCCATCAACAAACAATAAGAGTCCACAAGTGAGATTTCAGATCAAAAATTTGAACATAAAGTAACTGACACCATATTTATCACAGGATTTGCGACTGATAAGCCAGGCAACACTTGGTATTTACCGAGACAATTGTGACGAAGTTCATCCAGACACAATTGAACAATACTACGGCACTCACGGGCGAGAGCAGACTCGTCGTCATGGGCAGACTGGTGCTGGCCATCCTGATGATGAAGACACTAATTCGGAGGATCAGCTCATCTTACAGATAGAAGAAGACCAGGAACGGAATATTCGACATGCCGCTGTTGAAGTTCCCGGAAAGAAAAGCCCCTTCGAGACTCAGCGTGATGAAAACTTGTTTTTTTCAACAGTCGAGCAAATAGTTACTGAGGGCATTGTACCGGAAGGTTATGGCTTGCTCCCGGATGAGCAAGGTGATGATGCAGCCATGACCGAAGTCTTACAATTCGGAAGGCGCGGAACAAAATCAATTACCATCTCGTTAAGTGATCCTATCTGGGAAGCTCGTGCAACACTTTGGTGTCAAGGGTTATCAGCATTATCTTTGTTTGAAACAGAAGGATACTTGTAGTTACATCATTATATTGAATGAATAAGCTTAGAAATTGATGAGACTTGCGAGTCAATAACCAATGCTTATGCGAAATAAAAAATCTATGAGCCGTACTGATTTGTTCTCCCGAACCATCTTTACTTCATTCCATACACTGCTATGTCTGATCGCCGTGAAGTATACTGCCGAGACTTTCGTCAGGGAGGGCAAGCCTGCACCTGTGAATGCTTCACCCCACCCTCTAATCCTGATGCTCCATACTACTGTCGAGAATGCCAGCATGGCTTTAGCAAGCATCCCGAAGCTCTGGATCCTACAAGAGATGCACCTCGAAAGCAAGATGGCACAACATCTGGAAAAAAGAGACTCGTCAGCATATTCAAGGAAAAGACCAGCTCGGGGTCTGCAGCAAGACCTTTGCCATCTGCTGCCTCTTCCAAAAGCATGCTCGATCAGAAGATACTAGGTGTCGAGCGAGCAAGAGATGAAGTCATGAATGGATATAGAACTGGTTTAAATTCACAGAGCAATAAGGTGCGCAGTACACAATGACCGATGTGCAGCACTTACAAGTCAGAGCAGTTGCAATTTCGTCACGTTACTGGTAAAGCAAGGGCCACGAGCCAATTTGACTCTGAGGATAAAATTACCAAGGTTGCACAATGGCTTCTCTTGGTGAATTGTCTTGATGTAAATTCAGAATATATATCTCGTTCATTGCACAAGAAAAACTAACACAATATGTTGAAGGATGATGGTAACCTCATCAATACAAGCCCACCGTCACGGACACAGTTGCACAACATGGAACGTCGTCAATGTGCACATATCGAGACTGCTAGCAGGTTTTCCTTTAGCCGAATGTGGACTCACGACGAAGTCAATCAATACCTGCAGAATGAAGTGTTCCCTTTGGCACTTGGATATGTCAATTCGACAGAAAAGGGGAAAGGAATTGGCATACCTTCTTGCCCATGGGTTTTGATAAGCAAGGAGAGGCTCCGCTATGAGGTCGTAAATATTGAAAGGCCTGACGGCAATGATCTTGCACGATTCCGAGGCAGACCCAAGTGCCCTGTAAAAGATGCAAACATCATTATAGGTAAGAAGCCTCTGTCTTATATAATTTCTTGATGCTAACCTGAGTATCTTCAGCATTGCGGAGAAGAATTCCAGAACACGTCTATGCATCATGGGATCCCGAATATCGAGAGACGGGGGATGATGGAATGTTTCTCGACTCTGATGATGCTTCAAGTTTTGAGGCGGCGAAACCAACAATCTTAACACGTGCAGGTAAGTTTATTAATTTCGACCACTTACTTCTTATTTGGTTCATATTTATCCAACTCTCTACTAGCTGCTGCGAAGCTCAAACGTGGGCGACGAACATCATTGTCCATCGAGATTCTCTCCGACACGGAATACAAACCAGTCATCAAAAAAATGAAAGGTGTGTGTTGTGTGACTAGCGAAATATACTCTCACTTATTCGTTATTCTAGTAGGCACTGCGGTGAAGCAGGAGCTTGAGGAGCCAGCGTCGGATCTCCGGGCATCGAGTATTATTAATGCGGCCTCACAGCCTACGAAACGTGTGTCCCTATTTTGATGTAAAGTTTCTCAACTCACTTTAAATTCAGTTTTTTTAGAAAGTTCTAATGCAGATATGGATGATCTCCCTGATGTTATTCGACAACTGTCTCTGGTACCACAGACCCCAAGCAAAAACACTGTCCCCTCCACTGGCTCTTTTTTCACCGGGTCACGTTTCGGCACTGCTGATTTACTTTCGACACAATTTCATTCACCCATTGTTCAACGCCGTCGTGTTGCCATGCCACCCGACTTCGTAGAGCCCCAAGCATCTGATATCATATTGCGTGGTATCCGCGACCCCGATAGTCCATCTGCCCCTCCTCGTATTAATCCCTGGTCAGAAGATTATTTTATTGGTGATGTCAATATTGCCCTCTAATCTCTCGTGTCCTCTCGCCGTCTACTCAGTATCTTTTCTAGTACCATAATGATCACTATGGAGTCCTTATTGCCTATACCTTGCTACTACCCTAACCAGCTCATCCATACTATATGCATTCCCTTACCAATAATACTCACATTAACCAACAGCCAGGCCTCAAAAAGATTCGAGGCTTTGCCGATGCTGGCAACCTTCAGTTTTTTTTTGCTTTCCGACTACTACTAGTTACTAGCGCTTATAGCAGACTTGCTTGTTGAAAAATTCATGATATTGACATGAAATACTATTGCAACGACTTCGAAGCTTCAAGCTTCAAGGCCCAACTAAGCTGCTTTTGTATCGCGCACTCGACGTATCGCGCACTGGATGTTGTGTATCGCGCACTGGGTGTTGTGTATCGCGCACTGGGTGTTGTGTATCGCGCACTGGGTGTTGTATCGCGCAATTTATTAAAGTACACTTTGGAGCGTCATACCTGGGAGATATGGAACAAACAGTGAATGAAAAATGTATGTGAACCAAAAAGGGAACCAAGAGAGTCGAGACAGGTACATTTTACATAAGATTATTCGTAACAACTTGAAGAAGGAAGGAAGGGAGATGCATCATGCAGTGACAGGGAACGTTTGAACAGTGAAGCTATCGAAACGAAACGAGCACCGACTGGACTGAAGGGCCATTATAAGGAAGGAGAAAAAAGCGCCGCCTTGACCCAGTCCAAATTCGGAACGTGCGATTTCTCCCAGGAAGGTTGGCGAAACCAGATCTCTGCTGCGTTGGTCTCCCGACCACATCGTAAGTCTGGCAGCGAACATGGAAATTCTTTGCGCCCAAGCGCTGCAATTCGCTTTTAGCACGATGTTCGCATACAAATCAGATTTAACTCACCGCGAGAGTATGCGTCGGTGAATTCTGACATGCCGGGTTCGAACAAAAACGATCTATGATTTACGACTTCAGCGAACCCAAACCGCGATGACGGGACGGGTTGCAGCAGCTACCATGGCAAAGATGAGTGATGGTGCCAGAAAACGAACAAGACAAAAGCTTACCCCAGAGATCAAATCCTCGAGATCTTCACGCAATTCTTCAAAGGCAGGGAACCGTTTGGATGGTCTGTCGCCACTGGAGCACCAAGAAACATAGGAAAATACGTCGTCCTTTGTCACAAAGAGTGACTGACGAGATGATATCAGTAAGATAGCAGCGAAGGAAGACTCAAAACGTACCTCGTGCTTCTTCGAAACGAGCTCGTAGATGACGCAGCCTAACGACCACCAGTCTGCGGGCGTTCCATACTTCAAAGGACGGGGGTCGGATTTGTTGCGCAGGACCTCCGGTGCCATGGTGCATGTTGTTCCCACCGGTTCCGAAGAATAATTCTGTTGTCGGTCCAAGGGTCCTTCGTCTGTGTTTACATAACTCACGCCAAAGTCAGTGATGCGTACGTTCTGTTGAACGTCGATCAGGATGTTTGCGGCTTTGATGTCCCGGTGGATGATCCCTATCTCGTGCAGAGCATTGATCCCGAGGGTCTTCGAAGTCGGAGGAGGCGTGAGACATGACATGTCGAAGACCAGGAAAGACGACCGCTTACCATTTGAGCAGCCCACCTGCGAGCATTGGGGACGCAGTACGTAGGATTATGTTTCAAATAATAAAACAGGTCGCTAGCCATCAGGTCCTAGAGACGTCCGATGGAGTCAGATGACTGAAACGGTCGCAGGGAGGAGGACGCACCATTACAAAACATATCTTATCCTTTGTCTGAAACGACATTTCAAGCCCCATGAGGAAATCAGCCGCGGGACATGGAAATGCGCATGAAAGACGCTTGTAAGCTTCGAGTTCGTTCAGAAGAACATCTTTCCTGGATTTGCGCTCAAGATGGTGCTTTGGGAAGACCTTGAGACACAACAAGCGATTCGACGCTACGTCTTCAGCTCCCATCGCCACGCCGTACGCGCCCTCGCCCAATGTGCCCCAAACACGAAAGGGGCCATACGTGCATGACACCGGCGCAGTTCGGACCACCTCTGCTGGGACGGAGTGCGTGAAGGTGAAAATGTGAGCAGGTGCTGGAGGGTCGGCCGGCTCTGAAGCAGAAGGGTATTGAGGATCGGGGGGCTCTGAGCGAGGATTCGCGATGCCAGCATCGATTACGGTAGACATTATGACGGGGGCGTTGGATGCAGCGCTCGAGTGAGGTTCAGAAGCAGAAGATTGAGTGATGGACTTTTGAGTGACCATGCCTGACAGATAAGAATGAGGAGAAGGGTATGGAAATGCCAAGGAGCAATTCGACGAGCGTATTTAAGAGTTCCTTGGTAGGACCACAGCATGCTTTAAATGAGTTGTGGAGCGTCGGTTTGTGGATTGTCTGAAAACACCCACAGGGTAATCATGGCGACTAGCCACTGTCGATCACGACGGGGGAGATTGTGGAGATGTGCGCTGTGGGACAATCAAAACACGTTGCGACCACAGTTGAGCACCAAGCGTCTGCGCACATCGCTGCTAGCTGCTGAGTGGTCAATAACACTCACGATATCAAAACAATGCGATGCCGTAAAAATGTGCATGTCCAAGTCTAGAATGCGAGCGGTCTTAGCACCAAACATTCTAGTCAAGCGCTAACCGCTGCAAGGCATGCTGTTACAGGTGCTTTACTTCTTCTGAATATTTATTTATCAGCGTCGTACGACAGACCACGAATGGGTATCTTCAGAATCTGTACATTATTCTTCATATTCTTATCTCATGAATGTCAAGTTGACGTCCCCAGCCGTGGAGTCGGTCGCTCAAGATGGTCTCCGCGGCAGCGGTATTGACATTTACAAAGTATAAATGTATGTTAGCAGAAAGATCAGAGTGATGCATGAACTACACCTTTGGATGACAGCATGAAAGAGTCATGGAATGAATTGACAGCGTTTGAAGGTAATAACAGGGTTGATGATTCGGATTCAAACTTTACATGTTCAACGGGCTTGTGCGGACGTGTCGATCACGGCGTGGTCCCATGGAGGTCGCGATTGCGAGTAGGAAAGTAGCCGAGTCGGTGAGTTATATTTTGGTTTCGGCTTCATGCATAACAAGGTTTATAACGGGAAAATACATGTAGAGCAGTAGGTTCAAAATGCCCTTGAACTAATATCAGCATATACTGTGACACGCGAAAAAAAAAACATACGAAGGATACTGACACAACAGACACCCCGTCGCGGTTCACCTGCAAGCTCTCGATCTGAAATCACAAGTGATGCGGGAGGTGGTCGACATGTAGCACGAGCGACGAACCAGAAGCTGTGACGATAAAGACAACTTAGACAAGGAAGCAAAGAGCATGATGATCCCAATGAGGTTGCGGCTGACCCGGGCCGGCGGCGCAAACCGTGCAACCTTCAAGTTTAACTCTTCTACTTGGGTACGGGAAGCATGACTCTCCACTATGATAGTATGATTCTAGGCAGATGTGTACTGATAAACATCGCAAACTATTTGGAAATAAGCTTATACGAAACTCTCGAATAAATTCAGAATGATCAACGGGAACGAATACCTGTCATGTGACTCAAACTTGTTGCAAAGTCGCCTGAGGCAGACTTAACACAGACCGGCCATTTCCTACATGTCCTCTCGTTTATCGTCTCTATCATTACATATGTTGCACAGAACTTATCTCAGTTATCTGTGACCTGCGTTCTGTCAGCGTTTCGTGTCGGCAAGATATACCTTCGTCAACTTACCATGACTCCACGCTCTTTTACAGATTCAGTAACACCAAAAAATATCACTGCGGTTGCGAGAGATTGTGCAAGAGCCAGCTGCACCAAGTACCTTATGGAACATGGAGACGGCATGTAGAGGTCCCGATACGAAGGGGACGTGTTCTCTGAAAGAAAAAAAGGATACATGCTAGCATGGTATCGGGACCCACAACCTGTCCAGCAGGATGAACCGGAGATGATCATGATCCTGGTATAGAGGTTCGTTTTTCTGTTTTTGTGCTTTTTACTACAACAGACTGTAGTAGCACATCATCCATCCATTCACACAGCGATCTCAGAGCACAGCCTTGGCCCTAGCTCACCGCGACCTGAAACAGCGACGGAGTGTCTCATAACTCTTTCCAAGGACCCTGCAGTCCTACATGTCATGCAGAAGCGTCGTTTTTCTATGGGCTTGCTTACCGAGCTTGCACCACATGAGCACCCTGGACTTCTGGGTCTTAACGTCGGGAGTGGAGGTACCATCAAGCTGCGAATTCGGCTCGATACCTATGATGGATTTCATCCGTACCTGGAGGCCAGGCGCGTGTTGTGCCATGAATTGGCTCACAATATATATATCAAAAATTAGCTTTTAATACCCTGTTTACACCGCGGTCGTGTACTGCTAGTTTAAAGAGTTAAATTCTCAGCTCAATCGTGAGGTTGCAGAATTTGAGGCTGCAGCAAGAGCAGGAACACGTGAACTTTCTGATTTACGAGACACCGAACTTCAATGCATCAGCAAAAACTTCGGAACCGCTGGCTACATACCTTAACCTGGTAGCATTCACCCACTTACCATGCAGATCGGATAATATCGACCACTTCAAGTTGAACTACACTGGGAAAGTTAGAATTCGACTCCTCATACTACATACCTTGTAACTCTTCCCCCCAGCTGTATGCATTCCCGACAGAGAAACAAGAGACATACCCTCACGATCCTCGTTGAGTTGGGCGGACATTTATCACAAACCTTCGTATTGCTGAAGTGATGGTATCGATGGAGCGGAAGTACCATCACCCCTCTCCTGGGAGGAAAAATCCTGTGGACTCAAGTCTGCATATCTGGTTAGGTACAGACTAAAACTGCGGCTCCGAGTAAGCTGTTGGTGTGACGTGGAACGAAGTAAGCCATCTTTCCTGGAATCCATTAATAACACAGTAACACTCGATGAGAGCGGTTGAATCTGTACCCGGAAAACTCCAATCGATGTTCTTGGTCTCGGATCGTTGGCGCGGAGAATATATTTGATGGTAGCTGTTCCCGATGAAGATTATTGTCAAGGGGGAGCCCCTCGCATTCAATTACATGTCTATACCACGAGTCTCTTGTGCGAGATTCCTGGCGTGCCCAGTTTCCGTCGGTTTTGACGCTTGAGCACGCAGGGTAAGTCTGATCAAGAGGACCATGAACCCAAGTGCAGTCTTCGCGTCGGGTCGATTATGTGGCAGGAGCCTCGCTTCGTGACCATAGAAATTTGAGTTCGAAGAGAAGCAGAGAATGTTAGTGCGGAGACCTTGCTTTAGTACTTTGTCGACTGTTCGGATGGCGTGCTTTGAGTAGTAACGTGGCGTATGTAATCTGCTGAAATCAGCTACAACTATGAACTCAAACCTTTGAAAACCCATGCCGATTCCGTTACCGCCTGGGTCCTGGGAGCTATGGAACAAACAGTGAATTGATACCGAAAGATGTATGTATGTGAACCAAAAAAGGGAACCAGGATACAGATATATTTTACATAAGATTATTTGTAACAACTTGAAGAAGGAAAGGAGACGTAATGACAGTGAACAGTGAAGCTATCAAAACGAAATGAGCACCGACTGGACTGAAGGGCTATCATAAGAAATGAGAGAAAAGTGCCGGCGTGAGCTGGTCCACATTCGGAATGTGCGATTTCTCCCAGTAAGGTTGGCGAAACCAGATCTCCGCTTCGTTGGTCTCTCGACCACATCGTAAGTCTGGCAGCGAACATGGAACTTCTTCGCGCTCAAGCGCTGCAATCCGTTTTTAGTATGATGTTCACAGACAAATCAGATTCAACTCACCGCGAGAGTGTGCGTCGGAGAATTCTGACGTGCCGGATTTGGACATAAACGATCTATGATTTACGACTTCGGCAAACCCAAACCGCGATGACGGGTCGGGTTGCAGCAGCTACCGCGGTGAAGATGAGTGATGGTTCCGGAAAATGAACAAGACAAAAGCTTACTCCAGATATCAAATCCGCGAGATTTTCCTTCAATTCTTGAAAGGCAGGGAACCGTTTGGATGGTCTGTTGCGGCTGGAGCACCAAGAAACATAGGAAAATACGTCGTCCTCTGTAACGAAGAGCGACTGATGAGATGATATTAGTAAGATGGCAGCGAAGGAAGACTCGAAACATACCTCGTGCTCCTTCGACACAAGCTCGTAGATGACGCAACCTAACGACCACCAGTCTGCGGGTGCTCCGTACTTCGAAGGACGGGGGTCGGATATGTTGCGCAGTACCTCCGGTGCCATGATGTGTGTCGTTCCCACCGGTTCCGAAGAATAATTCTGCTGTCGGTCCAAGGGTCCTTCGTCTTTGTTTACATAACTACCACCAAAGTCAATGATGCGCACGTTCTCTCGAACGTCGATCATGATGTTTTCGGTTTTGATGTCCCGGTGGATAATCCCTATCTCGTGCAAAGCGTTGATCCCAAGGGTCTTCAAAATCGGAGGAGGCGTGAGTCATCGAAGACCAGGACAGACAACTGCTTACCATTTGTGCAGTCCACCTGCGAGCATTGCTGACGCAGTACGAAGGATAATGTTGCAGATAATTATACAGGTCGCCTGCCATCAGGTCCTAGAGACATCCGATGGAGTCAGATGACTGAAATGGGTAGCAGGGGAGGAGGACGTACCATTACAAAACATATCTTATCCTTTGTCTGAAACGACATTTCAAGCCCCATGAGGAAATAAGCCGCGGGACACGGCAATGCGCATGAAAGACGCTTGTACGCTTCGAGTTCGTTCAGAAGAACAGCTTTCCTGGATTTGCGCTCAAGACGGCGCTTTGGAAAGACCTTGAGACACAACAGGCGATTGGACACTATGTCTTCAGCTCCCATCGCCACGCCGTACGTGCCCTCGCCCAATGTGCCCCAAATACGAAAGGGGCCATACGTGCATGACACCGGTGTAGTTCGGACCACCTCTGCTGGGACGGAGTGCGTGAAGGTGAAAATGTGAGCAGGTGCTGGAGGGTCGGCAGGAGGGTATTGAAGATTGGGGAGCTCTGAGCGAGGATTGGCGATGCCAGCATCGACTACGGTAGACATTATGACGGGGGCGTTGGATGCAGTGCTGGAATGAGGTTCAGAAGAAGAAGATTGAGCGACCATGCTTAACAGATAAGAACGAGGAGAAGGGAGCAATTCGACGCGCGAATTTCAGAGTTCATTGGTAGGACCACAGCATGCTTTAAATGAGTTGTGGAGCGTCGATTTGTGGATTGTCTGAAAACACCCACAGGGTAATCATGGCGACTAGCTACTGTAGATCACGACGGGGGAGATTGTGGAGATGTGCGCTGTGGAACAATCAAAACACGTTGCGACCACAGTTGAGCGGCAAGCGTCGGTGCACATCCCTGCCAGCTGCCGAGTGGTCAATAACACTCACGATATCAAAACAATGCGATGCCGCAGAAACGTGCATGTCCAAGTCTAGAACGCGAGCAGTCCTAGCACCGAACATTCTAGTCAAGCACTGACCGGTGTGAGGCATGCTGTTACAGGTGTTTTACTTCTTTTGAATATTTATTTATCAGCGTCGCACGACAGACCACGAATGGGTATCTTCGGAAGAACTTGTACATTATTCTTCGTATACTTATCTCATGAATGTCAAGTTAATGTCCCCAGCCGTGGAGTCGGTCGCTCAAGATAGTCTCCGCGGCAGCGGTATTGACATTCAAAAAGTATAAATGTATGTTAGCAGAAAGGTCGGAGTGATGCATGAACTACACCTTTGGACGACAGCATGACAGAGTCATGGAATGAAATGACAGCGTTTGAAGGTAATAAGAGGCTTGATGATTCAAATTCAAACTTTACATGTTGGGGCTTGTGCGGACGTGTCGATCACGGTATGGTCCCATGGAGGTCGTGATTGCAAGTAGGAAAGTAACCGAGTCATTGAGTTATATTTTGGTTTCGGCTTGATATATAACAAGGTTGATGACGTGAAAATACATGTAGTAAGAGCAGTAGCTTGATTTGGTGAACAAAACGCTCTTGAACGAAGATTAGCATACACTGTGACACGCGAAAAAAAACATACGAAGGGTACTGACACAACAGATGCCCGTCACCTGCAAGCTCTCGATCTGAAATCACAAGCGACGCAGGATGTGGTCGAGATGCAGCACAAGCGACGAACCAGAAGCTGTAAGCTTGTAACGGTAAAGACCGTGACAAGGAAACAAGGGAGCACTATGATCCCAATGAGGTTGCGGCTGACCCGGACCGGCTAGAACCGTGAAACCTTTTGCGAAAACTCTTCTGCTAGGTACGGGAATCACGAGTCCACGACTCTCCGCTATGATAACATGATTCATACGAATCAAGTCCTGAAGGCCATGGAAGTGGGCGCCCATGCACGTATATGCATGATATTGTCTTGCACTCGTCCAACTATCTCTCCCGTTCACCTGGTCTACCCAGAGCCTGAGATCGGCTGCCTAGGAGTGCAACTTCTACGGAACACATTGTCGACGACGAACTAGAGTAAGCACTATCCACATATATTTATAGAAACTACCAACTCGAGAAATTTCGTCAGCCCGCTCCTACTCTTAACTCAAGTATGTGCCAATCAGAATTTGACTGTAGTAGGGAATCCAGACATACCGAAAGTTGAGAGCGTCTTGGCCGCACTTGCAGTATACAAGCAACGAAATCATTGCATCCCCAAAGTCTCTTGACCACGTTTTTCTTTGCAAACAACCACACGCGACTAGTACTCAAGCTTCGAGCTACGGCAGAATCTTGAGTGTTTCGGTCTTTTATATTATGTGACCATGATGTTTCTGGATTTTGTGACGTTTCATGCACCAATGCATCGATTATCTTGCTCCTATCACTGTTTTGTCTGTTTGACATTGGGGTGTCTTCTAACATGCCACTAGTACTCTAGAGTAGAGCGGAGGCCGCACTCGTCATTGTATCAAGGTCTGGAAAGGCTTATCTTAAATGCCTGCGAGCCAGCCTTCCCCGGGCAATAATAGCCTGTCAATGGGGTCATGTGGTTTGTTATATGTTCTTCGTATATATAGTGCCGCATTGCAGTTCTCACCATGATTCGGACTGAACGACACCCTGTCGATACTGTCTGGCCTTTAAGCGATAGCCCGCATCTATGACTAGGAAAATTTTCGTTGGATTCGGCGTAGATGTTGACGCTGTGGCTGGCTGGTACGTGGTTTTCCATTCGTAGATGATAATGGTGATCATGATGCAGGCTTGGGTCCTATGGAGGAGAAGATTCGCCATTGGACATCTCTCGGGTACGCTCGCATTGACGTTATGTGATTATCAGCTTAAATCAGCGCAGGGAATGTACGCGGGAGAAGTTGGAGTGCCTCGCCTTCTAAAGTTGTTTGATAAGTATAAGATCAAAACAACCTGGTTCATTCCTGGTTGGTCTCAAGTTCAGTGCTCCCAAGACACAAGGAGCTGACGGATAGCGTATGTAGGTCATAGCTTGGAGACATTTCCGAAGCAGATGGAGGCAGTTCGAGATGCCGGTCATGAAATGTAAGATTCCTTGGGTGAGGAGATCTATATCTTTCTCATCTCATACGCAGAGGTCTTCATGGATACTCCCATGAGGTAAGTGATAATGATATCAATATTGGGCAAGGAGCTGAATGTTTCCAAAGAACCCTGTTACTATGACTCTGGAACAACAGCGAGACATTTTGGACCACACCTTCAAGCTTCTTACGGATTTCAATCATGGTGTTCCTCCGAAGGGCAGCGTCGCCCCTTGGTGGGAAACCAGTAAGGAGGGAACGGCGCTGTTACTGGAAAAGGGCATTGAATATGGTCACTATATCGCTACTCATTTCAAGCAAGGTACTAACACCTTTTAAAACAGACCACTCCAATATGTGCCACGAGTGAGTCGGCATACCAGTCGTGAAATACTCAGACTTACATTCTTTCAGTTCGCAAATGTATTATCTTCGTGACGAAGATACATGGACAAATATTGATTATCAGGCGAAAGCTCACACGTGGATGAAGCCGCTGCAAAGGGGCAAAGAAACTGGGGTCGTTGAGATTCCGGCTAACTGGTCCGTCAAATACATCGCCAATGTGCGCTGATTTGATGCTGATTATACGTGTGTTAAGGTACCTTGACGATCTTCCCCCCATGATGTAGGACGCAAGTCGTGCACAAAAGCAACATGCTAACACTAGTCTAGGTTCATCAAATCAAGCTCAAACTCTCATGGCTGGGTATGCTAACACGTTTAAAAACCTTCTCACGTCTATTCATGCATCCATCAGGTCAGCGCCCAAGCTGTCGAGCAGCTTTGGAAAGATACATTCACTTACCTCTATAGGTAAGGGTAAGATTGCTTGGTTTCAGCCCCCTGTTGATTTCTAGCGACCAGAGAAGAGAAAGATTTTGTATTTCCCATTAGCATCCACCCGGACGTTAGCGGGTCAGTCTCCACTTCTTACCATCATTTGAGTGTTCTGACCTCGGTCTTTGACAGTCGTCCACACGTACTTCTGATGCTGGTATATTTCACTCAACCTCCTCCTTGTTCTCTAATTCATTGGCTGTCACAGGAGAGTTTTATTGAATGGATCAATACTCACGATGACGTCCAGTGGCTAACCTTCTATGAAATGGCTCAAGATTTCAGAGCCACAAATGACCCAGCACCAGGTGCCATCATGCCCAAAGGCTTCGAGAAGGCCTAAGCTTGTCTTTACAATGCAATGTGTTTCATACGGCATGTTTGTGTTGAGACTTCTTTAGGCGCTGTTGAATGTTTACCTACTCATTTGTATCAGTATGTTGTATCAATTTGTGACTTATACGTTTCGAAAGCCATGGCAGAAAGGGTTCTGATTTATTTGAGTCGGACAGACCTTAAATGAGCTTGTGCATGTCATGTACAAGGTTACTGCCAGTGTGATCGTCATGCTTTGGCTGCCGTGCATAGCCTTCAAGTTCCTGCAATCATCACTGCTCAATGAGTCTTCATTTGCAATAAAAATATGTACAACCGATACGTCTCAGTAAGCGAACTCGAACACAATACAAGATCGATTCGAACAAGTTGATTTAGGTACTCCCAGTGGCTTCTTCATCTTCAAACAGCTTGAAATTCATACTTTGCAGAAACCCATCCAGAACGTAGTCCAAAAAATTCCTCCTATGTTTCCCCAACCACGCAAGACAGCCGACGATGGCCATCTCGTCTATCCACTTTTTGAGGGTTTGGCCTAGAGTACTCCCTCCCGGCGAGAGCTCATACCCCGGGAGCGATTTCCGCAGTATCATCTTCATATTCGAGAAAAGCAACTCTGAATGCTCTTCTGGCATCTTGTAAAGGAGCCGGGCCTTGGGCCTCTCGCGCGGCTGCGAAGAATACGGTTCTGGCAGGGATCCCAGCATTGTGCGACCAAGACATTGAATTATAGATGCCGTTAACTGGTAATAGCTCAGACTGACAGGATTGGTGGTCGGCCCAGCCATGCCGCATACTCTTCGTAATGAATATGCCATATGAAAACCAGAAGAGAAATCTGACGGTGAAGAGCGCTCATACATGAGCCGCGTGAGATCCACAACAAATCCATCTGTCGGGGTGTCTTCCTTGAATAGCGTTGACAAGATTTCGGGGGCCTGTGGGCTGGTACACAAGAGCGCATGCCACACTACAGGGCTGCTTGACGCACGTGCAAGAAAACTCACTACGGCGACTTCATCTTGGAGCTCTTCCAAAATCCCTTCACCTCCAGACATCACTGCGCCCAGTCTGCTCATGCAAGGTATCATGAATCGGAAGAGTTGAGAGGACGACTCGTTGGAAATCGAAGAGAGTAAAGGAGCGAAACTGACACCTTCTGCGAAAGACACTTCATCCTCCGAACATTTGCAGACCTTGAAAGCCTTCTCGACTTCTCGGCTGATTTCGTCTGCAAATGAAGTAGGCTTTGCTTTCTCCATGATTCTAAAGACTAGATATGCCCTGTCGTATGCCGTTTCGAACCGCCTGCTGCCCGTGCATATCTGCATTAGAAGCACATAGAGCACTACATCAACGAGTGTAAGTGCGTCAACATCCTGGTCGAGGACAGCCGCTGGCGACTGTGATGGTGGACGAAGAGCTGACACTTCTGTCTCCACAGTATCCGCCAGTCGCGCAATGAGCGGAACGAGAAGCTCGCTCTCAAGGAAATTGGCTGGCAAACTCCGGAACGCACGCACGGTGCGGAGCATACTCCTCCTTGACAGGAAGGTCAAAGAGCCTGTCTTCGTCACATTGACTAATAGAACGGAATTGAACTCCAATGTTTGGGGTCGCGACAGCTTTGTGATCTTGAACACAAAACTGTCATCTGCCCCTTCCTGGGAGGATCTGTAACGTGCAAGTGACATCGCGGATTGCACATCTACGTGGTCGATGTGTGCACCACGTTCGCCACTGGCGTAAATTGGAGTGGGCGGTACTGGATTCACGTGGAGCAAAGAGCTCACTAACGAACCCGGCTTGATATATTCCTTCATCTCTGGACGCAATACCACATGCCGCAGGACGAGGGCAATGCGAGGGCTGACTACAAATATGCGATGCAGGCCAGGGCAGCCACCTCCTAAACCTTCCCACAAACCAAATGTGTTGTGCGTGAGGATAAATTCTTCCCCTTCCGCGGCTTCCCAGATGCTGAAGAAGTAGTTGTCCGCCTGAGTATGGTAAGTGTACGCATCGTGGTTTTCGAGATCAGGTGGGATATGCGATTCAGTCATCATTTTTTGAAGACCTTCTTCGCCGTACTTCTCTATAAGTTCTGCAGCATCTCTCATGATATCTGAATGCGATGTGTCCAGGTAGTATCTGAGGACGTATAGCCAAAACTCGACAGCGGATTGAATACCCTTCTTTTTCATGTAGGACTCAATCCACTGACGGCCCCTTGCGTTCTCCGGGTGATCCGCTTGAAAGTAGGTGTTGGAGCATGATACCTTGCGATAATGCATGATAAATAGGAACTTCCGTAGGAGCTCTAGCGGCCTCCGCTTCAGAGTGAAAGTACCCTGAGGAAGCGCTTTGTGCAAGTCCATGATAATAGATGCTGCATGACGTTCGAGGTCCGCTAATTTCTCTTCTAGCTCGTTGATATTATACGTGTTTCGAACGTCCTGGTAGAGATTATGTACGCCGTAAACCTTTCCAATAGGACGAATGTCAAGGCTACCCGTGGCAATATCATAGTAGTAGACGTATTCAGGATCAACACCAGTGCGTCGAAATTCTTTTTGTCGTTCTGTTTTGGACCTGCAAAGAACATCATTCAGTATTCTGGTCTATTGTCCTACACGCAGAGTGCTCGAGAGGACACTGAAAACATACTTCACAGGACCGACTTGGAATCTTCGTAATATGAATCGTGGAATGAAATGTTGGTATTGTGTTGTAGGTGCACACGGACTCGGAGAGCCGTCTGTCTTCTGAGTTTCTCCTGCAAATTCTGTTCTGGCTTGTTGTTTTGGTGTATTCCTGCGACGTCGTGTCATTCTGTACTAGTAGAGTTCAACGAACCCAAGAACTGAGCGCTGAGCGCCAGTGAACACGCCATATCCATGCGGCCGCGTTGTCGTCACTGAACCCTTTAAAGAGCATATAGTAGTACTATACATAGATACCTTATTAAGTTATATGGTGCTTATAGTATCCGTTATGAATATTCAGGGCAGGGCAATGGTAAGACTATTGAGGATATCAGTAACCGCCGATGGTCGCTTGTACTTGGACCGACATCGTCAGCATCGCTAGCACTGATTTTATTAAAGTGGCTACACACTATACAGCTGAATATTGCGAAAGGGGTCTACGACTTAAGGACAATAAACCTGCATCTTGTTTTTCAAGACAAAATCGCCAAAACTCGTTATGCATCAAATTTTGCTCAAAGATCATCATCATCATTCTTAGATTACACGACTGCGAAAATTCAACAGTGTTCAAGATTCACCAGGTAAGATCTTTGCAATGTTCATTAACTCGGCCCATCTCTTGTCTTCTGCCCACACGATGCTTTGGTCTTCCTGCATAGTCAGAGCTTCATCAAGTCCATGCGTCGGCTTGCCCTGTTGCTCGAGGGCGGCGATCTCCTTGTCGAATGCGTCAAGCCATTCAATCGCCTTCTTCATTTGTGGATAATTCATGCTCGGGATACGAAGAGCCCAGAAGCAGCGGTCAGTTGCATGCGTGACCCACCCTGTTGCACGAGCTTCAGTAATCATCTCACAACTCTATGGATACTGATATACCTTTTGGACGCAGTTGTTCTGGAGTCCAGCGAATCGTATATCTGAGAATTGGGAACCCCGCCTGTTGGAAATCTCTTGCAAACATCCTCACGGGGATGTGCACTTGTCCATCACTTAGAATTTCTCCCATGTGCCTCATCGATTCGTCGATAGTTGCTGTACTTGGGAGCGTCTGATACTTCTTCACGAGCTTCTCAACGACGGGACGTGGGAAGTACCGCAAGATGTTAGGGAACACATCCTGTGGACCTTGAACCGGGTGCGCGATCGCGTAAAGGTACCACTCCTCGCTCAGATCGCCAATAGAAATGCTCTTGACTCCTTTCTCGCGCAGAGCACGAGCAAGGGCTCCCGACCGTTGCCAGGTCATTGGGTCGGGTGTGGTAGGGATCCAATTGCCATCAAAACATCCTCGGTACGTGCCGTGCTCCACACCGACTTCGTCTGTCTCTATTACCTTCATCATGGCTTTGATAGGAACTTTGGCAGGGTCTCTCAGAGTCTCCAAAATGTCAGGGGCATTAGGATCGAGATTGAGGGCGCGGCAAAGGGCTTGGAAGGATTGCCTCAGCTCCAACGGGGTTTTAGGGATAGTCCTGCAGGCAATGAGTGAGTTAATGGCAAGTGATAAAAGTAAGTGACTCACATCATTGCGTTTGATTGCAAATGGGCGGAACGGAACGGAGAGTTCTGCCCTGGTGGCAGGTGTGAAAGGTGGTGCAAGATTTGGTGTACGGCATGGGCACCTATTGCTCGTTAGCAATGATGTGAGTTCAAAGGAAACTTTCACTTACCAGCAGACAGCCCAGAAAGTTGTATATTGCTTGGGTCACCTGCACATGATGTCAGGATATCGACAAAATCTGACATGGCGTGCATGCAAGCTTACCTCCAAATGATGCAATGTTCTCCGAAATCCACTGAAGCGCTAACCATTGATCTTTGAAGCCAAAGTTTCCGTCTATCTTGGGCTCGTCGCACGCAAGGAAACCAAGTACCGAGAGCCTATAGCCGATGTTGATATGAATTTCCTTCCTTGACTCGGCCACATATTGTGACTGGGAGCTCAAGCCATGGGGCGAACCAAACTGAAGAAATCTGCGACAATGGGTCACTGAGAATTATAGGTCTATGCACAACGAACCCTCCGTGAATGTAAACCTTGACAGGAAGATTCGCCCCAGGTTTCGATGATGAATGGCACGCAATATTGACAAACAGGCTGAATAATGAAAGTATCAGATTCAGAGCTGGAAACAATATCCTGAATTGCTTACGGGTCCTCTGACGGCTCTCCGTAGCCCTTACGATCAGCTGGTGCTGTCGCTGCACCCTGTCCATCGTTCGAAGGCTGAACACAGTCTAAGGCAATTCCATCTTGTAGCAATGATTTACGAGAGTTTGATGATTTGACATACGCTTGGTCTCATAAATGTAATCCTTGTCTTCATATCGATAATCAGGAGGTAGTGGCTTTGGGTCCTGGAAGCGAACGGGTGGCAACGCGTAGGGAACCTCTAAATACTTGGTTCAGCGTACGAGTGTAAAGGGTCTGGTTGACAACCTCACCTAAGAACACTGAAGCGCCGTTCGTGGTTCTGCCACCTTTGATGGGACCGTACTTCGTCTCGACGACGACACTGACACCCTTCTGTAGCTCATCAGGGATGTGTGGGATAGGTGGGATAGCCATGTTTGCTCGAGGTGTAAGTGACAAGACGACTTGAGAGATTCGAGTTGAACTTGACAGTGGGCCGGGATGAACAATCACAGGTTCTTATAGGATCCACGATATAGGACGTGCATGTGCCACAGAGACCTAGGCATTATTGATCACGAGGTAGGAAGTTATATATTCGGGCTAGTACATGGATGAGTAAAGCGGGATGCTCGGAACGCCTTTATGTAATGTCCTCAACATCACATCCTATTTTGGAAAACCTCCTATTGACCGCTTATCATGTAACGGTAAGCGCTTTGTGTATGATTCAGCTAGCGTTTTGAAGTCCACTCTACTACAGCCGTGCTTTATGTTTCACATATCCCTTTGGCATCATAGCGCCTGGAGGAGGATCATTCTTCGCCCTGAACCTTTCTGCCATTTCATGGAACGTAACCCACTTCACGTTGTCATGAGTATTGACCCACTCGATGAACCGTTCCTAAACGCAGGAATGCAGTGTCACATAGGCACGCTTGTAGGTCATTAGAACCACTTACCAGCATGAGTAATACTTGGGGACGTCTAAATCAAATAAGTTAATCATTCTAAATGCGAAAGCAATGTATGAGACGTACCCGCCCACGTCCGGATGGATACTCAGCGGGAAAATGAAATCTTGTTCTTCCCTGTAGAGATATGTGAAGGTATCTTTCCAAAGCTGCTCGACAGCTTGAGGGGCCACCTAAGCGTGGTCAAGTCAGTAAACGGTTTTGGGAATTGTACCATGTTTTGCTTGCCCATCCATGAGAATTACTGCTAGCCTTCATGAACCTATGTTTTGCGTCAATGAAGCACGCTTTTCTATGAAGCATAAAACGCACATCATTGGTGTCATATCTTCGAGGTACCTTTGATAGAAAAGTTAGCTATGATTGATCACTCCGGCAAGGGACAGTGTTACCAGCTAGCAGGGATTTCAACGAGACCTGTTTCTTTTCCCCTCACAAGAGGCTTCATCCACGTGCGCGCCTTCTCCTTGTAGTCGATTTTGGTCCACGTATCTTGATCACGAAGGTAGTGTGCCTGGGAGCTGCGAACACAGCAGTCAATATCCGAGTGGGGTACACACATCCCAGATCCTTACTCGCGAGACATGTTCGAATGATCTACATGGAAGTATAAGAGCGATCCAATATCGTGACATAACTTGTAGGCATACCATACTCGATTCCTTTCTCTAGAAGGAGGGCAACGCCTTCCTTGCTTGTTTGCCACCACGGCGCTACACTGCCCTTTGGAGGCACTCCGTGATTGAAGTCTGTGAGTAATTTGTATGTGTAATCAAGAATATCACGTTGTTGCTCTGGCGTCAATGCATCCGGATTCTGTGGAAAATTAGCTGAGCCATGTAAGTCTAGTTGGGTTAAGTGTGTGCAGGCACCTCATGCGAATAACCGTGCAGTCCGCTAGATAGCTATCAGTCAGTGGTCATCATGACACAGGCACAAGACTAACATTTCATGACCTGCGTCCCTGACAGCTGCCATCTCTTTTGGAAACGTTTCCAAGCTATGGCCTGCACATTAATGGTGTGATAAAGCCCCAGTAACAAAACTCAAACTCACCTGGGATGAACCAAGTAGCTTTGATGTTGTATTTATCAAGTAACTTCAATACTCGCCAAACTCCAACTTCGCCCGCATACATGCCCTAAAAGATCATCAGGTAAAAATGCCATAGGTTAGGTTGAAAGCAATTCGATCATACGCGAGATATGTCTAGGGGAGAGTCCTCGCCACCGTACGAGCCTAGCCTGAAGTGGTCGCATAGAATACAGTCATTTCGGAGCTCACAAGGAATTAAACTTACCATCCAGCCACAGCATCCACATCAACACCAAACCCTATGAGGATCTCGCGGGGCATCTTATTAGGTTAGTACTTCTGGCGAAAAAGAGACTAGAACAGGCTCTTTATATAGCCTATCTTTAGAAAGACCAGGGCTGCAGAAGAGATCTTGTATTATGATTGCAGCTCGCTTTTGCCACGATCCATGATGTAATATCTCTTGGGGCCTTCTACACGTGTAGATTATCAAACCAAGTTGATAGAACACTGACTCGCGTCATTCAATATTCATCCGCGTGAAGAAGTCTTCTACAACACGATGTACAGCATTTCACAGACGTTGTGCGAAGCCCTTAGGCATTACGGCACCTGGTGCTGGTTCTTTTCTGGCTCTAAAGTCTTGAGCCATCCCGTGTAAGGTTACCCAGTGTACGTGATCGTGGGTATTGACCCATTCAATGAAACGCTCCTATGTATCGCCAGTTATTTAGAGAGCAAGGAGCATGTTGGATGAAACACACCAGCATGAGAAGCACGTGTGGACGACTGTACCAAAATAAAACACTTAGAGACGCTCAAGTATCGAAGAAGGGAGAAAGAGAGACTCACCCGCTGACATCTGGGTGAATCGTGAGAGGGAATACGAAATCTTCCTCTTCTCTAAGTGGTGTAATCAGTAGACAGTGGATTGCAACACAATTAGTATCGTTACCTATACAGATAAGTGAAAGTGTCTTTCCAAAGTTGCTCGACATCTCGGGTGTTAACCTGTCGGATACATAAATGAAACAGCCCAGAAGTGCTTCAAACGTGATGACACACCCAACCATGAGAGTTTGAGCTCGACTTAATGAACCTAGACTGATGTTAGTAGGTTGAACTTGCACACAGGTAGCGGGATCTGACATCATCGGGGGAAGATCGTCAAGGTACCTTTCCAATTGTGTAAGACGCATGGAAGGGAAGACACCAATGATACAATCCACGAACCAGTTAGCAGGAATCTCGACGAGTCCTGTTTCCTTGCCCCTTTGTAGCGGCTTCATCCACGTGTGAGCTTGCGCCTGGTAGTCAATCTTCGTCCACGTATCTTCATCACGAAGATAATACATCTGCGAACTGAAAGAATGCGAGAATTCCTATGAGTAAATACTGGCAGGACTGGTATACCGCCTTACTCATGGGACATGTTGGAGTGATCTGTTAAAACGGTGTCAATACTTCACTTGAAACGAGTAGCAATGAATTGTGACCATATTCAATGCCCTTTTCTAACAACAGCGTCGTCCCCTCCTTGCTGGTTTCCCACCAAGGGGCGACGCTGCCCTTCGGAGGAACACCGTGATTGAAATCCGTAAGAAGCTTGTGGGTGTAGTCCAAAATGTCCTGCTGTTGTTCCAGGGTCATAGAGACAGGGTTCTTTAGAAATATTCAGTACCATGCCCAGGATTGATACCATCACCATTTACCTCATGGGAATATCCATGAAGACCTCTGCACATGACATGAGAAAGATAAGGATCTCCACAGCCAAGGAAGCTTACATTTCATGACCGGCATCTCGAACTGCTTCCATTTGCATTGGAAATGTCTCCAAGCTGTGTCCTTCATATGCGCCCATCAATTCCACGTGTCTTGAGAGCATTGAACTTAGGACTGACCGGGGATGAACCAGGTTGTCTTAATCTTATACTTATCAAACAGCTTCAGAAGGCGAGGTACTCCAACTTCTCCCGCATACATTCCCTGCCTGACTTGAGCTCCCAACGATCATGTAAAGATTGTACCGTGACCATACTCGTGAAATATCTAACGGAGAATCTTCTCCTCCATAGGACCCAAGCCTGCATAATAGTACTCGGCGCTGATTCTTTTCATGATCAAATGGAAGACAACATACCAACCAGCCACAGCATCAACATCTACGCCAAATCCAATGAGAACTTTTCTGGGCATTAGGTATTTGTGGCTGAACCGCAAGAATATTCAGACAGTGTTGATGGGGAATCTTTGAGTCCTAGTCATGGTGAGAATGATATCACAACGATATATATATGAGGGAACGTAGGATACAGTCCCATGACCCTTTTCAAGGACCGGTAACGGGAGATGCAGCGAATGCTCACTCACAAACGATCTAATATAAGCCGAGTAGATAGCGACGCGGTGATGGATTTATTCTAGAGGACTGTTAAGCTGAACTCGAGAATTCGCATCGTACTGCTGCAATCGCACAAATTTCGACCAAAGCTATAAGTAAGTTGAGGGGATCGAGGCGACACCACTTTGCAGTCGCGGTTGAACGTTGAACTTGGCATTGACTTGGCAAGAGCGGATTCGTTACATAAGCACTTCATTGAGCAAGTTCAAGTTGTTGTGCCTTCTCGTTCCATGAGTGACATGGCCCAGCATGATAACATGTCACTGTCAAGAGATAAGGGACATTTTTACCAAGTGTCGCATGTCTTTCCGCAGGCCTGAGGCTCTTTCTCAGATGACCAGGACACGACACGACTTAGTAACCAAGCGCCCATGCCCTTATCTCCAACTTGACCGATATATATAAGTACACATGGCGTAAAAGAAGCGTAAGAACCCCGTGTCGTATCCGAAGATGTCGATCAGCTCGGAGAAGCAGGCGGAAGTCAGCGTCAACACTACTGGCAGCATCAAGGGCTACCGTGACTCTACTCCGCCCCGCAATGCAGACGATACACTACTCGCTGAGCTTGGCTACAAAGCCGAATTCAAGCGCGAGTTCTCGGTCAGTGACACTCCTTTACAAGTTGCCGCCCATATGGAAGCAAACATAATTCCGTCCAGATGATCGAGACAATTGCTTTTGCCTTTTCAATCATGGGTGTGGTGGCCTCTGTATCATCGACATTCTCATTTCCATTGGTCTCAGGTGTGTGCCTACCCTTCAATATCAGCCACGTGTGACACCGAGGTCCGCAGGTGGTCACGTTGGAATGGTCTGGGGATGGCTGATTCCCTGTTTCTTTGTGATGGCGGTGGCATCTTCAATGGCGGAGCTGGTATCATCAATGCCGTAAATACTTTTGTCACCTTCCAGAATACTGTGACTTGGGACCTTAGTTTTCGCCTAGGACTTCCGCCGGCCTTTATTACTTTTCCGCTAAACTCGCACCTCCGAAATACTCTGCATTAGCGAGCTGGATCACAGGTTGGGGAAACATTTTGTCAAATAGACACTTATCTCATCATGGGCTTTCCAGGATGGGCCAATATCACGGGCCAAGTCACTCTCGTGTGTTCCATCGACTTTACATGGTTCGTTAAGCAGTACTATATACTTCCTGTGACTTACTTTGTGTAGTGCACAGATGATCACTACCGCGATTGCGGTGAGCTCTGATGGAGCAACGATATTGAGCTCTGGTGCCACATACGGCATCTTACTGGCCATTCTATTTGCCCATGGCCTAGTATGCTCTGCTGCCACGAATGTATTGGCCCGCTTAAATCTGTTTTACGTGATTGTTAACGGCAAGTATTGGTTTACACGGGGTGTATGAACGTCTAGATCCCATTTTCTTCCAACAGTTGGTACCACTATAGCCGCCATCATTGCATTACTTGTCTGTTCTGGTGATAACAAAGTATCTACACAAGATGCCTTCACTATGTTCGAGAACAACACAGGATGGAGCAACAGTGAGCACTGGCCTGTAATCTGATGCCACTGACCGACCGCGTGTACAGATGGATGGGCTTTCCTTCTTGCTTTCACGGCTCCAATGTGGACGCTCACGGGCTGTGCGTGGGCAGATGTCATCTGCGGATGTACCATTGACTTCATAGAACTCCAGATGACTCCGCTGCGCACATCGCTGAAGAGGTAGCCGGTGCTCAGCGTACAGCACCCATTGCAGTCCTCGTGGGTGTGTTCGGGACGCAAGTACTGGGCTGGCTTCTCTTTATCGCGTGCTCCTTTGCAACGGCTTCAGTGGCCGACTTGTTGTCTGGTGCCTTACCACTTCCCATGGGCCAGCTCTTTTTGGATGTACTTGGAAAAAGAGGGATGCTGGCAATATGGAGTCTTATCATTGTTGTCCAGGTACGCTGAAGATTATCATTATTTGTTTTCGCATGAATAATAGGTTGATCAGTTCGTGACGGGAGCTGCACAAGGAGTCGATGCATCTCGTGTCGTTTTTGCTTTTGCGAGAGATAACGCTCTTCCCGGCTCTCGTTGGTGGAAGCGGATCAATCGGCGCACGCAAACTCCTGTAAATGCTGTCTGGTTGGTAATGACTGGTGCCGCCGTTTGTGGCTTGTTAGGTTTCTCCGCCGCCGCACTTTCATCTCTTGCAGGGTATGTTGGATTTCACTTCGTCAAGTCCATATCCTTAGGACTTATCCACATCCCAGGGCCTCCGTCATCGGCTTGTACGTGTCTTATGCAACACCTATCTTCCTTCGTATCACATCGGGCCGTGATAAGCTGGTCCCTGGCACATTCAGCCTGGGAAGGTGGTATATACCTATTGGGATCATAGCGGTTGCATGGGTATCATTCATTGTTGTTTTATTACTCTTTCCCCCAACACAAACAACCACCCCGGCGGGGATGAGTACGTATATCGAATGATTCTGATAGCCTTGATTCGGTTGCTGACAAGATGGTACAGACTACGCTGTCGTGATTATCATGGGCGTTTTCATCTTTGCGTCTATCTCTTGGATCTTTTCAGCGCACAAGTGGTTCCATGGCCCGATCAAGAATATTGATGATCCCAGATCGTCTTCAGAGGGGAAAGAGCTTTGAAGGGTGATATTTGGTCTGTTGTCCAAGCACATTTGTAGATGCTAGTGGCGTAGATGCAATCAAATATGGTGCTCTAAATATGGTGCGCTCCACCTGTGGAAGACTACTAAGTTGAAACAGAGAAGCAATGCAGTACTTCCTGCGCTTGTCTAACGTATTTCTATGCTGTCACAAATCAAGAATATAGGGTTACCAGCGTCCGATGAACGGGCCATCGACTCGGAATCCTGCGTTATCCGGTATACACACTGATTAGATTCAGAACTGTTAGCCTTCTGCTTGAGACTGAGGTATTACGCGTGCACGCGGCATGTGTATAATGCAAATTTTGTGTTACCTCCATTTTCTTCTTGACGTGTCTCCCAGCAGGGTCCAGGCCCCTATGTAAGTACACAAAAAAGCAATAGTGACGTTTTTAAGCCCGCGCGGTCAGCATGGCCAGTATGTAATATTATGCAACACGTATCGACCAACTCTTCTTCGCATCCATCATGACACATGAAGCATAATACATCGAAGTATGGCGAAATAATGATGACTAGGGGTGCCCTGTCATAGAGCGTCATCCTGCCCCGGTTCAAGATTCTATTATAGATCAAGTACGTTAGCATACGACGTAAAAGAACATGGGGCACGGTAATATACCGAACGTACGCAGGAATGATTCTGGATGCTTGTATAATTAATGTAGCGGAGGAACAACTTTTTCCTTCTATGATGTACAAGAGCCTGCCTGTGGGAGACTAACTACTAGTAGTAAATGTCAAAGTTGGATTTCCAAACCGCGCTGAATCCTAACCTTCCTGTTCGGGGGAGCGAGCTGCTGATCCTTTGAAAACCATGTACAATAGGGACAATCACTCGATGGCAAGCAGCATGTGCTAGATATTTTACATGACTGTGATTGAATATCTAAATTCTGAAACAACGATGTCGTACACTGCGAACGCAAATAGTGACTACTCTGCGGCCAACGGCATTTGATACAGGACTAAACTCATAATGCATAGATGGAATCTCCAATAGTAAAGGAGGAAATGAATACCAAGAAATTCGTTTTACTGCCGAGAGAAAACCAGCTAACTTGATCTGAGGTAAAATGAATCTTCTCGCTTAATTCGCGACTTTACCCAAGGGGGTTTTGGCCATGACGCTAATGACCTCGAAAAGTACCTGGGAAGCTAGGGTTGAAAACAATTCGGAAGTTTGATATTCATGACGTACATCGGCTGCGGCCATGGTCGTAAGCTCTGCATTCGTATCATATGCAGGAGCAACTTCAACAATATCGGCCGAAACAATGTGGAGACCATCCAAGCCTCTGATGATAGTGCGTAACTCGCGTGTAGACCAGCCTTGAGGTAATTGAGTTTATCATCTAAAAATGACGTACGAACTTACCACCGGTTTCTGGGGTGCCCGTCGCAGGAGCGAATGCGGGATCGATGGAATCAATCTATAATAAGTTAATTGAATGCTCCACAGCGATATGAAATTCCAACATACGTCAATGGACAAATAAACGGGTCGATCGCCGACGGTCTCCCGAATCCTTTTGATAATACCATCAGTGCCTACGAGATGTTCAGATAATGAATAATGATAAATCCTCGGCCTCGTTCACCTATGGTGTCGATCTCACGGGCTTCGATTCGTCGGAAGCCAGAGGCGTCGTCATTCGCATAATCGGCTGGTCCTGATAGCGTGGTCCGGATAGCACCATGCTAGATGAAGTTCAAAGATAAACTAGGATCAAAGCATTCGGTGATAGATGTTGGAAGGTAAAGAAATAAGATACTTGCAATAGAGCTTCCATTCTTAATCAGACCCTCCTGACTAGCCCAGTAAAAGTATGTGCCGTGGTTGATAGCGGCCTGGTCGGAAGGGGCGCCTCCAAATACAGAAGGTTTCCAGGTATCTAAATGGGAGTCGAAGTGGATGACAGAAATTGGGCCATATGCAGAGTGAATAGACCTGGGTGCGTAGCATTGAGTAACAGTCGCAAATCACCCGCTAGAAGCGAAACGAACCTAAGCAAAGGCAGAACAATCGTGTGGTCACCACCAAGTGTGACTACCCGTGGATGATTCTTTCCGTCGACCGAAATTGGAACGAGGGGCTTGCCGGTGAGAGCATCGTTGCCAAGTGGAGAAAAAGCAGGTCGGTGAAGGAGCTCCTTGTGCCCGCCTTCAATTTGCTGTATGGCGAACTTGTTGTCGTAGGGAGTGACTGGGATGTCACCGCAATCTACAATTTTGAGTCCAGAATGGAATGGGTTGACCTCGAGGGGAACATTGTATCCTCCATACAATGTCAACCGGCGGGATCCGGCACGAATACCAGCAGGCCCGAACCGGGCACCAGGGCGGTAGGATGTTCCGGTATCCTATGCAGAACACTAGAATAAACCTTTTGAATAAACGAAGATGCAATAACGTACAAAAGGTGCGCCGATAAATGCGATATCAAAGGTAGTATCTCGGTCCTTGCCAAGACATTGCACCCATGGTAGCTTCGCAAATGTGGTAATTCCAGAAAAAATAGAGTCCGCGGTTACTACATCGCGGGTGCCGGTGAGCGCAGTCAATAGGAGGAGGGTTTAGTGTATACCTTCATTATCGCCTGGATACACGGCCTGGTAGGGGTATTTGACATAATTCAGAGGAATTTGGTCTTCGTGGTGATGGTCATGGGCGAAGCCTACGGCAGCGAACACCAAAGCGAACAGAGCAACAGCTTGTGATTTCATCTCGGGGGAAAATTCTAGAGGGTAGAATCTGATGAGTTTCAATGAGCGTTAGGCTACTTAAAAAGCTTTTCTGACGGGAAAATTTTCGTATCTCATGACCGCTACCACGCCACGAGTATCACAAAAGATGGTGATTCTGTCTTGATAACATCACAGGTACAAGACGCTTTCCGCCATGAGGCCTGAAAACGCAAGGCCCCATCTGCCAGATGAAGCTTATCAGGGATAGTGAAATGGAAATGAGTCGGAAAATTCGGCTCACAAAAATACTCCACACGAGGTAGGATCAAACACGATGCAAGCCTCATTTTGAGAAGGATGCATGCTGTTCCAGAGGGTTTCGGAAGGGAATCGGCATGGGACAATCCGAGGTTCCGTTATATAGTCCGTTGCATCGGAATCAGCTATAAAGACTGTGGAATTGGTAACGGCCATTCACTAAGTCTCGCATCATGTCACGTACTAGATCCATGCATGAAACAGCACCCCTCCTCCACAACGCTCAACGCGCACAGCAACCGAATGAGCATTCCATTCAGAATTTTCCCGAAGTGGCAGGAGAGAACCAAACAATCGGGCCTCGCCTTCTGGCCTCCCTTGTCATCGATTCAATTCCTGGTAGGCTGGATTTCGTCAGCTTCAAGAAGCATGCACTAACAACCGATGTCAATCAGTCATATTGTCGTACATCTTACAGAATTCTATCCAGACAGTGTCGATCGTGATCACAGGCCGTCTAGGCCCAGAAGAACTTTCTGCGGCGGCATTTTCGATGATGCTGGCCTACGTTACTGGCGAGTAGCCCCATTGATTATCTTTTGCGAGGATGATCCCACGTCCTGTAGGCTGGTGCATTGCACTGGGAGGGGGATCAGCCCTTGATACCTTAGGCTCTCAGGCATTTACAGGAGGAAGTCGTTCCACCGATCTGGCTGTGCATTTCCAGCGTTGTGTAGTGTTACTCTGGATTCTTCTGATTCCCGTCGGCGTGCTCTGGGCATTCATGGAACCTGCCTTGTTGGCTCTCAAAGAGCCCCCTCGCCTTTGCAAGGATGTGCAAGCTATTCTGAGGATCTTGGTTTTCGGTGCGCCTGGGTACATTGCCTTCGAGTCCCTCAAGAAATACCTGCAATGCCAAGGTCAGTTGTATGCCGAGTATTCGTCCGTCGACTTACAAAATATGCAGGAATTATGAAGGCTGCTACTTGGGTACTGATCATAGTATCGCCAATCAATATCGCCCTCAACATTTTTCTTGTTCACTATACTTCATTGGGTATGCTCGGCTGCCCTGTCGCGCTTTCCATAACATACTGGTGTGCGTTCTTCCTCTTGATTGCAATGACATCGATCTCTTCCGTGCACAAACAAAACGCTACGTGGGGCGGCTTTCAACCCAAGGCTGTCTTCAACATCGAGAGCTGCATCGAGTTCCTCAAATTGGCACTCCCGGGTATCTTAATGGTAGGCACAGAATGGTGAGCCGCGACTGTCCCCAACTCAGGTATCCCACTTACTGTGAATAGGGCTGCATTTGAAATAGTAGCCCTTGCAGCAGGCCGGCTCGGAAAGCTTCCGCTGGCAGCACAGTCTGTTATCATGACTACCGACCAAAGTATGGAATTCACTAATACACCTCATAATGTATTAACCGCATCCATAGTCATAAGCACGCTGCCTTTTGGGTTCGGTCAGTGTCCAACGCAACGGACAATTCGTGCAGCTAACATCTCACCAGGGGTCGTCGCCTCAAATCGCATTGGAAACTTGATCGGGGCACGAACGGCCATCGGCGCCAGGAACGCAGCCCATGCTATTGCCTTGATTAGCGTCATCATTGGCTTTGTAGTGATGGTCATCATGTTAGCAGTCAGAAACGTACGTCAACAATTGTCTCGCTATGTGCTTTTTACCAAATGGCAGATAGAAATTTGGCTATATCTTCAGCGACGATGAGGATGTCGTCCAGCTTGTCAGTAGAGTAATGCCTCTAGTCGCTTCATTTCAAGTGAGTACATCTCTATGCGCGATATCTACAAATTGAGAAAGTACCGTGAGATCGCCGACGCTCTGGCAAACTCCTGCGGTGGTGTCCTTCGCGGTCAAGGTGGGCAAGCATTTGATGTGAAATGGGAAGCTCACCTATCAGTGCTTTCAGGCAAACAACACCTTGGCGCCATGTTTAACCTTGTTGCATACTACATTCTTGCATTGCCGATCGGAATCACCCTCGCATTCAAGACTGGTCTTGGCCTGCAGGGACTCTGGATCGGTGCGCATCCCGTGCCTTTTGCGAAATCACTACTCATCCTCATTCAGGTCAAGTCATCGGCCTATTCACAGTAGGCCTATCTGAATATGGTGTGGTATGGCTCGGAACAAACTGGGACCGAGAGGTACAAAAAGGAATCAAGAGGAACGCCGAAGAAGCAAAGCGAAGGGTGTTGGCTGAACGGATACGCCAGGAAGACGGTCTAACGAATTAACCTGAGAGACTTCACAGGAGGTGAAGGATTGATAAAGAACGCGTGTTGAGATACAAACTTGGGATTCAAACTTCAATGGAAGTGACGATCGCTCATCCTATATCTGCAGGAAATGGGAGTTATGCAGAATATAGAATATGAATCATAATCAAATATTTTTTCTGTCCGTTAGCACGCGCATGGCTTCCCCTCCCATCAAGAAACTGGCCAGAATATGAGGATATCGACCTCTGGCGAACACCGTGTGAGATTGATGATATGTCCGCGGGTGACTCCAAACACGTTGGAGTAGAAGATGCCAATCACTTTACGTTGATCCAAGGAAATTACAGTTCATCCCTGACAGATTGTTCTGGTGACGTTTGGAGGATGTCTGCTGACCCATCCAATATGGACCTAAAAAACTTGGTCAACGGCTCGTACTTGGTCATCCCTAAGTAGTCATGTTTATCAAGTAATCAAAGCTGTGTACGTAAAACACGCACCTTCATACAAAATTGGCACGCTGGATCCTGGTAGATACACGATGACCTTTGATGTCTTGCCCTCCACAGTCGCTGGGAACCCTAACGATACCGCAAATGCGCCATTTGGGTCTGTATGATGGCCAAACGCCATCTTCTTCCCGTAATTATTCGCAAGGACCTGCCAGAGCAGCGGAAACTTCTTGTCCTTGTTCAAGAGGATGACACGTGGGAGGTCGCTCGTCTGTGAGGGATGCGCGGGTCATATGAGGCCAAGAGACAGGATATTTGAGAGCCGAACCTTGTCCAACCACGCTGGGATGTCGTGGATATGCGGGAGAGCTTTCACGTTGTTGGGTACGGAGCGCGAGGCCCAGCGGATGAACTTGCCAGAAGTACGTTCGTTGGAGTCGTATGGCTCAGGCTCGGTCCGGCCACCACGAGGGAAGACTTTGAGGGTTGGGAACCCTTGAACACCCTGAACGAGTGTCTGAAATGACTGCACCAAGGGGTAATTGCGATGCGCACCTGTTCCGCGCACAACCGCTTGTTCAACTCGGCATCGCAGTCTACTGCATAAAACGGAATGAGTGGACTCAAATTCTGAGCAGCCTTGCTATACTCGGGAGCCATCCGTTGGCAGTGCTGGTGTGCTTGTTTGTCAGTTGAAACGAAACCATGGTTCTGGAACTCACCCCGCACCATGGGGCGACAAACGCAACCACACTCGTCCTCTGAAGTGGTTGGAATGAGAATTTAATTAAGGGCAGAATCAAAGCCGCCTACATTGCTCTTCATAACTTTACGAAAACCTTTTGGGTCTAGCATCTTGACCTTGGTGTCAGGAGGAAATATGGCTGCAGACACTATTGTGGGCAATAACACCAGGAGCGTGGTTAGAGAAAACAGAAGCATTGCAACAAAGGCCGGCAGGGACTAGTAAGTAAACAAGTAGACGAGCCAGCCAGAAGGTGTATCGAGTCGAAGTAGATCCAGTGTGGAATTACTGCTAAATATGCCATAACCGCGCTCAGAAACGTATACAAGACGTGCTGACGTGGCGTTCGGAATTTTGCATGACCCGTTGTACGTATACAACTCTTGAATCACGTCAGACTGGCACGACTAGTAGGGCTGCTTGGAATCTCAATACTGTTACTATATGTAATAACACGTATGTATGTCTGTGTTACTGTATTCAGTGAGTGAACGAAGGTAGCGGTGGAGCGGGGCGTCCGCATCAGACCTAGGCAGGTCCGGGCACAGTAGCAGGTGTCCTGGCGCGGTGGCAGGGGTCCTGGCTCGTAGAGCTGTCCTCGATAGGTAGCTATAGAGGTCTGGCCTTAGTTCCCTTGCAGTCCTTCCCCTTACAGCGGCTCGTTCAAGTTCTCCTGGTGGCAAAAATGACTTGGGTATACATCCTACCACCGCCCAGTGGATGCTTATTGTCCCAAGTTCTATCTCACTCTAGATTTTGTCATATTCAATATTCAGCTCGGTAGTATCCCTGAGTGACGAGCACGCACATACGGCTAGGGCGAGGGTCATGTCATGGTCATCGGCATCAGACGTGCCATCATCGTCCCCGCCAAAAAAGCTGACAACGACCATATGGGGCGATCTGCACGTTCCTCGGTGTACGGAAAAATCATCACCGCACCCACCGGGTGGGAAGAGTGCAGGTCCATGAAGGGTTGATACTCGAAGTAATGTTGATGGGGATGTGCCCAGTGCGTACCAACTAGCATCTGGTTAGAAATGGAGGCTTACGCGGGAAGTCAAGCCAAGCAGAGATGGCCGCCGCGAATAATGATAACATCCGGGTTCATGAAGTTAGGCAAAAGTACCAAGTACCGATCTGTCATAGTCCTAACACACCTCGATGATCGGCAGCCCAGCCGCTGCGAGGGACAGTAAATGTTCAATGCCATGAGGGAACACTTCTAAACCCTTCGACAATTGACCAGAGTTGAATGATGGATGTCAAGACAAGAATGTCAATAACACTCTAAGCTAGATCTAAGAGGTCCGGCAGTATGTCTCCTTGAAATCTACTTCGGGAAACCAAATAAACTAAATCAATACCATCACGAAAGTAGGAATAAATAAAAGCAAAATCCTCTGCTCTTTGTAGGACATCAGACAGCCGTTGACTTCACCGAAAATTACACACTACCATTGATAGTCGATATATGCGCGCGCTCCTGGAAAGCGATCGAGGATATGGCGGTTACTGCGTCAGAATCGGACACGAGCTTAGCATGATATTCTCGAACGCCAAGGATCAGGCGTGGTCCCAGCACAGACATCTGCACGACCATCAGAATCTGAACCAAACCAGAATAAATCTGAATTTCTAGGTAAGATAGATTCTATAGAGATGATGAACCGTGGTTGTATGCAGAGGTAGATGAAAGATTGACATACTGTTGAGAATGTTTGAGGCAAACTAGCAATTAACTGGAAGCAAAAAGCAGCAACGAAGCTACCATGTCCGACCCTTCAGTGGAAACAAGGAACATTAATCACAATATAATCTTACCTCGCAGAGTAAACCACGTGACTTTCCATCAACACGTTAAAACAGTCCCCGATCATCCCTCCCGCTGAATGTCGTCGCAGTTCACGGAGGTGTTTTACCGCTACCCAGACTGTGAGACACAGTGTGACGACCTCCCACACGGTGTAGAGTATCCAAGTAAGAGAAATCAGAAGTACGATATCTTTCGCGGAGTTAATCAAGCACAGATCAGCGCCAAAGGCAATGAGTTCCTCTGGTATTCATCAATGAGCCCCATGCACGTTTGTTTTCATCCATAATTAAGCGTACCCCCTGAACTATGCATCGTTGTCATTGCGGCCACCACTCCATCGAAAATGTTGTTAGCCAGGAAGGTGACAATGAGAAATATGAGGATCTTTCTGGATCGTTGATACATGGCATGTAACCGAATAATGATGATGACTTGCAACATGTTTCAGTCAAATCAATATCACTGAGGTCTCACAAGTGCCAAGCTCACCTGACAGCATTGCAACTACTAAAACAACCGTCCAACTCTCTGCGACGTATATAATCAAGCCTGACGAACACAGTCAGTGACCAACCTCGAATAGCACACACACCAAACAGACTCACATCTGTAGTCATATAGCGTGGCATTAGTGAACCAAGAAGTCAGCAAAGAACCACACCCACTGCTACAGGGTATTGTGGTCAATTGAAAGGGAATAACGACATATCTGTGCAGAAAACTCACTGTGTCTGTCAGCGAGATGGTCAGAACAATGTCTGTATACCGTTGATCAGAAAACGGAAAGACAGTGGATGTACTAAGGAGACGTACTCAGGATACTCAGGCTAATTATGAGGGATAGATGATCAACACAACACTGATTGTTTAGCTTTCCGAACATACGCAGCATATAAGATTCCAAGGTAGCGCACCTAGGATGCTTTCAAGTCAGTACAACATGGCGACCGCGACAGACAAACTACACACACTGAGATACAGAACTGTCATTAGCGACCAGCGTCGTTTCTGTAATTAATTATTCCATGGTTGTTCCTCGTACATGGGACCCTACTCACCCAGATCAGTTCAACCTACAAAACCATTTTAGCAAGATGGCTGTTCCAGTCATAGCATTAACATACCTCTTGTCCGAATGTAAGTGCTTAAAATACTTGTAAGATATCAGTCCTTCAATATTATCATGCTCACCCCAATCATACGTCACTCCAATAAAGGCGGCAACTATGAAACCGCCGTCAAAGGTTAGATTGAGACTCATCAGCCCTCAACTTCAACATCCGACTACTCTCTACGAACCTATAAAATAACTGGCAAGACGATCCGCTTTGATGATAGGCCACAAAGCGGGATCATTGATTGAGATCGTTATGGTCATATTGGTGGATAATGAAGCGAACTTGATAGATGCATAACAATAACATATGTTCGTGTTATATATACGCACACCGCTATCCAAGTCAATGCTTCAAGTTGAAAATAGAAATGAGATCAAGGGATATCGGTGCAATCCAGAGTCCACATACTAAATGTTTCAGGTGCAACTAGAGAGGTTGGGCTGTGCTTAGACTGTCAACTCTTCGCAAGCAGACGAGTTCGAGATTCGGAGGTACAACAACAACGCGAGAACGCTACTAGTAACTAGTAGTATAGCACGGCTATACCCGCGGATCCGAAGATCAATACCATACCCGGGTACCGTGACAGGTGTTACCCGTACTACCGCGGTGTTACATTTACCCGCGGGTACACAAACAAGAAATAGTAACACAGGTCTAATAACCTCACCCAACACTCTCGTCCTCTTAATCAAGGTTCATGTAGACGCATGAGCAGTAACTTGGTTCACGTACTTAGATCAGCTTTGTCATCCTCAGGCTGTTCGGTGCATCATTTTCATCAACATTGACATATGACCACGGGTAGCAAATCTCTACGCCGTACCTGTGCTATACCGTATACCGGAAGAGCTCAGTAGTTCAAGAACGTTCAAGCTCAAGTTGTTCCGAGGTGTTCACATGGGACACGACGATACGAACGGTAAATTAGCTAATTAATGGTACCGGAGAAGTAACGCGAGTATAGGTGTCTCTAATATTAATGTTGAGCAACTTGCGACTGGGTCTTGTGTAGTCTATTTTGTTCTATTTTCATTACATGTGTTATCAATGCTTGTCGGACATGTACGACGAGACGACAAAGAGGGTGAACGAAGATTGTAGCTCCAGATAAGGTCTATAATACTACAAGGCGTAGAGATACGATCTCTATGTCAGACACGCCGTTCTGAGGCCTCGAAGCTTTTCTGCATCTCATTCGCTGTGTATCATTCCCTCCTTCAAGCACCGATAGCCTTCCTTCTCGACATAGGTTTCGTCCGCTTGCGTTTCTTCCCCTGATTGAACGCATTCGCGATTTTCAAGTCGCGTCCGAGCACATCGTCCTTCTTCACTTCATAAATGCGGACCTAAAGGACAGTCAGCTAAATACCGCATTCCAATCACGTCGAGACGTACGATCCAGTTTTCTGATGTATATGCCTCCTCGAGGTAGTCCAAAGTTGGGCCCTGTATAGGCACATGCTGTCCTCGCACACGATCCATAGGCTGCTGACCACCAAACAGCTCCGCAAAGCGATAGTAGCTCATTTTGTACATCAGACTGTCACGCATCGCCGGGGATGCCTCGCTGTCTACACGGTACTCTCCGCGATTGAAGTAATTTGGCTCTTGGATCTCATCGGGCCAGACACCCTGCGCGATGCGTACCATCCAGAGGAACTTGTTGATGTCGTCGCCGCTGTATCCGATCAACCCACCGAAGATGATGAGCACGTAGCTGACATCGTGTTTGCGCAGGATGGGGTAGGCAATATCCTCGGGCGATGACATGGCTTTGCCCACTGTCGCAATGTGTGCTGTTGCATAAGTTAGCGTCAATTGAGGATGTTATATCATGGGAGAAACTCACTATTGTTCCAGGTATTGTTATCCACCAACGTCGGGCGATCCGCCATTCCTGCGATCTGGTAGCCATAGTCCCACCAACTCATGACAACTGCATCCTCTGCCGTGTTCTGCCTCAGCCAGTGGTACGCCTCCCTGAAATCATCAATGAGGTTCTTGCCTCCATCGGAGCTTGTCGAGCTCAACACGACGGATGGCGAGGAGTATGCGTTCGAAGTCACCCATGTGCAATGCACGACGAAGAAGAGAAGCAATCCGAGCGAGTTCAAAAGAACAACCAGGCGCGTGTCCATACCGAAGACGCCCCTTTCGGTAGTAGTGGCGGATTTGGCAGCTGCAGCAGAGGAAGTAACGTTGGAGACAAGTTCACTTAAGACACCGCCTGCGGATGCAGCAGCTTCCTTTTCTTTCTCCTTGTTCTTTTTCGTCTTCTTGCTGGTAGCGGGTGTAGCGGGTCTCGAGGCAGATGCTGTCCCAGTGGAGTGAGTAGTCGAGGTCTCACTCTTGTCGTCTTCAACACTGGGTTCGGTAGGGTCCAGATACGTATCCATGAGGGAGGAGAGTGCTACAGCGGCAGACACACAGACAACCGGGGTGAGGGTAAGCATCAGACGCACCATCACGCCTGCAAAGTAGCTGGCAACGACTGCGTAGATGATCACGAAGATGTGCTCGTCCCTCAGTGTACGGAAACACATCACGACGCCCGCAGGGAAAAGGAAAATCAGGAAATGCAAGTCCATGAAGAACGAAGGCCATGCGGTAGGCTGGTGCTCAGATACTGAAGCAATGATAGGGATGTACCTGTGTGTCTGGTCAGTGATAGAAGGTTGTGCACAGGTATCTTCTCATACTTCTTGGCATAGCCGGTGTCCCACAGGGAGTAGAATCGCCCAGTCCAGGGGGCAATCCAGCCCTTATAAGTAAGGCCAACAATTCCAAAGAAGCCGATCAAGCCAAGAGAGATGACCGCAGCAAGGAGTAATTCCTGGAACTGCTTTGAAGACACGTGTGCGCGAACAAGTTGCCCGAAAGCAACGATCTGCAATAGGCCGAATACACCTGCAAAGGTGTTCAAAATAATACGAGAAATGGGAATGATGAACGTACCAAGCGCAGCCATGTGTTCGCTAGTGCGAACAGGCTGGAAGCCAACGAAGGGGACCTGCATACTGGACAAGGTGCCGATCGCATACCATGACGAATACGCAACATAAAGTCGACCCGTAAAACGACCCATCAACATTAGGACGAGCGCATGCAGAGGAATCATATTTGTGATGAATGCATACCCGCCTGTGGATTGTTGTCAGAATCAACTTGAAAAGTAGATGAATGACATCATACCCCATGCAGCCACCATGTAGAAGTAAAATACAGCAGCAATAGTGCCCCAAAATGCGCTTCCCTGCTTGAGCGCCTTGATCCATGCGAAAAAGGTAAACATAAGCAAGAATATAGCAATAGCCTCATTATCATACGAGCCGGCGACGGAACGCGAGATGTAACCCGGTACTATGCCGATGAACGCAGCTGCAAGAAGACCAGCACTTTCATCTTTCATTTCTTTCGTAAACCTGGTAAGTGATAATAAATTGACTGCAATAATGGAGTGCAGAACGCGCGCACATATACGTGGCCCAAGCAGTTAAGGCGCTAAATCCTGGAGCTAAGAGGACGCAAATGTTGCGAATATCGACCGGGAGATTGAGTGCATGGAGTAAGTTGTATATTACACCGCTAGTTGCCATAAGACCGGGATAGATAGTTCCACCAACTACACGTCCGAGGGGGGTACCATGCCGTTGGGTCGAACCAATTCCAAAATTCCTGGAAAACGCGACTTGTGAAGTGCTAGTTGAAGAGCCTGAATGTTCTGCTTACATAGAAACCTTGCGAGGCAAGAACCTTTGTTGCTCGACTGTAAAGGAGGCGCTGAGCACGCGAATAAGAACACAAAATTTACGTACTAGTTAAACCATGGATCGCTGTGAAGAGTTCATTGTGTGAGTCGACGCATGTTCAAATACGGTTGCACGCACAATTCATGGATAATACTCTCGAAATTGATAACAGCAAATAGACGAGAGGCAATAGCAGCGCCTGATATGAGGGCAAGTGCAATGATACGGAGGAGGGACGCGGTGTTGGCAACGGTGACGGGAGACAAGTCAGAAGGGAGTGGGTAGGCAGCCGGCATGGCCGCTAGTAATTATTGTCGACTGTCGTGGACTGTCTTTTAGCAACGTTGAATGAAGAGACCGAAATATGAGCTGAAACCCTCCAAGCAATATGGAAATGCGAAACCTTGGCGTTAACCGAAAGTCGACGTGTCCAATGAATGTAGACTTTGACCCCTCCGTGGAGGGTCACACGCACCTGGCAAGCCTATTACTATTAGTATTGCCGTAACTATCTACTACTCATCGTTGCCAATGACAGCCATTCATATGCTACCAGTACTGGTCACGGTGACTTGTGGCTTATACGCTGGTCCCATTAGCTCAAGGTATCCTCGGTGGAAATCTAACATGGATATAAGGCGGGACGAGTCGACGTAGCCAGCTTCTGATACCAGCACTGCTTTTTCCAATGACCGCCGCGGTCCAAGGAATTCCGAGTCATCGTGGTATACGCCATGTTGTTTATCTGCAGGAGAGATGCTGGTATATGGGCCCTAAATCTATTACCAGTGAAGTGGTGCCTGCAATGACCGGTGCCGCGAACCTAATAGTGCAGAGACAATCACCTCGAGATACGGCATACTCGTTGAGTCAGGGCTGGATTATGCCTGCTGGATCAAACGCTGGGGCAACGCGCTGGGAAACGCGCCCGGATCCAGCATTCACACCCGGGTCAAAACATCCTAGCATTTTGCTCTCGCCGGAGTTTAGTAATTCAGTATCACAAAACTACCCTCCACCTCGATAACAAACCACTGCCCTAATCAGCTTCGGTGCGTCATAAGGCAGTGACGATACCATTAGAATGCGCCATGTAAGTATTGATGGAATTTCTACAACAGTGCTAGTTCAACACGTGTCTCATCAACCTTCCATCTATGGCAGGCGTGCGGAAGCCTCGAGGCGCAGCATGCAGCCCTCATAAGCGGCTCCAGATGCAACGGCATTCTGCACTTTTCTTCCAGCTCTCTTCATCTTGTAGCTCTTCAATAGCAGAGCCACTACATTCACGTCCTGGTGACTGAATACATACCAAGCAACAACCACAGTCTAGCCTTACGGGTATATTCGTACCCTAATCCATTTCAGGTTACTCGCAGATCTATCAAATCATGCTCCCCATTACCGAATTCCAGTTTGCGTTCTGTGGGATCGCGACCTTTGCGGCCACCTTCGGCTACGCATGTGCTCGTAGAGCCTCCTCCCTGGGCGCTCAACCAAGGCACGTCGATGTCGAACCGTGAGTCACGCAACCCAGCCGAGTAGTAGTAATCCATAACGCGGACTCAGCGAGGAGAAGTCTCTCAAGCGTAAGCTCGATGAATCTGATGCCGAATCCGAGGAAGAACAGGAGAGACCCGTCAAAAGGAGCAGAACACCTCCCAACGACCACGAGGAGGAAGTAAGTTTTAATCGAAGACGATGTAATTGTCTTCATTTGTTGAGCAACTTCTGCTAGGAGTGGGAAGTTGTCATCCCACCTCCTTCATATCAAGAGGCCCAGAATGCGGCACCCCATCCTGAACCAGCTGTTCAACAAGAAGTGTCCACAGTTGCTCAAGTTGGGGCCGCGCAAGTCGAAGAAGTCGCTGCAAGCGCTAATGAGGTAAAGTTAAGATTCAATTTGATCGTGCACCAGGTGACTCAAATTAATCTTCTGCAGCCCGCTCCAGAAGCACACACTCCACCGGCTACCATTGTTAACGAAAATGCTCAGTCGGCCGAACCACAAACCGAGGAGGTTGAGTCACAACATAAGCAGAGTCCCGAGAATCAGTCTCAATCAGTGAGGACCAATGAGCCCAGTGAGCCCCGCCCCGTTACACCGCCACCACTGTCGGCTCCCAAACCAGTTACTCCTGGTCCGAATGTCACTGCATTCTCATCTTTCGCAAACACCAAATCCCCCTTCACCAAGTATTCCAACACTCCCTTCCCGTCATCTACGTCGGCGTTCACACCTGCTTGGCGATGCGGCGAATCTCGTACCCGAAACTTTCCCGTTGATAACGCACCTGTGCTGTGTCCGAACGATAATGCGATCTCGCCGTCTCCAAATGAAGTTGCTGAGACGTCTTCGGCCGGTGCTCTAGGTGACCGTGCACAGGCATCCACATCATCAAAAGTATCATCACGTGGGTCACCGCCTACAACGACCTGACAACTTCATTAATCTATGGTATCCCTAGTCGTAACCGGTGAAGAAGACGAATCCGTATCTTCCGAGCTCAAAGGTGTCAAAATCTTCATAAAGCGCGGACGCAAAGAATTCACAAATGGTAACTTTGGACATATCAAAGTCCTGACGCATGACGAACGAACGCGCTTGTGTAAGTATATCTTCCTTGCAAAATGTTGATATTGATCATGTGCGGTGTATCAGTATTCAGACGGGACCCCTTGGGCCAGGTGTCGATGAACGTAGCCTTGCGGTCTGCAGTGCGGTGCCATTATGATGCAGGTGAAAGTATTCTCCGAGTCGTGCTGATGGAGCAGGTCGCTGCTGAGGGGAAGGAACCGAAAGATGAGGTTGTGATCTATGCCCTCAAGGTAGGTAACATAACTTTGATCCAAGAACAATTCGGTTAATCAATCGACATGCAGCCGGGGCGTGCACCGAAGGCCGATTTCAAGGCCTTTGCTGAAACGCTCTGCGCAAACGAGTCTCTCAAAGTGGCATCATAATCCCTCCTTCCCCTTGGAGGTCATGGCAGATGTCATGTGCCATGCCGCAAGACGCTGGACGTCTTCATTAGGACGCAATATGCGTTCGGGCAGTAAGTTGTATGACAGTATGTCGACAACTTCGCCGCATGTGCAAAATGGGTTTGGTTGGTGAAAGACCTCGGCACGTCCAGACCACTGAACAGTTATGGATATCCCGACACTGTATATTGAATACACACTAAAGATTGTACGAATTTTTGCTCGTGTTGCGAACACAACACGTATTCTAGGCAAGTTTGTACGTCTACTCTATAGAATCATGACTCCAGTGCTAAGTTGTCGGAGACTCGAGAAGATCACAACTACGACATAGTCAGAATAGTGGCAGATCACAAACTTTTGCGCTCTCAGGAAAGGTGCTATGTGAATCTCTTGGAAAATGTGCCACTGATCATGGTCACTTCGATAAATAAAACTTACGTTTCGAGTGCTTAGTGCAGTAAAATGGTAATGCGTTGTGTGAGTGACCTGAGAGGTATCGGGTGCCATGGGTCATTTCAATATTCTGAGCTTCGTAGCCATGTTATGTTCTTGAGAGCTTAAGTTATCCTGAAAGATCACTTCAGAAGTATGGAAACTGAGTTCATCTGGATTCTGGAATGTCCATTTCCATTTCCATTTCCGCAGCTACACTTCCGAGAATATGCGATCGATCGAGGCCGTGTAAGGCAGGTTCTTATCTTATTCTACTGATCAGACCTTTCATATTCTGCTTAGAACGCGGCTTATACATGCGGGCGGGCGGGGCCGCCGATCATTATTAAACTGGCGAGCCACCGATATTCCCACTCCTGGGGCCCCATCGGAGTCAATATTTAGTGTTGGATAAGTCACAAATATAGAAATTATATTCGAAATTGGCGCAAATTGTAGCTATACTTCATCAGATTTTGTATAACACATTCAAATTCGGCTTGAACTGCTTAAGTTCAGCCAGCGCTAGACATTTGTGATTTCGAATGCGATTTTATATTAGATTTGTTACTTATTTGAGGTGTTGAAAGTGTCTGCCGCCCAAGCGTACACAGAGGTCACATGATGTGTTAGGTCACGGTTACGACTCTTGGGCTAACTTGAAGGCTGCCGCATCAGCATTCGAATGAGTTTCTTGCTGTTTCTCTTTGGCTTGCCTAGTGAGCGACTCGAAACCTAGTACGCAAGCTTTGAGCGGTGCCTCAGAAGTCTCTCCAGACTCTTCACTTTGCTTTCCTCGTTTGCCACACCATGACTCGCGGCTTCAAATCCCCTGCTGCTCAAGTACCACTGCCTAAAGTGTCATTTATTATCGTCCAGGATGATGATATCAACCAACCTGCTGGGGTGCACGACCTACAAGCTAGATCTTATGGATGTATGTAGTGTATATGCTTTGTCAAACTACTCGAGCCAACTCCTTTGCAGACAATGACTTCACTGAATTCCTGAGACCGGATCATTACATTCGGTACATCGGTGAGCATGTTCACGTGTAATAAACGATTTATTTGACACAAAATAGAGCCCCTTGAGAAAGACCTTGCCATTCAGGTAGAATATGACATGGACGACCAAGGTGGGCACTCCCTTACCCCTCCTTCGCTTTACCAATATATTAGAGCAGATCAGGAATGGCTTGACGCAGCGAACGTTGAAAGGAAGAAGGATCAACTGAATGCGGTCACGTACGAGACGTTTGAGATTATCATGGATCGCCTGGAGAAAGAGTACTTTGATTTGGTACGCCCCTCTGTACCATGTATAGACTCTTCTTACTTTGCCACTATGCAGACAAAGAATATACCCAAATCTGATTATGCCATGCCTTCTGAGGATTCGACTTGCGCCATTTGTGACGATTCCGAGGGAGAAAACAGTAATGCTATCGTATTTTGTGATGGCTGTAACCTCGCTGTTCATCAGGGTATTTCCCTCGAACTTTTGAACATATCACTTCACTCATGTACCAACAGACTGCTATGGAGTCCCGTACATACCTGAAGGCCAGTGGTTATGTCGCAAGTGCACCGTCTCCCCTGAGAATCTAGTGGTGAGGAGATTTTGAAAGGGCATGCATATTTCACTAACGGACCTTCAGTCATGCATACTTTGCCCCAACGAGGGGGGAGCGTTCAAACAAACAGTATTTGGTGACTGGGCCCATCTTCTGTGTGCTATTTGGATACCCGAGACGCGGGTGGCAAATGAGGTATTCATGGAACCTATCACTGGATCTGACAAAATTCCGAAGCAACGCTGGAAATTGGTAAGTTTTTTTTTCGTCTCATGTTTCTTTCGTTCATTGACACTCTATCCAGAAATGCTCAATATGTGGCATTCGCGAGGGTGCATGCATCCAATGTACAAAGAACTCATGCTTCCTGGCCTTCCACACAACCTGCGCTCGCAAGGAAAGGTTACTCATGCCAATGAAGAGCTCGCAGGGATCTGAGCCTGGTACGCTGGCATGCTATTGCGAGAAGCACCTTCCTGTATGCAATGCCGTCTCCCTTACATTGGAAATCACTCATCTTACTTTTTATATATAGAAAGAGCAGCAAGACGCTCGCCTGAAAGCTCTTGCACAAGACGGCCAGATGACTAGCCCCAATTCCAAGCTGTCCAAATCTGCTCGTGCATACGCCAAAACTTACAAGACCGGCCCACCGCTCGTGCCACACATCATTGTTGAACGCATCCTGAATTATATCACCAAGGTGAATGTGCGCAAGAAAAACGAATTTGTATATATGGTTTGTAAATATTGGAGCTTGAAGCGTGAAGCGAGGCGGGGGGCGCCGCTGTTGAAGAGACTGCATCTCGAACCATGGACAGCGTCAAACTCGGGGAAAGTACAGACGGAAGAAGAAAAGACTGTGAAACTAGAGGTTCGTTTTCCTTTCTGTTTCTTCTGCAATGGCTAATGTTCGTGCAGTACTTGAAAAAATTGCGCGGAGATCTGGAGTCTGTTCGTGAATTGACGCTACAAACTCGCAGACGGGAGAGCCGGAAGCTTGCACAGACTGAGAGCATCCAGAAAGTGCTCGAGATTGCACTCTTCCCTCACGAGGCACTACTCCGGCTTGCGTTTGAGAAGGTTCTTGCGTACGCGGTGCTCCAAGTCTTCAGATTGAAACGCTGACATTTCATAAGTCTTGACCGTCACAGTCTCTTCAAGCATCCGGTGTCAAGGACGGAGGTCCCCGACTACTATGATGTCGTGAAAACGCCCATGACCTGGGATGCGATCGATGGGAAGCTTGATCGTCACGAGTACTGGGACCTCGAGGGTTTCAAGGTGAGCTATGATTAGGCTAGTTTTACGCTTCCGTTTTTAACATCTCTCAGAGTGACATCGAGTTGGTACTGTCTAATGCAATCCTGTACAACAAGCCTGGTACATCTTTCTACAAGACCGCACAAAGAATACAAATAAGCAGTCAACCCATCCTTCAGGAACTCAATTCCCTTGCCTACAATCACTCACCCCTTACTCCCCCTGATCCTTCCGACTCCTTCGTTCTCTCCCAGGTGTCAATCGGAGACCTAGAACCTTTAATGGAAACACTCCAGCTACTGACGTCGACTCAAGACATTCAAGATAACACTAATCTTCTTCTTCATACCGATCCCATCTCATCACTATTCAGCTTTGAACTTCCGCTCGTGAAGCCCCCACCGCCTCCTGCCCCAGCTCCATCTCCGCCGCCTCCGAAGTCAAAGGTATCCAAAAAGAAGCGCACTCCCAAAACTGTTGAACCTGGTCCTCTGGACACCTCCCCAGGCTTCCGTGCCCCGCGAACTCGCCGAGCTCGTGCCGCAGCCGCAGCTTTCGAGGCTGAGGCTGGCTTTGAACCCGAACCTCAATCCACTGCCGAACCTGAGCTGGGAGTAATTGAGGGTGATCAGAAAGTAGCTTCTGAACCACCGAAGAAACGACGCCGGCAGAGTGCAATGCCTGGGCAAGCAGAAACGCCACCCATGGTCACAGATGTAGACAGTCAGGGATTATTCAAAATGTTTGATGCCGGATGGATTTTACCGTCGGGACAACGGAGGGGCGGACGCCAGCCAGTAGAAAGGGCTCCACTTCCACCAAAGAAAAAGAAGATTGGTAAGTCGATATCTTCTTTGCTGTTTTCTTAAACTGATCGTCGTAATGAAGATCGTGGGATGTCGAGGTTGTCTGTATTCAGCACAAACGCATCGGATAATCAGACTCTAGACGAGATTTTTGGACCCTCTGGCTTGTCTGTAGAAGAGAAAGCGGAGATGGATGTCAAATCTGGAGTAATGTCCGAGGCGGGTGCTGCTGCCACTGACATGGATGCGCAGGCAGAGTTAGACCATGCCATTAATGAAGAGATGGAGGTACCCATGGCTCTTGATATTCCAGAGAAGCACCAGGAGGAAGAACCGGAGAGGCAACTACTACCAGAACCAGAACCTCAACTGGAAGTTCAACCGGAGAGGCAGCTACTACTAGAACCCGAACCTCAATTGGAAGTTCAACTGGAAGTTCAACCGGAGAGGCAACTACTGCCAGAACCCGAACCTCAACCACTGGAAGTTCAACCGGAAGTTCAACCGGAGAGGCAACTACTGCCAGAACCCGAACCTCAACCAGAAGTTGAACCGCAGGTAATAATCCAGCCGAAGGTCACAGAGTTAGAAAGGGACAGGGAGGAGACACGATCAGAGTTAGAAGCGCGGATAGCCAAGATCCCCGTACGACCAAACACGAAGATCAATGTCGAAAATGGGAAAATTGTGGTGGAGGAGTTAGACACGCCCAAACTTCGGCGGGAAAAAGCAAGGCAGCGGAAAGCAGAAAAGGCCGCGGCCGCGGCAGCTGCAGCTGCAGCTGCCCAAGGCCTTCCGCCACCCAACACTGAGATCCCGAAAACCAACGTCGGGACCACTCAAGATGACGTATCCGATTTATCCTCTCTGAGCGAGCTGGACAGTGATTCTGATGAGAAGCCTACGACACGGGGCGAGGCGACTACATCCAATACCATACCCGACGTAAAGCTCGTCGGAACGCGTCAACTGCAACGCGCGCCAGCCAATCTCGTTACTACAGGGAAAGCGCTTGTTGTCCTTGAACCGGGAAAACAGTTAGAGTGTGGTACTCTTGGTAAGTCGACCGATATCTTCACAGATTTCTCATCTGACGATGGTTCCTTAACAGTTTGGGCTAAAGCAGGTCAGACCTCGATAAATGGAATTCGGCAGTCTACAGACTCTTACTGATATCACTTCATTAGATACGTATCCATGGTGGCCTGCAGTCGTTTGGGAACCGGATGACCCAGCGATTCCAGAAGACGTCAGGAAGAAGAGACCTCAAGATAATTCTCGTCACATCGTACAATTCTATGACCCCACAAGTTCATGGTACATCTCCGAAAATGAATAGTTGGATTTTGCTGATCATTTGAGCAGGACATGGGTCACCACTGGCCATATGTTGTTACTGGGTGAAGATAATGGTAAGTGCCAGTAACGTTGTGTGTGTGTTACTGCTGATTCTCTCATTAGCGGTCGATGCTTCTCTACTTTCGCCAACCTCGGTGGTCCAAAAGTGGAAAACACCCAGGATTAAGAAACAATGCCGGGAAGCTTTCGGGTGAGTCCTCTTCTCATTCTTCATATATTTGACGAGAACACGTTGCTTCCAGGCGCGCCCTGGCAGAGATGGAAACGGATGCAGATTTACTTGCTCATGAAACGGAGGATGTTGCGACTGAGGTCACAAGCGCTGGTTCTATGAAAGAGCAAGGTCCCACTGATGTTCACATGGCTATGCCAGTCGAGCAATCTGCTTCATGAACGGGGGCTTCTTTCTGTACTTTTGTGCAGACGAGTAACAGACTGGTCATCAGACATGAATATACTAATACAGAGACTGTACCAAGTCCCAACCCGTGATCCGGGCTCCACATTTTCTCAAAAAACTGCTGGGAAACACGTTGCTTTATGGGATGGCCAAGATTTTTTCTGGTGATCACGGTCGCACTGTTGGTAAAGCATAGTGAGACAGACACAAGAGATAGACGTGTAGGTACTTGCATAAACAGCTGTTTTGCACCTGTGGCGTGGTGAGGCCCAGGTGAACTAAAGAACGAGAACAGGATCATACCGAGAGCATTGCAAGAGCTTCGAAGTTCCGGACTTTCCACAGCCGTCAAAGCCGCATTTATTAAGAGAGCTTTCACAGTGTTGTTTCAGGCCACCTGCCAGGATCGTTGTCTCCCTTGTTTGGGGGTTGTCATTACCCTTCTCGGCGACGAACGGGAAACTCACGGATCATCCTCCAGTTGCTTGAGGCAACGCGTAATCTGTTGCTTTTGGTATTTCCTATTCCATTCACGCAGTTTTGGGAGAAGCGCTTGTTTGTCTTCCTCGCTGACGGAATTCGTACCCTGCAGGGCTAAGAGGGTCGAGAGAAACTGGCACATTTCTACGATGTGCACGGGATCTGCTGGAGCTGAAGACGCAGTGGCCATGCGATGCGCTTGAGTCTTACAAATCGACGTTTTGGCCGTGGTCAATAGAAACCTAGCGAAGTAAGGCCTGAAAACTGTGTGTGAATGGGGCGAAACAGGTAGTCGAAGAGGACTTGCAGGTAAGCAACGGCATTGAGCATTCTCATGGGTATATTGAATGCCGCATCTTGCGCATCGTAGGCGTCTACAAGGGCTGGGAGATATATGGCGCAAAATTCACTGACAGAAGCATGGTTTAGGGTTCAGCCAAGGAAAAGGGACAACCTTGGCTGCTAAACGCACGAATTGATCACGTTTTGGGATGGATTTCTTTGGAGCAAACCAAGCTGATGTGCAGATGAGAAACGGTGAGAACGATGGTGTTGCCAGTAGGATACGAACCTGTGATTCGAGAAACACTGAATTTGCCTGGTGATCGCCAGTCAATCCGCAGTACTCAGCCAGCGAATCTGCCGTGACGTTCAATAGCCCTTGCATACCAGCTTGCGTGCCAGACATCCAGCTCATCGTTATGATACCACTACGAAGACTAGAGTAGCTCGAGGGAGGGTCACTCGGTTCAAACCCAGGAACAACGTGTGCAATGAGGGCATAAGCAGGCCGCAATCATTATTTACGTAGTTCATCGATGATCAGTCTATAGTGCTGATCATAAGTAGTAAATCGGGACCTTACTGGAGAAATAAGGTTTAGTAATAGCCTGTTTCCAACTTCACGTACGCGCGTATATACGGCTTCTGATTAAATCACCATAGGAAATGAACGTTTGCAAGCAAACCGGTTTTTTTTTCCTGCCGTCAGATATCTATCACGTTAGAATTTTGAAAAGACGATGTACAAGAGACCGGCTCATTACAAATATAACTCCCAAGGCGATGGCGAAGGCGCTTGATTGATAGACATGCGTGAAGACACCTGAGAAACCATTACACAATTAACAATAACAGGTCACATGTCACATGTCACTCGACAACTTTTCACTCCTTGCCACAAGTTCAATAACCTGAACGTATGGTGAGGCTCTAATACTGAGCAACAAAGTGATGATGCAAGTCGTTGGGCGTGGCAGTTGTGGGGTCAAACGAACTCACCCGACCTGGCGACTTAGTACTAGAAAGGTGACCGACCCCTGGGAAGGCACGAAGTTGACCCCTTGGTTTCAGCTTTTCTTAAGTTACATGATGTCACGCGAACCGTCGGGGCCTGGGATAGGTACTACGTCAAGCACTTAACATCTCAGAGACGTAGTAAAGACTGGTTACGGAGACAGCTCTGTCAAAAATTTGACCCTGGCCCGGATTCACATTCCGATAACACGTGGTGAGTTGAAAGTACTCATTACATTCCGCCAGGAATTTGACAACCTCTTGCAAGTATATGTCAGAATGACGCTCGAGGATCGTGCATGCTGGGCTTCGCGAATCACCACCACAGCATGGGAACTCGCGTATATGATTTTTGAATGCCGGTAGGTTCAAGCCAAGACCAAGGTAGAGCAACGTGTGCACTCACGCTTCAAGCGTTCAAATTCAAATCCCAGCCTCGGCAGAATTGGCTAACTTCGAGTAAGTAGATCCGGACCGATTCTGTATGCTTGTGCTCTATCTGATAGTCCGATGATTCCACAGGGACGATACACTCATGGCTCCACCTTCTCCATTTTAACTAATGTCAAATGGGGTACTTACCCGATAGCGCTTGCCTTCACGAAGGCATCGTGACCATGTCTATCCAAGAGACCACTCTGCCACGGACGTTAACATGTCAAAGGCCTGCAAACGCTTCGCTTATTATGAGGTTCGATCTCAAATCATGCACTTGCTTGTCACGGTTACATGAATGGTGGTGAGACTTCATTCGATGTTTTCCAGCAGGAGCAGATAAGCACCGCCCTTGCTACCGAATCTAGCCTAAGAAGCTGTTACAGCCACCGGTGACGCAGGGTCACCCTTCAAGTTGTCAGTCGTGTGATCATCGACCTTTGGGCCTTCCCGTTGGTAGCGAATTATCAAGGACAGACATCTGATAGAGTGCGGCACCGCAAGCTCCGCTGTCGTACAGTTTTCATTAAAACGTCACAAGTTCACAACCCTTGCCAGTTGACGGGATTCCGATAGCCTGCCCTATAAGTATTGTACGTTAGTGATTAGCAACCCATCCCTTACTCTTTGAAACTGCCATTTGATCTGCACAGTTTTATGCCGGAACTAGATGAATATATGTATGCTCTTGCCTGGAATAACAACACATCAGGTTCGTTAGCCTTATCGGAAATGGTTCATTATGCTAAATTTCATCGTTTTTCAGTTGTGGTCATTACCCTGATATTCTATGAGTACGGTCAGTAGCTCTCATGAACCTTGCAGTGCAGCTGAACGTAATGTTATCTAGTGCTTCAGTTCGAGAAAGAGGTACCAAAGAGATCATTTTGTCTTGGTCGATTACTCATGATCATATTATCACAGGTCACGTTTGTTTGGGTTAGAAATCAACCTCGACGTTATCGAGATCCGGAACTGACTGGATATGCAGGAAAGACAGTGGTCGATGATGACGTATCTATACCTTGTTGTGAGTCCCACCCTGCCAAAGTGCTTGATAGTTTCCCATTTTGTTGCTATTTCAGGTTCGATATTTCGGTATTTTGATTGCAATGTACGTTGCGGTGTTGTATCCTTCAGATGGATATTGTATGTTGACGCTGGCTTTTAGAATCTCCGCCTGCTGTACGTGAGGTATACCAACTGAGCTGTCATTAACTGAGTAGTGCTAGGGGGAGGTCTATTTTATATACCTGAAGCAGTGAGTCTATCAATTCTTTCTCTAGAGAATTCTAGGTTGACTAAGATTCAGCCGTACGTCAGAAGTTTGTTTGACATTTAAGCATGATCTGCTGACCTCTTGTTTAGTTGTGAGTATATCATATTCAACTGAAACTAGGTTTGCTCATCGTGAAATTGGAATAGGTTATGGTATGTTTCTGTTTATCCAATGGAGTCTTTCTGTATATTTTTGCTTGGGAGAAGGTAAGTCAAGGTCGTATACATACATTCTCGCATACCCATTTCGCATTTGCAGTCATTCTCATCTGGCGTCTATACGCCTTGTACAACCAATCCAAGCCTATCCTTTATGTTCTACTGGTGTTGTTTATACCTATTGTCGCGCTCTATATAGCGGTGGATATATATTTATGGAGTCGACCCTCAGCGATCTCAAGTAAATTTCTATTTTGATCGAATTCTGTGCAAGCTGATGCCTTGGTGCGTAGTACAAGAAGTAATAATAACCCCAAACATCAAGTACTGCGCGGCTTTCTTCCACATCGGACCCATGCCAGCGATATATACTTCCATCCCCGTCATATGCTATGATATCTTCCTAGTTGTCCTCGCCATTGCCGCCCTCGGGAAGCACCTGAAAGAACGGAAGGGACTTCGAATGAAACCTAACACCTATGTAATCGTGATCGTCCAATATCATGTGATATACTTTGTCCTGTAAGTTCCCCTTCGCTTGTTGCGTTCTCTGAAAGCATTCATCGCGCCACGCTAGGAATTTGGCGAATCAAATATTCATGGCGATATTGTGGGCCAACCTTTCGGTATGATCTCTCTTGATTCTAGAAAGATGCGCTCTAATGCAGGCATACCCAGACGGTAGTGATGAATCTCCTTCTAATGTTCAACGATACTGCACCATTTATTATCGTGCCACGTCTTATCATCAGCATTTGGGAAGCGCATGCCAACGATAACTGTGTGCATGTCAGTACAACATTCCAGGATTGCCTCTGTTGGACTTCGCCACCGATGTTGGAGGAGCACGAGCTGGACTCGCGCGAATGATATTTTAACTTAGGAGGAGGTAGAGTGAAAACCCTTCGCCCGGACTCTTGTCATAGAGGAATTCTCTGATGCTAGTCCATAGTGTCATATCGAGACATCTAACACTGTACATTGTCGCTACCAAGGATACATCAATAGTGATTGATTCATCAGTGGTTTTGGATGATCGGGTTCCTCCACATCATCTATGGCAACGTGCATTCACTATCAGCGACCATAGCATCGCAGTAAAGTCGCCCCCATGCAGCAGACTGTGGCGCTTTTGACTAGTCATACTCGCCTTATGTGCCTGGCTAAATACTGCTCATTATCAAACTAGCTGTCGGTACAGGTCAGTACTCGTACACTTAATATAATTTTATTTGGCTGTTAAAATCAGGCACCATCATTCATTGAGTGAACGATTGATTTGCCCTTTTATTTTGCACTCAGCTCAACATGCTGTTTGGAGGTTGAGAGCTGCCGAAATGCCGACTGTATTCTTGAACAGACTACTTCCGATTGCGATTGTCTTCCTCAAGGCATCATGATCATGTCTATTCAAGAGATCACTTTACCGTACGGACGTCAACATGCAAAGAGCCTGCAAACGCTTCGCTTGTTTCCAGGTTTGAAATTTGATCTCGGATCATGCACTTGCTTGTCAAGGTCATATGCATAATGGAATCTGGATGCACAGTGGTGGGACTTCATTTGATGTTTTCCAGCACATGCCGGGGTAGATAAGCACCGCCCTTACCACTTAAGCCAGAGGGTCGGACAACCCAAGAAGCAGTTATAGCCACCGGTGACGCAGGGCGACCCTTCAAGTTGTCAGCCGTGTGATCATCAATATACTTACGACCTTCCGAATCCCGTTGGACCTTGGCCTTGTCGCTGGAGGTGAATTATCGAGTACAATTATTCGCGACATCAAATGGAAAAGTGCGGCGCCGCAAGCTCGACACGATGTCGTACTATTTTCATTAAAACACAGCAAAAGTCACCAACCCTTAGGAGTTAACGAGATTTAGTCTGCCCTATAAGTATTGTACGTTGGTGACAATCAGCCCATCCCTCATTCTTTGAATCTGTAATTCGATCTTTACAGTTTTATGTCGGAACTAGAAGATGCTCTCTATGCTCTTTACTGGAATAACAGCGTCTCAGGTTCGTTAGTTTTGTCGGAAATGAACCAATGCGCTGAATTTCGTCGTTTTCCAGTTGCTGTCATCACCATGATATCTTATGAATACAGTTAGTAACTTGTATGAATCTTGCAGTGCTGTTGACCGTAATGTTATCTAGTACTCCAATTCGAGAAAGAGGTACCGAGAAGCTCGTTTTGTCTTCGTCGAGTACTCATGCATGATCATATCATCATAGGTCAAGTTTGTTTGGGTTAGAGTTAAACCTGGATGATATCAAGATCCGGAACTGACTAGATACGCAGGAAAGACAGTGGTCAGTGATGACGTATCTATACCTTGCTGTGAGCTACACCCTACCAAAGTGCTTCATGGTTTCCCATTTTTATTGCCATGTCAGGTTCGATATTTCGGTATTTTGGTTGTAATGTACGTCGCGGTTGTTGTATCCTCCGGATGATACATTGTATGTTGACGCCGACTTCTAGGTTTTCCGCCGCCTGTACGTGACGTAGTGCCAACTGCACCGTAATTAACTGACTAGCGCTAGGGGGAGGTCTAGTTTATATACCCGAGGCAGTGAGTCTGTCTTTCTTTAGAGAATTCTCAGTTGACTAAGATTCAGCCGTACGTCAGAATTTCGTTTGACAGCTGACCTGTTGTTGACCGCTTGTTTAGTTGTGAGTATATCGCATTCAACTGAAACTAGCTTTGCTCATCGTGAAATTGAAATAGGTTATGGCATGTTTCTGTTTATGCAATGGGGTTTCTCTGTATACTCTTGCTTGACGAAAGGTAAGTCACGGACATATGCATAGTACATTCTTCTTACTTCAATACACGTACCCATTTGGCATTTGCAGTCATTCTCATCTGGCGTCTATATGCCCTATACAACCAATCCAAGCCCATACTATATGTTCTAATGGGCTTGTTTATACCTATCGTCGCGCTCTATATAGCGGTGGATGTATTTTTGTGGAGTCGACCCTCAGCGATCTCAAGTGAATTTCTACTTCAATCGAATTCTGTGCAAGCTGATGCCTTGGTGCGTAGTGCAAGAAATAACAATAACCCCAAACATCAAGTACTGCACAGCTTTCTTCCACGTCGGACCCATGCTAGCGATATATACTTCCATCCCCGTCATATGCTATGACATTTTTCTGGTTGTTCTCGCCATTACCCTCCTGGTGAAGCACCTGAAAGAACGGAAGGAGCTTAAAATGAAACCAAACACCTATATAGTCTTGATCGTCCGATACCATGTCATATACTTTGTCATGTAAGTTCCCCTTCGTTTGTTGCGTTCTCTGAGAGCATTCATCGAGTCGTACTAGGAATCTGGCAATTCAAATCTTCTCGGTGGTATTGTGGGCCAACCTTTCGGTATGATCTCCTATGATTCTAAAGAGGTCTGCTCTAATGCAGGCATGCACAGACGGAAGTGATGAATGTCATACTGTTGTTCTCCGATACTGCGCCATTTATTATCGTGCCACGTTTTATCATCAGCATTTGGGAAACGCATGCCAACGATAGCTGTGTGCATGTCAGTACAACATTCGAGGATTGCGTCTGTTGGACTTCGCCACCGCCGTTGGAGGAGCACGAGCTGGAATTCTATATAGATCCTGACAACATTTCTTGATACTTCATGGGAGCAAGTAGTCCAGGGCTTAATGTTTTCGTGTAACTATGTACTATCTTTCATTCTATATTTATTTACATAAGTAGTCCCCAGCCACGTCTGGTACCACCTACGACGGGTTACCGGCAATCAATCTAGCGCCGGTAGCCTGAGCACTTTTAGTCAGCTTGATCCGGTACTGCAGTACAACTTTCCCTTGACCAGTAACTATCACCAGACAGCCGAAGGAAATCATGTCCCATGAAGATATCATGCTGACCATTACCTTTCGCGGGACATCGCACACTGTTTTCCTCCCGAATGACGCCCCTCTCTCTGCTCTCCACTCCCGTCTCGAGCTCCTCACTTCTGTTCCGCCATCATTACAGAAACTCATTTATAGAGGAAAGAAATTCCAGCATCGACAGGATGACTCAGATTCAGAACCCACCATCGCCCAAGCGGGTCTTCGCGATGGCATCAAAGTGCAAATGCTTGGCTCGACAGTAGAAGAACTCGGACAACTGAATGCAGCTGACTCGGCACATCAGAAGAAGGAGCAAATTCTGAGAGAGAGGGCGCTAAAGCCACAGGTCAAGGTATGTCCTGACATTCGTTCTTATCAGCAAGATTATCAATCATGATGAGAGGCAATTAGCTTCGTTCGACCGGGTCATCGTCTACTTCGTCACACCAGTACTACTTTCACCGTATAGAACCGCTTACTCATCTGCCGCGACCTGAAACAGCGACGGAGTGTCTCACAACTCTTTCCAAGGACCCTGCAGTCCTACATGTCATGCAGAAGCATCGTTTTTCTGTGGGCTTGCTTACGGAGCTTGCACCACACGAGCACCCTGGACTTCTGGGTCTTAACGTCGGGAGTGGAGATACCATCAAGCTGCGAATTCGGCTCGATACATATGACGGATTTCGTCCGTACCTGGAGGTCAGGCGCGTGTTGTGCCATGAACTGGCTCACAATGTGTGGGGCGAACATAACAATGATGTGAGTAACAACCTGTATATCAAGAATTAGCGTCTAATACCCTGTTCACACCGTGGTCGTGTACTGGTAGTTTAAAGAGCTAAATTCTCAGCTCAATCGTGAGGTTGCAGAATTTGAGGCTGCAGCAAGAGCAGGAACACACGGACTTTCTGATTTAGGAGACACATATCAGCCGTCGGACGGAGAAGTAGAGGCACTTGCTCATGTTCTAGGAGGCACAGACCTTCGAGGTAACGATACCACGGAAGAACATCGGATAAGGGCGCTGGAAGCTGCCACAGCGCGTCTTAGGAACGAAGAACTAGAACGGAGCTGTGGGACTTCTGGACCGCAGAAGCAATCTGGTTGATAGCTGAGTTAATGGTAACTACATATATTTCAGGCTAGGGATAGTGGTTTGAATCTGATGATAATTTATTTCTGGGATAGCATACTATCCTTATAGCAAACATTACTCGCGTGACCTATAGAATTTGCTGACTGGGTTTGCATGCATGAATATGTGCTCCTTCAGAAGTTTGGTGGAACGCCTAGGGATGCAATGATGTCGATGCTCGTATACTGCAAGTGCGGCCAAGACGCTTCCAACTTCCGGTCTGTCTGGAATATGAATTCCCTACTACAGTCAAATTTTGATTGGCACACATTTGAGTGAAGAGTAGGGGCGGGCTGACAATTTCTCGAGCTGGTGGTTTCTCTAAAGATATGAGGATAGCGCTTACTCTGGTTCGTCGTTGACGATGTATTCCGTAGAAGTTGCACTATCAGCCGGTTTCTGGGTAGCGGGAGAGACAGTTGAACGAGTGCAAGGCAATATCATGCATATGCCATACGTGCATGGGCACTTCCGTGGTCTTCAAGCCTTCAGGACTTGATTCATATGAATCATACTATCATAGTGCAGAGTCATGATTCCCGTACCTAGTAAAAGAGTTTTCGCAAAAAGTTTCACGGTTGTCGCCGGTCCGGGTCAGCCGCAACCTCACTGGGATCATCTTGCTCCCTTGTTTCCTTGTCTTTGGTCGGACTCGTTACAGCTTCTGGTCCGTCGGTTGTGCTGCATCTTGACCACCTCCTACATCACTTGTTTCAGATTGAGAGCTTGCAGGAGACGGGCGTCTGTTGTGTCAGTACCTTTTGTATGTTTTTTTTTTCGCGTGTCACAGTGTATGTTAATCTTTGTTCAAGGGCGTTTTGTTCAGCAAATCAAGCTACTGCTCTTACATGTATTTCCCCGTTATCAACCTCGTTATTTATCAAGCCGAAACCAAAATATAACTCAACGACTCAGTTACTTTCCTACTCGCAATCGCGACCTCTATGGGAGCACGCCATGACCGATACGTCCGCGCAAGCTCCAACATGTAAAGTTTGAATCTGAATCGTCAACCCTGTTATTACCCTCCAACGGCGTCTTTTCATTTCATGCCTTTGTCATGCTGTCGTCCAAAGGTGTAGTTCATGCATCACTCCGATCTTTCTGCTAACGTACATTTATACTTTTTGAATATCAATACCATTGCTGCGGAGACTATCTTGAGCGACCGACTCCATGGCTAGGAACATCAACTTGACATTCATGAGATAAGTATATGAAAAATAATGTGCAGGTTCTTCCGAAGATACCCATTCGTGGTCCGTCGTGCGACACTGATAAATAAAGGCTCAAATATTCAGAAGAAGTAAAACACCTGTAACAGCATGCCCTGCAGCGGCTAGTGCTTGACTAGAATGTTCGGTGCTAGGACCGCTTGCGTTCTAGACTTGGACATGCACATTTTTGCGGCATCACGTTGTTTTGATATCGTGAGTGTTATTGACCACTCGGCAGCTGGCAGCCGCGATGTGCGCCGACGCTTGGTGCTCAACTGTGGTCGCAACGTGTTTTGATTGTTCCACAGCGCACATTTCAATGATCACCCCCGTGGTGATCCACAGTGGCTAGTCGCCATGATTACCCTGTGAGTGTTTCCAGACAATCCACAAATCGACGCTCCACAACTCATTGATATTATCTAAAGCGTGTTGTGGTCCTACCAAGGAACTCTTAAATACGCTCGTCGAATCGCCCCTTGTCGTTTCCGTACCCTTCTCCTCATTCTTATCTGTCAGGCATGGCCGCTCAAAATTCGATCGCTCAATCTTCTTCTGAACCTCATTCCAGCGCTGCATCCAGCGCTGCATCCAACGCCCCCGTCATAATGTCTACCGTAGTCGATGCTGGCATCGCGAATCCTCGCTCAGAGCCCCCCGATCCTCAATACCCTTCTGCCTCGGAGCCGGCCGACCCTCCAGCACCTGCTCACGTATTCACCTTCACACACTCCGGCCCAGCAGAGGTGGTCCGAACTACACCGGTGTCATGCACGTATGGCCCCTTTCGTGTTTGGCGCAAATTGGGCGAGGGCACGTACGGCGTGGCGATGGGAGCTGAGGATGTAGTGTCGAATCGCTTGTTGTGTCTCAAGGTCTTTCCAAAGCACCATCTTGAGCGCAAATCCAGGAAAGATGTTCTTCTGAATGAACTGGAAGCGTACAAGCGTCTTTCACGCGCATTGCCGTGTCCCGCGGCTGATTTCCTCATGGGGCTTGAAATGTCGTTTCAGACAAAGGATAAGATATGTCTTGTAATGGTACGTCCTCCTCCCCTGCGACCCATTTCAGTCATCTGACTCCATCGACCGTCTCTAGGACCTGATGGCGAGCGACCTGTATAATTATCTGGAACGTCATCCTTCGTACTGCTCCCGCAATGCTTGCAGGTGGGCTGCGCAAATGGTAAGCAGTCGTCTTTCCTGGTCTTCGGTGACTCACGCCCCCTCCAACTTTGAAGACCCTTGGGATCAACGCTCTGCACGAGATAGGGATCATCCACCGCGACATCAAAACAGAAAACATCCTGATCGACGTTCGAGATAACGTGCGCATCACCGACTTTGGCGTGAGTTATGTAAACAAAGACGAAGGACCCTTGGACCGACAGCGGAATTATTCTTCGGAATCGGTGGGAACAACATCCATCATGGCACCGGAGGTCCTGCGCAACATATCCGACCGCCGTCCTTCGAAGTACGGAGCACCCGCAGACTGGTGGTCGTTAGGTTGCGTCATCTACGAGCTTGTGTCGAAGAAGCACGAGGCACGTTTCGAGTCTTCTTTTGCTGCTATCTTACTGATATCATCTCGTCAGCCACTTTTTTTTTACAGAGGACGAGATATTTTCTTATGTTTCCTGGTGCTCCAACCGCGACAGACCATCCAAACGGTTCCCTGCCTTTGAAGAATTGCAAGAAAATCTCGCGGATTTGATCTCTGGGGTAAGATTTTGTCTTGTTTATTTTCCGGCACCATCACTCATCTTCACTGCGGTAGCTGCTGCAACCCGTCCCGTCATCGCGGTTTGGGTTCGCTGAAGTCGTAAATCATAGATCGTTTTTGTTCGAACCCGACACGTCAGAATTCACCGACACATACTCTCGCGGTGAGTTGAATCTGATTTGTCTGCGAACATCATGCTAAAACCGGATTGCAGCGCTTGAGCGGGAAAATTTTCCATGTTCGCTGCCAGACTTACGACGTGGTCAAGAGACCAACGCAGCGGAGATCTGGTTTCGCCAACCTTCCTGGGAGAAATCGCGCGTTCCGGATGTCGACTGGGTCAAGCCGGCGCTTTTTTCTCTGTCCCTATGATAGTCCTTCAGTCCAGTCGGTGCTCATTTCGTTCCGATAGCTTCATTGTTCACTGTCACTACGTTTCCCTTCCTTCTTCAAGTTGTTACAAATAACCTTACGTAAAAAGCATCTGTCTCTTGGTTCACATACATATTTCAGTATCAATCCACTGTTTGTTCCAGATCTCCCAGGACCCAGGCAGTAGTAGAATTGGCATGGGTATTCAAAGGTTTGAGTTTATAGTTGTAGCTGATTTCAGCAGATTGAGTACGCCACGTTGCTACTCAAAGCGCGCCATCTGAACATCGACAAAGTACTAACTTAGTAAAGGAAGGTCTCCGCACTAACATTCTCTCCTTCTCTTCGAACTCAAATTTCTATGGACACGAAGGAGGCTCCTCCCACATACTCGACTCGACGCGAAGACTGCACTTGGGTTCAAAGCACTCAGGCTGATTGATTGCCGGTAACCCGTCGTAGGTGGTACCAAGACGTGGCTGAGGACATAAACAAATATAGAATGGAAGATAGTACACAGTTACACCAAAACATTGAACCCTGGACTACTTGCGCCCATGAAGCATCAAGCAATGTTGTCAGGATCTATACAGAATTCCATCTCGTGCTGCTCCAATGGCGGTGGCGAAGTCCAACAGACGCAATCCTCGAATGTCGTGCTGACATGTACACAGCTGTCGTTGGCATGCGTTTCCCAAATGTCGATGATAAGACGTGGCACGATGATAAATGGCGCACTATCGGAGAACAACAGTACGACATACATCACCGCCGTCTGCCAGTGTGCATGCCTATATTAGAACAGACCTCTTTAGAATCATGAAAAATCATACCGAAAGGTCGGCCCACAATATCGCCGAGAAGATTTGAACTGCCAGATTCCTAGCACGACTCGATGAATGCATTCAGAGAATACAACAAACGAAGGAGAACTTACAGGACAAAGTATATGTCATGGTATCGGACGATCGAGACTATATAGGTGTTGGGTTTCATTTGAAGTTCCTTCCGTTCTTTCAGGTGCTTCACCAGGAGGGTAATGGCGAGAACAACCAGCAAAATGTCATAGCATATGACGGGGATGGAAGTATATATCGCTGGCATGGGTCCGATGTGGAAAAAGTCGTGCAGTACTTGATGTTTGGGGGGATTATTATTTCTTGTACTACGCATCAAGGCATCAGCTTGTACAGAATTCGATCAAAATAGAAATTTACTTGAGATCGCTGAGGGTCGACTCCACAAAACACATCCACCGCTATATAGAGCGCGACGACAGGTATAAACAACCCCAGTAGAACATAAAGTATGGACTTGGATTGGTTGCACAGGGCGTACAGACGCCAGATGAGGATGACTATAAATGCGAAATGGGTACGTGTAAAGAAGTAAGGATGTATGCATATGACCGTGACTTACCTTTCGTCAAGCAAGAGTATACAGAGGTACCCCATTGCATAAACAGAAACGTGCTATCACCTATTTCAATTTCACCATGAGCAAAGCTAGTTTCAGTTGAATGCGATATACTCACAACTAAACAAGAGGTCAACAGCAGATCAGCTGTCAAACGAAATTCTGACGTACGACTGAATCTTAGTCAACCTAGAATTCTCTAAAGAAAGACAAACTCACTGCCTGAGGTATATAAATTTGACCTCCCCCTAGCGCTAGTCAGTTAATGACTGCTCAGTTGGTATACCTCACGTACAGCAGGCGGAGAACCTAAAAGTCAGCGTCAATATACAATGTCCATCTGAAGGACACAACAACACGTACATTGCGATCACAATACTGAAATATCGAACCTGAAAATAGTAACAAAATGGGAAACTATGAAGCACTTTGGCAGAGTGGAGCTCACAGCAAGGTATAGACACGTCATCACCGACCACAGGCTGTCTTTCCTGCGTATCTAGTCAGTTCCGGATCTTGATATCATTGAGGTTCAACTCTAACCCAAACAAACTTGACCTATGATGATATGATCATGAGTACTCGACCAAGACAAAACGAGCTTCTCGGTACCTCTTTCTCGAATTGAAGTACTAGATAACATTACAGTCAACAGTACTGCAAGATTCATGCAAGCTACATAACTGTATTCATAAGATATCATGGTGATGACAGCAACTGGAAAACGACGAAATTCAGCGCAATGGTTCATTTCCGACAAAACTAACGAACCTGACATGCTGTTATTCCAGTAAAGAGCATAGAGAAATTCTTCTTGTTCTGACATGAAACTGTGAAGATCGAATTGCAAATTCAAAGAATGAGGGGTGGGCTGATGAGCTGATGGTCACCAACGTACAATACTTATAGGGCAGGCTAAATCTCGTTAACTCCTAAGGGTTGGTGACTTTTGCTGTGTTTTAATGAAAATAGTACGACATCGTGTCGAGCTTGCGGCGCCGCACTTTTCCATTTGATGTCAATCACTGTACTGAATGATCCACCACCAGCGACAAGGTCCAATGGGAAGGCCGTAAGTATATCGATGATCACACGGCTGACAACTTGAAGGGTCACCTTGCGTCACCGGAGTTATAACTGCTTATTGGTTTGTCCGACCCTCTTGCTTAGGTGCCAAGGGCGGTGCTTGTCTACCCCGATATGTGCTGGAAATCATCAAATGAAGTCCCACCACCAGGCATACAACCTTGATAAGCAAGTGCATGATGACAGTAGTTGAACAGTTGGACGAGTGCAAGACAGTATTATGCGTATACGTGCATGGGCACTTCCAAGGTCTTCAGGCCTTCAGGACTTGGTCCTATCAATCATACTATCACAGTCATCTGGAGTAGCCTCGAGTGATTGTGACATTTCACAGTGTTGTGGAGACCTGGCATGGTGCACGGTGCTCTAGAATTGTTTATCGGAATCATCGGATGCGAAAGCGACAAAGTTTCCGTCGGAAAGCCTGAGAAAGTCATTACAAAATATTCCGGTAGCAATGTGAACTTGGCAGTTTAACGAACGTACACCAAGGTTGTATACGCTCCCCTACCGCCACAAACTTCAATCATACTCCTATATTTTCATATAATTCATATGTATCCATAGTATTACAGTGCGACAGATTATGCTTGATTACAATAGCCATGGCTACAATATCAAGGACTCACCGGTTCACTGATTGGCATGTCCGATGCATCACAACACAGAATGGATGCTCATACAATCATCAATTCAATAGTGTGCCATCCGAGTTATGTGGGTACTATGGAAACAATGCAGGTGTGATAGCAAAATAATACAAGCGAAAGCGGACGTGACTTACAGTAACAGCAACGAGGAGATAAGAGCGAGAGCAGACGAAATGTAGCATTTAAGTGATAGGACCATTGGCTGCGAAATATTTCACGGACGATGGACTGGAACAGTAAGCTGCTTGACTTCGTATAAAGGGTTTAAACTGAAGTGCCGAGTATAGTACATAACATGGGCAGGAGGCATCGGAAACAACTGCACCGCTCAGGAGTTAGAGCTGGCGTGTTTGGTATAGTACACAACACGAGCGCATAGCATGAGGAAAGACGCATCAAAAAACGGAAAGCTTGGCCCAAACATCATCTACTTCTTTTCTGTCAAGTCCTTCGCTGCAGGCTTTTCGTAAACTTCGACTTCCAGGTTCACAACGAGAAGAGGGACGTACACAAACGATTTTCAAGTATGAACTCAAGAACCTTCTTTCCTAGTTCCTCTCTGTGGTAGCCTTGACGACAAATCTCTTTCGCTACTTTCTCTACTGCGGCAACCATGGGAGATTTCAGGTAGTAGCTCACAGCAGACTCGATGAGCTCCAAGCCATCCGACTTGTCTGGGAGAAATGCAGAGTACTCGAGGACGATAATGGTAGCTGCTTCCTGTGATTAAGACTACAACCGGTCGTGTGGTGAGAAACTAACCGATGCCAGTCTGAATTATTCTGTTCGCAGAAGAAGTGAACAGTGAACCCTTCACAGCCTGTTGCACACTCGTATAGCGCCAGGAATCAATGCGGAGGAAAGTCAACCTACCAAGGGCTGAAGGACGCGGACGATATGATCTTGACGGGTTCGGGCCTAGCCACAGGTTGAAAGTATGGGTATCAGAATCGACTCCACAGAGGAAAGTACTTGCCCCCTGCAGGAAAGAATTGTCAGAATTATGAGGCGGAAAATTGACATTTGATTAATAACAGGGACGCACATTCTATCTGGTTGACGTGACAGTCGTGAATAATCAAACCACCAGATTGTAGACAATGACTGCTATGCTCAGGTAACTTACAAACTGTTAGGGGTTGGAACCAGATGAGCATCATTATATATTGGCGAATACCATTCATGGACGTACGAGCTAGATAAGATTGTCTGTCAGTGGAGTAATATGATGTAAGAAGGATATGATCAACACACATTCTGCGAACACGTGATGAAGACAAGGGCTAAAATCACTGACTATTGAAATACACTTACAACCTACAGATCGACAGAGTCAGTCGAAATGATTGAGACATCGAACGCTTCGCATTACGAAGGTCAAACGACTCACATTCTGCACAGGACACGAAAATATGCAAGATGAATGAACATGGAAAATAAGTCATCAAGGAGGGATACTCAACGAACTAAGCATCATATGAGCAATGATGATTCGACTCATCTGATGGAATAGAGCGCGCTTACATTAGGCTATGAAAACGAGTGAACATCATTACATTATTCGGCACCATCTCAATACAAGATATGATCAAGACACGCACCACCTGCCAAAAAAAAACAGTAAGATGTAAGACGTGTCCACATGAGTTGCAGACAGAAAACCATCAAAGCACTTACCTCCTGTCAACAGGTAAGGAGCAGCGATTGTCAGCATGGGTTAAGGATGAGAAACCATCAAAAGTACACACATTCTGTCAACAGGCAAGCAGCAGCGAGGGATGGGGATCATGAGTATGGGTCGAGGGCTAGAAACCATCAAGGCACTTACATTCTGTCAACAGGCGAGCAGCAGCGAGGGATGGGGATCATGAGCATGGGTCGAGGACTAGAAACCATCAAGGCACTTACCCGCTGTCAACAGGCGAGCAGCAGTAAGGCATCAGCGTTGTCCCTGCGTAGCTTTGTAAGCCATGATCTTACCAGCTGTTATCAATAAACAACTACAATCAAGGAAAACATGTCAGAATGTCAACAGTTTCAGCGCTTCGATATTTACCATCCGTGAGCACCATTACCAGGGAATCGTCAGATTGAATCAATCTTCGTCTTACTTTGAGATGTGGAAACCACTTAGCAATGCTATACTGATAGTCTTCATCATCGATTTGCTTAGGTGCACGGTCAACGAGTGTTCTAGATGATGTTGAAACAAAAATACGCGACTTGCAAATATGAGACTCACGCGATGGCGCACTTGATGCAAAGCTCCATGTTCGATTTTTGTGTCGACACCAAGCACAACCGCAATTCTTCATTATCCAGTGCGAGAGTAGTGCTTTCCAGCAGAGTGTCGCAGTTTGTATTCGTTTTGTTCATATCTAGGACGGTTGCTAATGTCAACTTTGACATGGGACAAATCAATCTAAACCACTCACTTTGCAAGCGTACATGGGACTTGGGATGCGCGCGGTTTTCGGGGTTGTACAACCGATCCAAGACACATGTCTTAGTGAATAGTTCCTCAACGCGCTCGGCAATCCTCTTTGAGCGCTCTTCGCCCGATACCCCTTGTAGTTGCTTCTTGATTTCACCATACACGACTGGACGCAGAGCTTCGAACTTGGTGAACACCACGACCACAGGAACTAGAGATCGATCATTCAGTCCCAGCACGGCAACTGACGATGAAGTTGCAAGCTCACCGTGCCCGGTGTCGCACTCCTGGAAGAACTTCTCTTCTGCCCGCTGGAATGTTCGCCAATGGTCGTCCATCGGAATACAATACCTGATGGCAATCAAAAAGCGCGGAACGTCGGAAGGGGGCTGCTTACCATATAGCGTGAATTCGGTCCTCTAATTTCGTCGCATGTGCGCGTTCTGATATAAATTTCTTCATGCTTTCAAACTCTTCTTCAGACCCCGCTTCGAAACCGCACGAGTCATGAAAGACAAAATCGGGATTACTTTTGAATACCATCTCATTCGTGATGTCGTGATTTCCACGCTGAACATTCGTCAGCGCATGTATGCCCACAGGGCAAATGATATACACACCTTGATCGAGGAATTCACGATGGTAGTATCAATCTGCCCACAATCGATCAGCGATACACGCGTCCATGGCATAGATTATCACCCGCACCTTGTTTCCTTTGGTATCGTAAATTTCTGGTCGATCGGTGGTGTTGCAGACCTTCTGAGGAATGGTCGTTTTGCCTGCGTTTGCTCTCCCCATGATCAGAACTCGAAAGCGCCCCATCATCCTTCTGAGTTTCTGAGCTTCGATGGTTGCCATTGGGAGATCTTGATGTGTGTCCTGAGAAAGAGGTAATTTGGTTTATCGTGAAAGCTGTACTGCGATACAGAACGACGTCGTGACGAAATATGGCAGCGAACGAACACGAAGCAAGGGTTCTTATGGCTTGTGGCACAACAGCTACACACGGCGTCTATCTCTTAATCTATCTCCCTGCAACAGACCACTGATTATACCCTCGCATAGACACGAAGTTGCAACTGTTCAATCGTTCGTGCGATAAGATATTTCCTTGATACAGAGGATTACACAACAAATGACGCCAAATAATGAGAACATTGATGAACTATGATGAATGATCAGAACACGACGGACATGACAGAATTTCGCTCTTCCCTATACCCATCTAGCTGAGAGCCGTATATCGGAAATCTTAGTAGGTGAGCTCGATCTTCTAAATGGTTGATCCTTGAAACGTCTGAGAGCAAACGAGAGCATGTCGGTATGTGAGACAGCTTCTGGACTGTGACATCCCGTGCTGCTCGACAGGGTCTGCACGTATGGAGTTTTCCCGGATGATGGTGGTTCTGGGTATGAACTGAGGGGCAATTAGGTACCGTGTGTGTTGGCTGAACTCGAATGTCGACCACGTTCGTTGGTACTGAGGAAAAGGCAGACGGAGCGGGCCGCAGGAGCTTGTGTGTTTATAGATAGCTCGGGGCAGGCCTGATACACGTTCGCGGATGAGTCCGGCTGTCCATATACTTTATAAATTGGCGCATATATTGTCAGGTATCAAAGAAGACGTACCGGTCAACATACACAAAGATTCTCAGGGCTGGCGTGCGTCTCACTGGATTACGATGAAATCCGCTCCAAAACCCTTGGATATCCACTCATGAGCACAGTATTAATGGACAAACTTCTTGCAGCTCCAAGAGTCGCAGTGTGCGCCACCGTTTCACTCAACCCTCCTTCGACTCTTCCCCCATTGCTGGTCCCTACTGTGATGAGTGATGTCATTTAGGCTGGCTCCTTATCGGTTCATAGCGAGCTCCCTGGTGTCTTTTAATGGTATTGAGATCGCATCGAGATCATATAGCTCCGCCCGTCATGATGTACGTGATGAAGTACATGACCCTGCGCCTCAAACATACAAAACAGCATGCTTTGGCAAGAACGCGATCAGTATAAGGACTTCGTGGTGCAAGCTAAGACTCACTAGTTGTGAAAGATATGCGTGACTGTATACCTTGGATCCAGCCATTTCGAAACATGTCCACAGCATTGCAAGACATAGCGTTGAATGTCGGCACATAGCCGTGAAGCTCGATGATCATACTGCGCATCCTTTTCTAGAGCTGGACGTGAAAGGTAGAGTTCGACAGTGGGGAACGTGGATACCCTCAAGCGAAGGTGTGAACTGCAGTGAGAATCTGGGTTGTGTGACTGCTTCTGTGCTGAGCCCGGTGTCTTTCGTCATCTAGACCGGCTGTTTGCATCCACAAGACAAACGTGAGGGAGTGACGAAGATCATTACGCTTCACGTGCGTAAAAAATCCTCCGTAAGGACACGCTCATCCACTAGGGATGTGAGAATACCGTTGTCATTAGGGTGTGGTAGCAGTGGATCTGGATCTGGAGATCGTTGTGGGATCACATGTTGGGGAAGTGAGATGAAAGGGCGGATCATCGATGTCATCTATCGCTGTGCCGGGAATGTCTCCAGAGGTGTCGTAATCTGTAAAATGGTTCTCCTGTACGGATAAATTGAAATCATAAGTTATTGTAGTAAAAAGCACAAGAACAGCAAAACGAACCTCTATACCAGGATCATGATTTGGTTCATCCTGCTGGACAGGTTGTGGGTCGATACCATGCTAGCATGCATCCTTTTCTCTTTCAGAGAACACGTGCCCTTCGTATTGGGACCTCTACATGCCGTCTCCACATTCAATAAGGCACTTAGTGCAGTTGGCACTTGTACAATCTCTCGCAATCGCAGTGATTTTTTTTGATGTTACTGAGTCTGTAAAAGAGTGTGGAGTCATGGTGTGTCGACAAAGGTATGTCTTGCCGACACGAGACGCTGACAGAATGCAGGTCACAGATAACTGAGATAAGTTCTGTGCAACGTGTGCTCTGCCTGCGTTTCGTGTGGTCACTGTGGTGGAGTAATGATAGAGACGATAAATGAAATGACAAATTTGAACATCGAGTCACATGACAGGTATTCGATCATTCTGAATTTCAATTTCGTCACTCGACCCCCCAACATCAACAGCGGAAATAGGAACCCGGCGCCTCCTCCAAGTCAGGCCTCAGCAACCGTCACTGTACTGATGGGGGTACGCCTCACATCAGGGCATTTGCGATTTCGGAACAAAGGGCACCGGGAGCCCTAGTAGAATAGCAAGTATTGTCCTACATAGGAAACTTTCCTCAATGGACACAAATTGGAATAAAAAAAACCCCGTCACTGTACCAAGCTCTGTTCAAATCTAGAGCATGTTCGGTAACCCACGTTAGACCAACTTTACCTCAACATACAATTTTGATGTGGTGCAGGTGCATCTGAGTTGTGAGCGGAGACTGAAAATGACACTGATGATCACTGGTAGAGTCGGTATGACATTCCAGCCATGGATCCACAGGGACTCCTATCAGTAAATCAGCCGCTATTCCCTAATCCCATTACCCCCAATGGGGGGCATCTCACTGCAGCTCGTCTTCTTCAGCAAACTCAACCGGATAGGACTTGCATCGCAAGAGCAGAAGTCCGCAAGCGCATTTTCCGCTATATTGCTCTCCTTATCAATATATTGCTCGCCGCTACCACACATCTACTTGTACAACAGACCCCTGAGGATCCTGAGCCCTACCACACATCGTCATTGACCGGTCAAGAATGGGTGATGGAATTAATCATTGGCCACCCTGATCGCATACGCTGTGAGCTTGGGGTGCATGCTGAGGTCTTTGAGAATTTGGTCAATGATCTTCGTAGCCTTGGCCATGGAGATTCACACCACGTATCGTTAGAGGAGCAGCTGGCAATATTCCTATATGCATGTGTGACTGGATTAACCGTAAGACATATCACGGAACGATTCCAGCGGTCAAATGATACAATCTCTCGGTTTGTAGTTTGCAAAACCTTGCTTGAACCTAGTACTAACCCCAAGTCACTCATATCACAGGTATTTCTGCAAGATGTTATTCATTTTTTCATCCCATCCATTCTACACGACGCATGTCTGCCTTCCCACTGACAACACACCTGTCTCAAGTGAAATTCGCGACAACCCGAAACACTGGCCTTATTTCAAAGATGCCATCGGAGCGATTGATGGCAGTCATATCCACGCATACCCTCCTTCACACAGCCACCACCTATATTACAATCGCAAAGGCTTCATCTCCCAAAATTGCCTTTTCGTATGCGATTTTGACCTCAATTTTACATTCACATTGACCGGCTGGGAGGGATCAGCGACAGACGCTCAGCTCTGGGACGTAGCTCACAATGATGGCCTGAATATCCCCCCCGGAAAATATCTCCTTGCTGATTCAGGGTTTCCCTCATGCAAAGAGCTCTTAGTCCCCTATCGTGGTGTTCGCTATCACCTTGCTGAATGGGGCCGTGCTAGCACTAGGTAAAACTTCAGTTGTTTTTTTTGCTCATCTGACATTATTTTTAGACCTGTTAACAAAGAGGAGTTGTTCAACCTCCATCATGCATCAGCGCGCAACGTTGTTGAACGAATTTTTGGTGTTGTGAAACATTGTTTTCGCATCCTTCTAATATCCCCTGAATATAGCATTGAGATTCAGGCGCGGATTCCTACAGCGCTATGTGCTCTTCACAATTACATCCGCACTCATGACCCAGATGAAGGTCCATTGCCGCACATACCTGTTGTCAATGACAATTATCAAGACACCTTCCCAGCACCTCCAGGACATGCCGGTGCTGATAACTCAAGTGCAGCACCTGTTCATACGAACACAAATACCTTTCGTGATCAGATTGCAACGCAAATGTGGGAGGATTATCAAAGCTATCTGCATGAACGAGACTTGATGGATGTAGATCAGTTCTTGGAAAGTGATGAGGAGGCGGCTTCAGATGATGAGCGGTATGCAGAGCTTGAAAATGATGCTGACAACAACGATGTTATTTGATACAGTAGTAGTACAACGTTCTACTACTACAAAAATGGAATATTGTGCTTGACTTGTAGAATGATAGACCGCAAAAAACCAATGCGAAGCTCCGGGGTGGTACTCAAATACACAGTGCATATCCTCGCGTTCAGCAAGAACGCGTTCAAGAGGATAATCTTCTCATCCTGCGACAACTCCTCTTCCGCTTGCATGCTGTCCAGCGCACGTGTTGTTTCATCCACTGTTACAGGGATCTGTAACACCTACAGGAGCCCCAGCTCTGCCTACGCCTGCCCCCGCTCTGCTAGACTCCCCGCGCGGCGGTGCGCCGCCCACGCCTAGAAAGACAGCGGTCTGGACCGCTACGACCCCGCCTCATGGCGCTATGACCCCGCCTGACGCTATGACCCCGCCCCTGGCCTAGACGGCCTTGTACCTGATCCATGGAGGCTGTACGCCTCATGGACACCCTAGATCAGCGCATGTATACCACATGTCGCTTCATGAAGATCCGGAGCGCGCTTGGCGCTTCCTGTACCTATGCGCAGCTGCCCTTGGCGCAGCATGCCTGATCAGAGGTTAAGCCTCATGTATCTTATCTGACCCTCATGTCTTGTTATCATAGATTTACGATATACTATTGATTACAGACTGAGCTAGAATACTTGTAGTACTTCCCTATAAGTAGACACAGATTATTGTACTTAGACTTTACTTTAATCTACTAGGTTCATCCCCAGAACTTGCTCATCTAAGCCTACCAGCTTCCTTGTGTGAGACCGCACTTCTAAGTCGCCCCCGTACGACTTAGCACGTATCCGCTAGCCCTGCATCTCGACGAGCGCCGTCTTACCGAGATCGCCGGAGGAAACCTTGACATTCCGTCAAGGCCAGACCACGCTCAGCTTCAGTAGACTCACTCGAGTCGTCGCTGAGAAGACCTATCCTAGTTCGCACACGCCGACCTACAGTCAGCGTAACATCCACCACCTGAGAATCTTCAGTGGCATTCATCGATGTTGTAAGACCGTCACTCAGGTGATTGATGGAACCTTGCAGGTTCATCCATGCAGCAGCGCTGGCAGCTTCTTTGCCCTTTCTGCCACCATTCCCACTGCTATGCCGACTCGCACCTGTTAACTTGAGCTTCTTGCTGTCGGATTCTGATGGTACCAGCTGCAAGACTGAGTCTGAGATGCCGGATGCGGAAGGGGCAACTGATGTCATATCGTCAAGCTGGCGCTTTCCCAGGCTAGAGGTAGAAGGAGGCGGCATGAGGGCGGGAATACTAGTACTGGCATCATGAGTGATGTTGCTGGTGCTGGGACCTGGTACTGGTGCAGTGTCATCAGTGATGTTACTGACACTGGGACCTGGCACTGTGACTTGAGCACCGGTTGCAGCTGATGATGTGGGGTTGTATGAAGCAGATCCATGCGCGATGCTGTTAGTTGGTAGGATTTGTTCCATCTTGCTGTAGAACCTCCAACCGGTGTTCTTAAACAACTTCATGGACTTCCCAGAGCTGCTCTGTGGCAAGATACATTCAGTTGATTCATAAATTGATACATAGATGTGATTACACGCCTGAATAAATTCACTCCACACAGATTCAACTGCTGCTTCCCCCTGAATGCTAGCACCACGATCCCTATCCCAATGACACCCAGATCGGTTGCAATATTTCTCGATAGCATTGTAAGTGGATTTTAACTAAAATATTTGCGTCAGTGATGGCTGGACTCAGAGTGGTGTAAGAGACAACATACCCCTGCCCATTTAACCTTGCAATGTGATGCCATCTTTACTGGGCCACTTTTCTTTAACCCTGCGATCTTGAGGGAAGCTTCATTGCAGGTCGGTTCTTTGAAGTTGGTTCCAGCCAACTTCGATCGTTGTGAAATAAGATAATCAAGGAAGGCATCGACCTCAGCATCCTCCCATTGAGCCTTCTCCTTTGGTATAGACATTTGTATAAGTTGGAGTTGGCTACAGATTATGAAAGTAGCAACTGCTACAAAGATTTGTTTTCCGCGCTGATCATATGCACGATGGCTGATAACAGATTTGGTGGCCATCGTCAGAAGGGAAAGACATTCAAAGTCCGATACCGGCGTCCCATCATGCCATCTGTCAATGCTGTGCATTGTCAAACTTTGCGCCCAACATTAACACAAACATGGGTTACCGAACAAGCTCCTAAGAAGTAAAGTGCGACGGTTGCGGGAACATTCGGGCGCTCGCGTGGTTTGCGCCTATTTTGCCTATTTCGTTTATTTCGTTTATCTCACGTATTTCACCAAAGGCCATGTGGTTTGCGCTTAGCTCGCTTAACCTCGATTTGGAAATCTTGCGTGGTTTTCTCGCGTGGCCTTTGAGCGCTGACTCAATCTCCTTTGCCCATTAGAACAGCACCCATGTTTATTCATGAAATTTGAGTGTTTTCCTGCAGGTGTTGTAGCAACTGTATATACACAAATCAAATGGTCGAAATGAAATGGTGAATGACGAAAGGTAGTGACAAAAATAAACAAATAAAAAGGGAAAAAGAAGGGAAAAGACAATGGAGAGACAAAACCTGGGGAAGGGAAGAATTGGGAGATATAAGAAAATTGGAAAATTGCTGGGAGAATGGGAGAATGAGCAAACAGGGAGAATGGGGAGTAGATGGGAGACGGGAGATGGGAGATGGGAGACGGGAGACAGGAGGATGTAGGAGACAATTGGGAGATGGGTAGGTGTCGGAAAAAAGTTAGGTACCATTGTAATACTGCTGGATTACAAGTTCAGCTCGGCACCTTAAGAAAGCCTTACAAGGCATTTTAATGGGCTATTCTGAGGCACGGCGAGGCAAAACTCAATGTAAGGTCATCAAAAGGGCCCTTATAAGTGCCTTTTAATGGGCATTAAAATATTATCTTACCCATTTAAAAGCCCTTATAAGGACACCCTCCAAATAGAGCATTAAAATGTCTTGCAAGGCCTTAAAACCCTGGGAACTTTTTTCTGACAGCCAAAGATGGGAAAATAAATACATTCAATGATACTGTTATATATTTTGTAATTTTGTCAGAATCCTGCTCAAAGAATGTAGAACTGACTGATCTTACTATGTACTTTATGTGGTGGTAGATTGTACTTTTAGTTTTTTTGAACTGCTCATAAATGTATTTTCAAAATTATTCAAAATGCACAATTTATTAGGATGCAGCCTGAGGCCAGGAAGCCAAAGGAGGGCGTAGCCCTCCTTGGCTTCCTGTGACGAAGGAACAACACTCATTTTCCTACCCTGAAGGAGCGCATAGCGCTCCTTCGATTTGTGCCGAAGGCACAACGGGCGTGAGCTTGTATATATATAACACACACCAAGAGACTGGAATACTTAGTCATTTGGAGATGTCACCCAAACCAAGAGAGGAATAAGTAACACTCACTCATTTGTGATTCCTTATCATTCTCAGTCGGTGTCTCCATTCTTGTACTCTTGGTTGAACTCAGAGCAGTCACCCACCACGTACAAAGCAGAAATAAATAGACACGGTACATACTGTAGACAGACAATAAGCAAGAATAAAGAATAAATAAACAACCAAAAATCGCATCTCGTGAACTCGTGTCAAGGTAGAGGTAGCCCATGCAGCCCCAGGATCTTCAACTCGACCCATTCACTTTACAACAGCCGACTGTTGGTTTCATTGACAAACCCATATGAAGTGCTACAATCTTGTTCGCCAATGTCATAAGGGTCATTCCCAGGTTCACATTTCGGGTTTACTCCCGCTTCCGCAGTACAGATCTTGGTGGGGCCAGCTGTGAGTGCCCAATCCTGGCATTTCAGTGGGTGTACATGCACTGCTGACATAGACAGTTACTTATGGTCGATGCACTATATGAGTGACCATTCCATGTTCCCAGATTCGCAACAGAAGGTAATAGCACGTGAAAGTATCCCTGAGCATGTCCAGTAGTTAAGACATGCATTTCCTTGCTCAATACTGATTTACTCGTAATCGCAATTAGGACAGGCCTCGCAATTTGCACTAACTCCAGTGCCAAGCGCGAGGAACAAGGAAACGGCCAGTACAAAATGAACCATGGTTGCACTGGAATGTTAATTGTTAGATCTAGCAGCAAAGGTATAGGGCAACAAAAACGTACACGGCATAGTTGTTTCAATTGCCTAGTAAATCTTTGGTTGGACAGTCGCTCTTATATGCAAGCTGCTTCAGGCACAACTGAGGATGCGGTAAGATCCCATAAGTCTCGCGTCCGATGTCATATGATCTGTGGTGTGGGTCTGTTCAAATGACATCAATGAGGTTACTTCCAAAGCAATATCTATTACCCATACTTGCTCACCTACAAAGTTCTATCACACCGTTTCACATACATTTCCTATGTCCGCAAAGCAGATATGCGGCAACTACACAACCGGCACTGACAAGGCCAGCGAACCGGTGGCCACCAACTTGAGCGATGGCACCCACAAAGTTTTGCCTGGCCATTTCACATGCATTTCCATTGTCCGAAAAGCAACTACACAACCAACAAGACCAACCTGCAGGTGACAGTTAACTTGAACATGGAATATGATTTAGAAATACTCACATGGACTAGAATTTGCAAGTCAAGTCACCAAAACAGTCGTTTGCTCACAAGCATGATCAGACTGACGAAGATTTCTTTTCCAGGAAGGGAGAAGTCGTCTTCGTCGTCCTGCTCGCCCTCGTCAAGTGAACGGTCCTTGAACTCCAAGTTGGAGGCTGAGAGTTCGATAATCTCAGAAAATGCGGGATTTGATCGGTCTGCGTGAGGTCTATGCAAACTAGATGCAGACTTGCGTCCTGTTAATGTGTTGCGCGGATTCAGAAAGTGGCGGCTCCGAGTCAGTGAAAATACTCACCACAAAAGATAAGCAGATATCACCGTACATAGGCCATGAAAATTCGACGGGAGAACTCAGAACATGACAGGCCGCGGTAAATGGTGATCGTGTTTTCTCACGCTTCCCGTACCTAGTAATAGAAGGTTCACGGCCCGGGTCAGCCGCAACCTCATTGGGATCATCATGTTCCTTCATCAGCAAAAGTGCCCAAACCTGACGAGGCCTTGGAAGGCCTAACAAGACCATACACGACCTTGCGAATATTGGAAGGCTTGCGATGCCTTGCGAGGAAATAGCCCCATCTTGGATGGCCTTCTGAGAGCACATCTAGGATGGCCTTTTGAGGGTGTGCTAGCTAGGTTGACCTTGCGAGGCTGTTGAGGCTTGCAAGGAAATACTAGGTCTTATTAGAACCTTGCGAGGCTGCTGAGGCTTGCAAGGGAATACTAGGTCTTACTAGATCACTCGAGACTTGTGTACATTAGAAGGCCCCAAGAGGCATCGCATTAGCATGACACTGGTAGCTAAAATACATAAGTTGCACAAAGTCCATATGGCAAAGTCCAAAGCGTGCATTAAGTCTATGTCAGCAGAAGCAGTAATGCGAGAAACGGAGAACGAAAGTCCAATGAGAGAGATGCAGTCCTAATAGCCATTAGCCCTCTTTTGTACGGAGGTTCTTCGAGGAGCGTCAGGATCAGTGATTTTCTTCCTCCCTCTCTTCTTTGAGGGAACAGGAGCCATTGGAGCTTGCGGGGAGAAGTTGATGTCATTGTCAGTCAGATCTGACAGTGGGGGTGAGGGGCGTCGAGGCGGAGACACTGGCTGAGACTGCTAATCATAATATCACTATAACGACAAAAAATTGGTCTTAGCTGCATACCTGAATCACATTCAATGACTGCTTGGTCACATGCGCACTTAGTGAATCCTCGTGCTCATCACAAGCAGCAGGGCATCGAGGTTTCGGCTTGGGTTTCGGCTTAGGACGTGGAGGCTGATCCTCATCATCATACTGGACGGAGGCACTTGTAGGATGCTGAGGCTTGCTTAGCCGAGGTTGGTGTTCCTCTCCATCGGAATCTGTAGCTCCACGGGCAGGTTGCATCGAAGTTGGAGCCTCACCATGATCAGAGGTGGAGTACCGAGGTTTATTGAACTTTGGAGGCAATGGCACATGGGGGTCAGATCGAGGCCGTTTGGGTTGTGCTGCTATTTCCAGCTCATCGGCATCATCATCGAGAGAGATAGGGCGCTTGGATTTGAGCTTGCGAGGGGGTGGGGTATCTTCGTCGTCGTCTGAAGTAACCTGAGTGTGGCGCTGGTGCAGGGGCCGTGGCTTCGCAGGCTGCCCTTGCCTTTCCAACCGAGGGTGGGTTGACTGTGTTTGTGGTGCTGCAACCTCGTTGTCATCATAAACTGAGGTGTGGTGCTGCTTAGTGTTGGAATTTGGGTGAGGTGGTGAGTCACTGGCAAGGTCGTCACCCGCTCGCCAAAGCCATTTGGGTGCATGTGTTATATCATCTTCGTCTTCGTACTCCACAGGGCGAGCTTGCTTACTGGTTGAGGGCTCTCGAGACCCATTAGGGTTGACCGGACATGACAGCACTGGGAAATAAATATCAGTACCAGCATTGTATATACATCTATCACATACCATCTGATGTAACTAATGCAGAACGGCGTGCAGCTCACTGAGCACAAATTTGTGCAATGTCGTCCTCACTTTCCTTTCGCATGAGCTTGGCTGAGTGTGAGTTGTCCTTGGTTGGTTTGAGGTGCCTGCGAACAATTAGCACTGAACTAACCACGCAGAAAAATGTACCTGTTCCACCACACGAGGGTGTCTTTGACCCATGGATCGTCGTCGTCGTCTAGCATTTCAATGATGGCCCAGAGGAGCTCATCCAAGTCCATGTCACCAATACACTGTGTCCAGTGCTGAGCGCTGCTGATCGTAAAGTGTGTCTATGGGTTCATGAGAGGGGTGCTGATATCAATAGCAAAAGAGCTAAACTTACGATAATGTGAACATATGTGATGATGTATTTGTTGACAGCTGTCAGTCCCCATGCACGATTTTTGGATGGCTTCACAGAGTTGCGGACATTTGATGCATCGTTCATGATGGATGATGGTCCAATAAAAAGATGTTTATAAAACTATAGTAACTTTGTTATAAATAAATGACAGCGTAGAAAATGAAGACGCACCCTCAGAACAATGTGGTTTCGAAACAGGCCGTGTGTCTTCTCAGCAGCATCGTAAATGCCATGTTCATAAAAGAATGTTGGCCAGTTGTGTGCCATCATGGTGATTTCGCCAGCTTGCAAGGCAGCCATAGCGCTGAACATAGTGACATCAGTACAAATAATGAAATGAATCAGGGTCCTCATCAAACCAATCCAATTTCTTCCGAGGGCAAAGTAAACAAGCCAACTGTGGGTGATTGAGCCCACACATCGACTTATCCTCGATTTCTGGAATTGGCGGGTCAAGAGCATCGGCCTTACTATACATATTTAGCCCAATGGATTGCAGGCCCTTGTGCTTGACGGAGCTCAGATCTGCAGATCTGCCATCGCTCATACCCTTCGATACCTGCCATGCAAAAGATCAGTTGTCAAGCTCAGATTTGAGTGGAAACAAGCGCATATATGCGCATACAGTCACCATTGCAATGATCATGTTGAGTTTTTTGCTTGATATGTGGTCGAGCTCACTCTTGAGACCAGGAACATAGTCGATGACGCCATTGTACAGTAACAAATGCCGATTGGTGACATCTTCAGGTCTGTAGTGAGTTAGCTGTATTGTGAGATAGATATAAGGTACATACTGTTTCGGGTTGCGCTTACCACCTCGGTCAAATTGAAGACCGGTCTTGAAGGCTGCAGAAGGTATGCCAAACGTATCCAGAAGACTCGAAGTCTTCCTTCCCGCGTTTCGGTACAGCTCTGTGTCATCCGTTTTCAAATCTTCATGTTTCCTGCCGCCAAAGGTCAAAAATTTATGGCACAATTCAAATTACAATACCTTGTTGTGTGCTTGTGAGAGCCTGACGATATAGAATTGATGAGGTCGTCAGTTCTGGTGTCCCTGGAGGAATGCATATGCTTGTGTTTGCTGGGCCTTGATGGTTCTGGTGACTCTGACCGTTTATTCTTGCATTTTCCAAGTTTCACGGGCTCTGGAGAGGATCCGACAGAAGAAATGCTAGTGCTTCATATATACATTGCATCTGAGTCAGGGGGATCAGAGGAGCTTGACAATGCGCCAGGACGACGATGGGAAGACATGATGGTGATTAGACTTAAGGGTTAGGGACGCGTTATTGACGCTTTGTTTATTTCTGGAAAATGCCGACTGACTTTTAAAGTCACGTGACCTTCGAAACAGGAAGTCCGAACTTGTTTCGTACCATTGACTTATGCACTCATATCCTCATCGCCGTCATCACACATCCTCCTCATCCTCCTAACTGAACTCTTGGTGGCGCCTCTCCACATCCAGTTGTTGATGAACTACGACTATATACGCCGTGTATGCACACAAACTCTGGTTGCACTTCACTTCCTGGTCCAACACGCTTCTAGGAAGTGACTTGGACCAGAGGCTGTCAGGCTGCGAGGACACACCTCTAGGAGGCGACTCTGAGCACTTAAGCCTGACAGCTTCTAACTTTTATTCCTACTACTTACTATGTGTACTGACCCCATCACAGAGTGTCCCATCTTCACCTGCCCTCACATCTTCACCCAACCTCGCATTCTTGCCCTCACCCAACCTCACATCTTCACCCAACCTCGCATTCTCGCCCTCACCTGCCCTCACATCTTCACCTTTAGCGCACTCGCGACGTGAGAACTTAACAATGGTGGGGCCGAAAGTCAGTCAATTATGTCCTGAGTTGTCCACCACTCTTCTTAACCTTTAACGATCATCAGGCATTATTCCCTTGAAGTAGTACAACACCCTATGCGTGCCCGTATGTGTGGTTTTGGTGATAAAGTGCGCGAGCCGTCGCGCCTTTGTCTCATAACCTTATAACATTTATTATCAGGATCGCAGGCCACTCACGCCTGCAGCAGTCGCAAAGATGGTTGTCCGATGAGAAGATAACTCTATCGTAGATGTGGAGTAAGCAGAAACATTTATTTTCCCTTTTGTGCAGCTCATCACCTACCACTCAGGGACAGCGTCATTGAGTTCTTTTCTTAGATCGCATTTGGGATGGGAATCGACAAACTGGATGGTAAAGTTGTGTTTGTTCACTCCGGCCTTTGTCTGACCGCATCGAATGGTGCGCTTCGTAATCCACTCAACGTTGAGCCACCGCAATGATAAAGGACCGGCTTGGACTCCAGAGGAGAAAAAGCGACAACTGGAAGATCTCTCAGTGGTGTCCCAGTATTGCCGCAACAAGGCTGACTGTCGATGATCATTAATCCTCACGCATTTCAACGAGCGTTTTGATTCCCACCTTTACCTGATTGTACTCATTTTGTCTACGGCCCAACCCATCCTGTGATTCAGGCCACATGTAAATTACTTTAAAAATAACAGAGCTAATTTCTGAGCTATCTGTCATGCACCGTCGTCAATTACAAGTCTGCAAAGCTATCCTCCTCGAACTCGTTCATCACATCCTCCCCATCTTCTGGACCGAAGTCATCAATCTCATTAGTTTCTTCATCTGCACCATCCTCGTCAAGGACTTGATCAAGGCCGGAGTATCCATATTCGTCCATCTCGTCGGCAACAGTGTCGTCTACCATCGCTTCAAAGGGAGCTGGAACTTCATCCCTGTCCTCGTCGTCCATGCTGTCTGTCTCCTCGCTATCATCTGTTTCCTCCTCGCTATCATCACCACTCCCATCATCTCCATCCTCCTCCATATCCTCATCTTCTTCAGAGCCCTCATCGAATTCTGATCCATGGCGCTCTTTCTCTCTTTGGAGGGGGATTCTATCCAACTCATCACAATCATCAAGCAGGCATGACGTCTCTCTTTGCGTGGATTTGTGCCCCATGCTTCCTCCATGGAAGCGCATGAACATGTCTCGGTCGACGAACCTGGTAATTTATCAGATTTGATTCATGTCGTTAGTGGGAAATAACTGACATGTTGACGCAGTACCAGTCCCAATCCTCGTCATTGTCAGCTGCTTGACGGGCGATGGATGGTCCCAACAGTGCAGTCGTACGTAGATGTCGAAAGGCTGGGATAAGGTGAACGCCACGAACGACGAGGTCAGGATCGAGGAACCCAAAGGCTGATTCATTGTTTCCGTCATAAAACCCAACTCGTGGCAGCCATTTTGCTGCCCAACCTGTTGGTGCAGTGATGTCACGAGCGAACCAGCGGACCCACAAAAAGTCGACACGCTTTATAGTGGGATGTGCACCTTGTCTCATGTAGCGGATATTGGCATGAAAGATGCCAATAACCCGGGTGTACCAGTATGGATGGGAGTCTTCCTGATCACGGGCAAGAACCATGATGTCTGCATGCGTGCGGGGATTGAGGGAGTCCTGAGCGTGCCGCAAGTCATAGGTAGTGTAGTTGACACGAAGCACTTTGTGACGATAAATTCGATTGTTGATAATTGCAACAGAGTTTCGTTGTGCTGCACTAAATGAAGTCTCATCCCCGTCGTAGTCCAGTCCTGACAAGCGACCCAGCAGGTGATCTTTGAGATGTGGAAGAAAATTCTAATTACATCCAGTGAGCAAATACATTTGTCATTTTACGAGTTTCAGAGACCTACCTTTGTGGCCTGGTCATTTCTGTTCTTTCCAAGCCAGGAAGAAATATCTCAGTGATGTTTCTGTGATGAGGACATCTGGTAGTGGATCTCTGGTGAGCAATGCGGCAGTGGGTCCTGGTCAACGAAATGAAGAGATGGACGGAGATCTTCAGTCTCAGGCTGTGCATGATTCTCTTGTGCAGCTGCCCTTTCACGGTTCACCTCTTTCATCCTCTGCAAAATGCGCTCATGACGCTGAAGTCTTGCAATTCCTCATGTGAACTTGTTCTTGTTGGTCCGTGCATAAAATCGCTTCACTCGTCGATGCTCAAGTTCACCCTAATTCCAACATTAGTAGGTGAATGGTAGGTGATAGATTCCAATACTTGCAACTTGTGTAGAGTAATTGTCTGTGGTCCCATATAGCCAGATTGACCTGACATAGTCTCCGAGAGCATGAAGTTTATAAGTCGAGAGGTTAAAAATGTGTTGCTTCGAGGGGCCATCACCTTCAACATCAATATTCATCCTTTCTGACCCTGCTTTCTTGCCTTTAGACACTTTCAGACGCCGATGCTGTGCATGAGCAGCCGTTTCACGTGGCAAGTCATGAGTAGCAAATTTTTTGCATGTGTTGTCATGAAATCGCCGGAGAGCCTTTCCTAGCCGTGTCATACAATTATTGAAATGGTAGAGTGTCGTCTCCGTGTCCATACGAAGCTTCCCAAATGCATGCCAGGTGGCCAGCTCAAACAGAAGGTTGAGGATTGAGTTGTTGAACGGTTCCGGTAGAAGACCATCAAATACTGGCATCGCACACTGCCAGCATTGATCAGCATGACAGCAGCTGTATTACTTATGCTCCTACCTGAAGCAGGTCTTCGAAATCACGCACTGCGAGTTTTGTAAGACCTGACACATTGTCACTAAACTTGCGGATGGTGTCACGTCCAAATGTTGGCACGAGACAATACCTGGATCATCACGATGGACACGCAAATATATGAGAAAAAACAACTTACCGCTCATTGAGATCTTGCACAGCAGTACCTCCATATGAATACAAAATTTGGAGAAGATGCGTAAGGGTTGCCTTCCATACTCCCAACTCAAACTCATGCATAAAGTTGGGCACGAGCATCAAGTGGAAATCGAAACCGAACTTGGCAAGCTTCTCTGAAAAGGCATTCTGATGCTCACAGTTAGTAAACTTTCAAGTTGAGAGATCAATTCAAATCATACATACACGAATAGGTGCCACAGAGGTGGTACCGACAATTCTCTCAATTGCAGAGCTGACTACACTATAGCCTCGAACAAATATGAGTTCACAGGCTCGTTCAATGAGACTACGCCGTGGATGATTGTCAACTCGAGAATTTCTGGTGCGCTGCCGTCGATCGAACTTTGTCCCTAATTTGAAAATGTTGTCTTTGCTAACAAGACACCGTGGGCATGGACACCTCCCGAGGAATTTCATGCATGCAAGTAGAACCCTGACATCAGGGAGATTAGTATGGTGTGATCAAGTAAGATGTGAAACAGACTTCTCCAGATAATCAGCAGAATAGGTGAAAAAACGAGGAAACACACGACGAGAGACTCCATCAGGGAACTTGACAACGAAGCCATGTTCATATGCATCTATGAATTCAGCATTGAGCAGGAAGTGCCAAACGGCCTGCATTAATTCACATTTGCAATGCGTGAGCACTGCTCCTGTGGCACTATGACCAAAAGTCTTCTTGTAGAAGTCTTGGATAGTATCTGATAGCTATACACATAATTAGTTTGTGTCTCAAGTTCAAATATTAAAGACAGACCTTTGGAATATATGCGAGATGATGTGCTGCAAACGATGTTGGCTTGCCACGAATATACTTTGACTGATTGCCAATGAACAAGTATATCGGCCAGAGAGAAGCATTTCCGAAGCTTGCTAAATGAGTGGAATCGGACCAGAGCATGATTGCAGCTACGACAGTTTCTAGATTACAGTCTGATTCACAGGGCTGCGAGTTGAGCTTCGCTTGCTCTTGAAGCATGGCGTCAGATGTATACAGTTCAGTAATGATTCACTCTGGGGGTTCGTCGTCCTCCGGCTGCCAGAATAGTTTGTATGGCTTTGTGTGAAATGTTTTGGCTGCAACTTCTGCGTACGCCGATTTGAGGACCTCTAATGGCTTGCAGTAATAGAGCCCGTCAACTTCAAATTCAGGTGCACAATCCTCAGAAGAGAACTTCTCTTTTTCACATGGGAGTCGGATTTTCACTGAGGCCTCATGCCATCCATCGGATGAGAATATGGATGAGGCAGGGTCATGTTGGGCCTTCTCGAGACATGATGCCTCCCTAGGTGCATTAAAATCTAGCAAATCCTCTCGGCAGAAATCCTCCACTAAAATGACATCGTTGACTAGATGATTGAGATCTTGCAGTGATTTCGAGATCGATGAGTTGTAAAACCATGTCATGAGCCGGAAAACAGTGGCATTAAGGAATGGTGCGAAGTAGTCATGGTGGACTGCCTCAAGTGATTGTCCGAAGCCAGCATACCACAGCCGTTCGTAATCAGCATCCCCATCAACATGCTGGAATGTTGAGGAGTCACAAAGTGCATCGAAGTAGGCTGAATGTTCGGGGTCGTATGTTGGAAATGAATGAGGGTATTCACAAAAAAGGTCGAATGTGTCAATGTCCATACGATGTTGCTCTGTAGGGGGGGCATGCTCTGATGATGGTCTGTCATCGAAGTCCATGGCAATGTCATCTGGGTCGTCAGGCACTGGTGCTGGCTCATCTGGCTCAACCGGAGGTGGCGCAGGAATTGGCAGGACTGGAACTTCGTCACGGTAATGTTTGGGGAGACGTATCTGGCGATTGGGACGCCCAGATGGTCGCGAGTCCATTTCAATATCTGGTACCTGTTCATATATGAATATCAAGTCTATGTTTTAAAAATAATACTCACTTCCTCAACACGAGGCTGCTGCTGTTGTCATTGACGATGCTGTGCCTCACGCTCTTCTTCCTGTTGCCGTTCTTCCTCTGCACGGGCAGCTTCGGCAATGGCTTGTCGGCGCTCCAGCCGTTCAGTAAGCGCTGATGTCGTGGCTACATCACGCATGCGGCAGTACCTGCTGAGGTGCATGGAAAGTCCACGATCACGAACTTCAACATCGCAGTTCGGACAGTTGACCATAGTGAGAATAGCGAGCAAAAATAATGAGACTGAGTAGAGCAGCATCAAGAGAGGCTGCTGGAGAGCTGTTGCATCAACGATTAGTATAATTGATAAGGCTTAAATACACATATGAGAACGGTCCGAAGGAATGTGTTTCAAAGGCATGAACCGAACCCGAAATAGGACACGGACCGTACCTTTGAAACACGAACCGTTATTAGAGATGAGGTTTCCCTCGCAATCCTGTGCGAGACAGCGCCGATCTTGAAATGCCTCGCGAGGCTGCCGCGAGGTTGAAACAGTCTAGTAAGGCCTTGTGAGACGAGTATGCGTACCTTGCGTGATGACGAACAAATACAATCAAGCCTCGGAACGCATCATGTGGCCGTGGGAGACTCTCCGGACCTTGCCGGACCTAGTTAGATTTGGGCACTTTTGCTGATGTTGTGTCCGAGTCTTTATTGTTACAGCTTCTGGTTCGTTGCTCGCTGCATCTCGACCACCTCCCGCATCACTTGTGATTTCAGATCGAGAGCTTGCAGGTGAACCGTGATGGGGCGTCTGTTGTGTCAGTACCCTTCGTATATTTTTTTTTCGCGTGTCACAGTGTATGCTAATCTTAGTTCAAGAGCATTTTGGACCTACTGCTCTACATGTATCAACCCTGTTATGTATCAAGCCGAAACCGAAATATAACTCACTAACTCAGTTACTTTCATACTCGCAATCGCGACCTCCCTGGGACCACGCCGTGATCGACATGTCAGCACAATGAGCATGTAAAGTTTGAATTTGAATCATCAAGCCTCTTATTACCTTCAAACGCTGTCATTTTATTCCACGACTCTGTCATGCTGTCGTCCAAAGGTGTAGTTTATGCATCACTCCAATCTTTCTGCTAATATATATTTATGCTTTCTAGATGTCAATACCGCTGCCGCGGAGACTATCTTGCGCGACCGACTCCACGGCTGGGGACATCAGCTTTACATTACTGAGATAAGTATATGAAGAATAATGTACTGGTTCTTCCGAAGATACTCATTCATGGTCCGTCGTGCGACGCTAATCAATAAATATTCAGAAGAAGTAAAGCACCTATAACAGCATGCCTTACAGCGGTTAGCGCTTGACTAGAATGTTCGATGCTAGGACCGCTCGCGTTTCTAGACTTGGACATGCACATTTCTGCAGCATTGCATTGTTTTGATATCGTGAGTGTTATTGACCACTCGGCAGCTGGCAGCGATGTGCGCTGACGCTTGGTGCTCAGCTGTGGTCACAACATCTTTTAATTGTTCCAAAGCGTACATCTCCATGATCTCCCCCGTTGTGATCAATAGTGGCATTATCTGGTCGCCATGATCACCCTGTGGGTGTTTTCAGACAATTCACAAATCGACGCTCCACGACCCATTGATATTATTTAAAGCGTGCTGTGGTCCTACCAAGCGAACTTTTAAATACGCTCGTCAAATTGCTCCTCGACATTTCCGTACCCTTCTCCTCATCATTATCTGTCAGGCAAGGTCACTGAAATGTCGATAGCTCGATCTTCTTTTTCTTCTTCTGAAGAATCTGAACCTTATTTTACCGCCATACAGTCTATCGTTGTCGATGCTGGAATCGCGAATCCTCGCTCAGAGCCCCCGGATCTTCAATACCCTTTTGCTTCGGAGCCGGCCGACCCTCCAGCCGACCCTCCAGCCGACCCTCCAGCACCTGCTCACGTCTCTACCTTCACGCACTCCGGCCCAGCAGAGGTGGTTCAAACTACACCGGTGTCATGCACGTATGGCGCCTTTCGTATTTGGCGCACGTTGGGCGAGGGCACGTACGGCGTGGCGATGGCAGCTCAAGACGTAGCGTCGAATCGCTTGTTGTGTCTCAAGGTCTTTCCAAAGCACCATCTTGAGCGCAAAGCCAGGGAGTCTGTTCTTCTGAACGAACTCGAAGTGTACAAGCGTCTTTCATGCGCGTTGCCGAGCCCCGCGGCTAGATTTCTCATGGGGCTCGAGATGTCGTTCCAGACAAAGGATAAAATATGTTTTGCAATGGTGTGTTCTCCTCCCATGCGACCCGTTTCAGTCATCTGACTCCATCGGACGTCTCTAGGACCTGATGGCGAGCGACCTGTATAGCTATCTGCAACGTCATCCTGCGTACTGCGTCCACAATGCTGGCAGGTGGGCTGCACAAATGGTAAGCGGTCGTCTTTCCTGGTCTTCGACATCTCACGTCTCACGCCTCCTCCGACTTCGAAGACCCTTGGGATCAACGCTCTGCACGAGATGGGGATCATCCACCGGGACATCAAAGCCGGAAACATCCTGATTGACGTTCGAGAGAACGTGCGCATCACCGACTTTGGTGTGAGTTATATAGACAAAGACAAAGGACCCTTGGACCGACAGCGGAATTATTGTTCGCAAGAGGCGGGAACGACGCACACTATGGCACCGGAGGTCCTGCGCAACGGATCCGACTCCCGTCCTTTGAAGTACGGAGCACCTGCAGACTGGTGGTCGTTAGGCTGCGTCATCTACGAGCTTGTTTCGAAGAAGCACAAGGCACGTTTCGAGTCTTCTTTCGCTGCTATCTTACTGATATCATCTCGTCAGCCACTCTTTGTTACAGCGGACAACATACTTTCCTACGTTTCATGGTGCTCCAGCCCCGACAGTCCATCCAAACAGTTCCCTGCCTTTGAAGAATTACATGAAGCTCTTGCAGATTTGATCTCTGGGGTAAGCTTTTGTCTTGTTCGTTTTCCGGCACCATCACTCATCTTTACCGTGGTAGCTGCTGCAACCTGTCCCGTTATCGCGGTTTGGGTTCGCTGAAGTTGTAAATCATAGATCGTTTTTGTTCAAACCCGGCTTGTCAGAATTTACTGACGCATACTCTCGCGGTGAGTTAAATCTGATATGTTTATGAACATCATACTAAAAACGAATTGCAGCCCTTAAGCGCGAAGAATTTCCATATATGCTACCAGACTTACGATGTGGTCGAGAGACCAGCGCAGCAGAGATCTGGTTTCGCCAACCTTCCTGGGAGAAACCGCGCGTTCCGAATGTGGATTGGGCCAAGCCGGCGCTTCTTTCTCCGTTCTTATGATGGCTCTTCAGTCTAGTCGGTGTTTATTTCGTTTCGCTAGCTTCACTGTTTACTGTCACTACGTCTCCCTTCATTCTTCACGTTGTTACAAATAATCCTATGTAAAATGCACCTGTCTTGGTTGGTTCACATACATCTTTCATTCACTGTTTGTTCCATATCTCCCAGAACCCAGGCAGTAGTAGAATCGGCATGGCTATTCAAAGGTTTGAGGTTATCGTCGTAGCTGATTTCAGCAGATTGAGTACGCCACATTGCGACTCAAAGCGCGCCATCCGAACGTTGACAAAGTACTAAAGGAAGGGGTCTCCGCACCAACATTTTCTCCTTCTCTTCGAACCCAAATTGTCTACGATCACGAAGCGAGGCTCCTCCCACAGAATTGACCCGATGCGAAGACTGCACTTGGGTTCATGGTCCTCTTGATCAGTGCCAGGAGTCGAATTCTAGCTTTCCGAGCGTAGTTCAGCTTGAAGTGGTCGATCTGTATGTACAGACTCGTCGCAGACCTCTGCATGGTAAGTGGGTGCATGAATGCTACCAGGTTAAGGTATGTAGCCAGCCGTGCCAAAGTTTTTGCCGAATCTCGATGCTAGTACACCTCAACATTTCCGGAAGCGTTGAAATAGTAAGCACTGTATCAGATTGATAACCATCTCACCACTGGCCAATTATGCTAATCTGCAAACTGCAATCCGGCCTTGGCCCGGCCAGCCTTCAATATTCAATATGAGCCTCATAGCCTACGTCCTGAAGGTATCAACGCACAATTCCAGCCCCAATCTTTCAAATGTCATCCACACGCCTGAGCCCTCAACTTCTCGTCGCTGATATTGGCACTGGTTGAGATCTTCGACAGTGGCAGTGTTCAAGTGAGGGCAGTTGGCCCTACAGTTAACGCTGGATATCACCTGACTAATATATCTCTAACTGAAGACTATGACTGTCCTGACGGTATGATTATTGCTATAGATGTATGTTCGAGCCTTTGGAAACGTAGTCTCGCATACACATATATGCAATAAGCAACACTTCGGAGTCGATGAGGACGTATCCAGATTTTGGAATTGCAAGACTGTGTGGCACTGGCAGGATAAATGGTGGGCCGTGGCCGACTAAAGATCAAGCAGCAAGTTAGAGGTTGTTGTATCATGATTTGGTTCCATTTCAAGTATTTGTGACTATTTGTCATGTGCCACGTAAGGAGTTTCGGTTTGCATTAAGTCCTGCCAAATCACAAACTTCTTCTTCACTTGTCCGCTCCTGGACTTCAAGCTACAATGAGCGGTTGTAAGTCTCAAACAGAGTTCGTTAGTTGACTGGTATTGACTTTAGTTGCATACAGTTCGGTTTCTGAATCTTGTCCGACCATTCCTTCCACTCCTGCCAGAGGTTTCTTCACCTGATCGCAAAGTATGTCCCATACATGCGTTTGTAGTTACAACATGCAAAACTCACCAGCTTCCTTCATTTTTAGGTTCCTTTCAACCAAAAACTGCTATGGACCGCTGTTACACTCCTCATTTTCTTGGTCTGCTCTCAAGTACCATTATATGGCATCATGTCTTCAGATTCGTCTGATCCTCTTTACTGGATGCGTGTCATCCTCGCTTCCAACCGTGGAACCCTCATGGAGCTCGGTATAAGTCCTATTGTTACGTCCGGAATGATCATGCAACTATTGGCTGGCGCAAATTTAATCGAAGTCGACTTCAGCTTGAAGGAAGACCGGGCACTGTTCAGCGGTGCACAAAAATGTACGTGTCACTTGGCAACTTTTCAAACCTTACTGACTGATGCTTGTTTCAGTGTTTGCTTTGATCATTTCCCTCGGTCATGCTACCGTATACGTCTTGACAGGTCTTTACGGGCAACCAAGTGATCTCGGTGCTGGTGTTTGTCTTCTGCTCATCATTCAGCTTGTCGTTGCCGCCCTCATCGTTATTCTCCTCGACGAGCTTCTCCAGAAGGGCTACGGTCTTGGGTCCGGTATCTCCCTTTTCATCGCGACCAACATCTGTGAATCCATCATCTGGAAGGCCTTCTCACCTACAACTGTTAACACCGGTCGTGGCCCTGAGTTCGAAGGTGCCATCGTCGCGCTCTTCCACCTACTCTTCACGTGGAATGACAAGGGACGTGCTCTTCGTGAGGCGTTCTGGCGTGACAGACTCCCGAACATTATGAACCTCCTTGCGACTGTCATCGTGTTTGCCGCTGTTATCTATATGCAAGGCTTCCGCATTGAGATCCCCGTCAAGAGCAACAGATTTCGCGGTCAGCGCGGCAGCTACCCCGTCAAGCTGTTTTATACTAGCAACATGCCCATCATGCTCCAGAGCGCACTCGTATCAAACGTGTTCATTGTGTCACAAATGCTCGCAACGCGCTTCCCCTCTAACATCTTGGTCAAGATTATTGGCATCTGGGAGGTCAGTTATTCTATGACTTGATGGTTTTAATTGGCACTAAAGTATATCACAGCCTCTGGAGGACTCTCCCCAACTTCGCGCCGTAGGTGGTCTCGCATACTATATGTCACCCCCACACACCATCAAAGAAGCCTTCCTGGACCCCATCCATACATTCCTCTACATCACATTCGTAGTTTCTGCTTGCGCACTCTTCTCAAAAACCTGGATTGAAGTGTCTGGGAGTGGCCCACGCGAGATCGCTAAACAGCTCAAGGACCAACAAATGGTCATGGCTGGTCATCGTGAGGGTTCAATGTACAAGGAACTGAAGCGTGTTATTCCTACCGCTGCTGCATTCGGAGGCGCTATTCTGGGCTTGCTTTCTGTTGCTGCTGATCTCATGGGCGCTATCGGAAGTGGAACGGGTATTCTGATGGCTGTTACAATCATCTACAGTTGTGAGTACTTTTGTCCTCCCCGAAATGAACGTTCGCACTGACTGACGTGCGCCTTGCGTTTTAGACTGGGAGATTGGTATCAAGGAGAGTGGGGGATCCGAAATGGCAGCGCTGAGCGACCTCATGTAGATACTGGAAGTGTAGCCGTCAATTGTTGAGTCTACTTGAATACATGGACCTGATTCAGAACCTCGCTGAGTGATGTCAATCGACTCATTCCACAACTGGAACATGGTATTGATGGAGCAGAAGCACCTGTGCCCATCTTCCCGGGGAAGAAATCCTGTGCACTCAAGGTCTGCATGTCTGGTTAGGTACAGAGTAAATCACACCACGGCTTCGAGTGAATGGTCGGAACGAAGTAAACTGGCCCTCCTGCCTGGAATCCATTAATAAAACAGTGACGAGAGTGGTTGTCCCCAGAAAACCCCAATCAATGTCAATGGGAGCCTCTATGTCAAATTCATGTCTATATCGCGAGTCCCTCATGCGAGATGCCTTGTGTGGCCATTTTCTTTCGTTTGACTCTTGGGCACGGTAAGTCGGACCAAGAGGACCATAAACTAAAGTGCAGTCTTCACGTCGGGTCGATTCTGCGGGATACAATTACGAACTCAGACCTTTGAATACCTATGGCGATTCCACTACCGCCTGGGAGATATGAAACAAACTGTGAATTGGTACTGAAAGATGTATGCGAACCAAAAAAAAAGGAACGAAGAGACAGGTGCATTTTACATGGGATTATTTGTAAGAAGAAAGGGAGACGTAGTGACAGTGAACAGCGAAGCTATCGAAACGAAATGAGCACCGACTGGACTAGAGGGCCATCATAAGGAAGGAGAAAAAAGCGTCGGGTTGACCCAGTCCACATCCGGAACGCGCGATTCCTCCCAGGACGGTTGGCGAAACCAGATCTCTGCTGTGCTGATGTCTTGACCACGTTGTAAGTCTGGCAGCAAAGATGGAACTTCTTTGCGCTCAAGCGCTGCAATCCGTTTTTAGCATGATGTTCGCAGACGAATCAAGTTTAACTCACCGCGAGAGTATGCGTCAGTGAATTCTGACGTGCCGGCTTTGGACAAAAACGATTTATGATTCACAACTTCAGCGAAACCAAACCGCGATGACGGGTCGGGTTGCAGCAGCTACCGTGGTGAAGATGAGTGATGGTGCCGGAAAACGAACAAAACAAAAGTTTACCCCAGAAATCAAATTCGCGATGTTATTTTTACCCAAATCTTCGAAGGCAGGGAATTGTTTGGATGGTTCGTCGCGGCTGGAGCACCAGGAAACATAAGAAAATATGTCGTCCTCTGTAACAAATAGTGGCTGACGAGATGATATCAGTAAGATAGCAGCGAAAGAAGACTCGAAACGTGCCTTGCGCTTCTTCGAAACAAGCTCGTAGATGACGCAGCCTAATGACCACCAGTCTGCGGGTGCTCCGTACTCCGAAGAACAGGGGCCGGATCTGTTGCGTAGGACCTCCGGTGCCATGGTGCGTGTCGTTCCCATCGGATCTGCAGAATAATTTCGCTGTCGGTCCAAGGGTCCTTTGTCTTGGTTGACATAACTCAAGCCAAAGTCGGTGATGCGCACGTTCTCTCGAGCGTCAATCAGGATGTTTCCGGCTTTGATGTCTCGGTGGATGATCCCTATCTCGTGCAGAGCGTTGATCCCAAGGGTCTTCGAAGTCGGAGGAGGCGTGAGGCGTGAGATGTCGAAGACCAGGAAAGATGACTGCTTACCATTTGCGCCGCCCACCTGCGAGAATTGCGAGAGCAGTACGAAGGACGACGTTTCAGATTAACACACAGGTCGTTCGCCATTAGGTCCTAGAGACGTCCGATGGAGTCAGATGACTGAAATGGGTCGCAGGGAAGGAGGACGCACCATTGCAAAACATATTTTATCCTTTGTCTGGAACGACATCTCGAGCCCCATGAGGAATCTAGCCGCGGGACACGGCAACGCGCATGAAAGACGCTTGTACGCTTCGAGTTCGTCCAGAATAACCTCTTTCGCGTATTTGTGCTCAAACCGGTCCTTTGAAAAGACCTTGAGACACAACAAGCGATTCGACGTTACGTCTTGAGCTCCCATCGCCCCAGCGAACGTACCCTGGCCCAACTTGCGCCAAACACGAAAGGGGCCATACGTGCATGACACCGGTGTAGTTTGGACCGCCTCTGCTGGGCCAGAGTGCGTGAAGGTGAAACCGTGAGCAGGTGCTGGAGGGTCGCCTGGAGGGTCAGCCGGCTCCGAGGCAGAAGGGTATTGAGGATCGGGGAGCTCTGAGCGAGGATTTGCAATGCCAGCATCGACGATGGTAGACTGTATGGCGGGCGCGTTGGATGCAGCGCTAGAATAAGGTTCAGAAGAAGATTGAGCTATCGACATTTCAGCGACTTTGCCAGATAGATAATGATGAGGAGAAGGGTACGGAAATGCCAAGAAGCGATTCAACGAGCGTATTTAAGAGTTCCTTGGTAGGACCACAACGCGCTTTAAATAATATCAATGAGTTGTGGAGCGTCGATTTGTGAATTGTCTGGAAACACTCACAGGGTAATCATGGCGACTAGCCACTGTGGATCACGATGGGGGAGATCTTTGAGATGTACGATGTGGAACAATCAAAACACGTTGCAACCACAGTTGAGCACCAAGCATCGGCACACACCGCTGCCAGCTACCGAGTGGTCAATAACATTCACGATATCAAAGCAATGTGATGCCCCAGAAATGTGCATATCCAAGTCTAGAACGCGAGCGGTCCTAGCACCGAACATTCTAGTCAAGCGCTGACCGCTGCGAGGCATACTGTTACAGGTGTTTTACTCCTTCTGAATATTTATTTATCAGCGTCGCAGGCCATCCAGAATGGATACTCTTGTCATGTCGGCCATGTAGTGATAAGATGATCCAAAACGACTCCAGATCTGCGTACGAAATCGTGTCGTGGTTTGAGGCGTGGTCGTGACTTCTGCCACTGCTGTCTGTGTAGGAACCTATGCAAAATTCTCGATGTACAGGATAAACAATTCGACAAGTTGGAAACAAACTCTCAGAGAGGATGATGTCGACAGCAAATATATGCCTTCGTAGCCTCACAAGTATGTTTATCATCTTCAGGTTGTTCGGATCTTCTTCCGCCTAAGTAGGCATCGTTATTATTCCTGTTGAACTTTGAAATCGAGTCTGCTTATTTTGCAGGCATACACGGTGATGAAAATTCAGGGGGACGAAAAGGATAAGAGCTGCACTCACCCACATTCCCTTATTTATTATCTTGTCATCATTATCGTCTGACGAGTTGAAAGTTCTAAACTGCTGTTGTCGCCGCAGAGGAAGGGCTCGCGAATGGGTAGGTTCGGAAGAACCTGTATATTATTCTTCATACACTCATCTCATGAATTTCAAGCCGATGTCCCCAGCTATGGAGTCGGTCACTCAAGATGGTCTCCGTGGAAGCAGTATTGACATTTAAAGCGTGTTGACCAGAATCATCAGAGTGGTGCCTGAACTACACCTTTGAGCGACGGCATGACGAAGACATGAAATGAAGCGACAGCGTTTAAAGACAATAACGGGGTTGATGATTCAGATCATGTGAGGCTTGATGTCGATCACGGTGTAACGGTCCCCTGGAGGTCGCGAACGCGAGTAGGGAAGTGACAGAGAGACATTGAGTTATATTTTTGTTGCGGCTCGATACAGAGCAAGATTGATAGCGGGCAAATACATGTGAGAGTAAGTAGTAGCTTGATTTTGTGGAAATGCTCTTAAACGGAGATGGGCATACATTGTGCATATACCGTTCAAATCACAAGTCATGTGATATGGTACTGACTGAAGTGTATTGTGATGGATACACTATCACCGGCCGACTAGCTCAGTTGGTTAGAGCGTCGTGCTAATAACGCGAAGGTCTTGGGTTCGACCCCCACGTTGGCCATACATTTTTGCTCATCTACCAAATCAAAACCAACACGAAACCAATTAATCGCTAATAGTAATACTGCACACAAAATTATACCATCGTACATCGACTCCTACATCGAGTATTCAATAAATAAATCATCGTTCTTTGGGCTTAAAAGTCCAAATCTCCATAACAGTCTTCCCCGCTCTCTTACACATAACCGCACACACACCCTTCTTATAGAGCACCTTCCACACGCTCTCGCACCGCTCACTCAGATCGCGCACCCACGCCCCAGTCTGCGTCTCAAACACCCGTACGCGGCCATCGTTGCCGCCCGTGATGAGGAAGTTCGTGTCGAACTGGAGAGAAGTGACACTGCTGTCGTGTGCGGCGAGACGTTGAAGGGCGGTGAATGAGCGAAGGGAGAAGGTAATGACTCGGCCGTCGGAGCCGCCTGTGGCGAGGAGGTTGGTGGTGGTGCTGAGTTGGAGTTGGCAGACTAGGGCGGTGTGGCCTGTGAGTTGGGCGACACAGTTTCTGTTATGGGTGAATGTGTGAACGTGGGAGTGTCAGGAAGGGAGAGAACATACCCCGTGGTTGCGTCCCATACTCTCACGATGGTGTCCATACCCCCTGAAGCGACGAAGTTGCCAGCGATCGCGATGGAGTAGATTTGATGGCTATGGCCTCGGAGAACTCGTATGCATTCACCTGTGTCAACGTCCCATATCTGCAACTCGTCAAAATCATGTGCACATTGCTCTGGAAATAAGACTCACTCGACATGTAGTGTCGTAACTACCACTGACGACCCGGTTCCCACAAACGTCAAGACATCTTACGCTCGCAGTGTGGCCGTGCAGTACACGGAGCATGACCCCCTTTTGGATGTTCCATACACGGAGGGTAGAGTCCCGAGAACCTGTCACTGCGATCGGGCGGTTGTGTAGTACTCGGGCGCATCTGACAGTAGCAGTATGCCCGCGAAGGACGTAAACGCAATGTCTAAGCGCCCATAAGCACATAGCCAGAACCAGACGAACGCAGGAACATACCCAGATGTGGCATCCCAAACACGAAGCGTCTTGTCGCAACTAGCACTGACAATGATAGAGTTTGGCTGGCCCCATCCTTCGCTCGTACAGCAGATATCGCTCGGCTTAGAAGAGCCGTCTCCAACGCTCGCTGGGGATCGCATTCGCCTGCGCCTGTCGATACCGAGTGCTATTTTCAGGGCTGCGGGTACGACTGGATCGCCTGCGTCGTCCGGGTATCCGTCTTCATCCATGTCTCCGCGACCCCAATAACCGCCGCGGCAGACGAGATGGACTGCCCATACGCCTAGTTCGTGACCCGTGAGTGTTCGGCTGAGTACGCCTGTGATTGCGCTGAATAAATGGATCTTTGAGTTTGCTAGGCCGACAACTACCCATTCGGTATCAAGGGCTACGGATGTGACTACACCACTGTCTGGTGTTGGGATTGGCATACGGTGAGCGTGAAGGATGCTACCGCCCTTTCTCAGATTGAGCACTAGATATTTGATTAGTGAGGATATGCATGTGGGCAGGAGCGACGTACTTGTACCATAAGCGCGCCTGAAATATTGCTGATGAGAAAACTGAGTTCTTGGATGTAAAAGATCATCCGCGTATGGACCCCAGTGGGATACGGAAGTAAGTTCTTGCCGTTTGAGTCGATCTCGCGCTGTGAGCCATGGGTCTATTGAATTGGAGGTGAATTTATCGATCTCGTCCCAAGATTCGTCGTCTTGGTATAGATTAGTAGCAGATTTGTCTTCTGTATCTGCTCTGAAGCTGTATGTATCGCATAAGACCTTCCAGAGCCAGTCATCTGCGACGAGGTCGTGCCAGCGTTTAGAGACTTGACTTGCGCGTGCGAGAGTGCATGGATCGTCGACATAAGATAGGATGTGGAGTGCAAGTTCTGCTGGTAGTTCTGTTAGGACATCACGTTTGAGCATGGGGGTGATTGTTTGGGAGAGGAAGCGTAGTTCTGCTGGGGAACATTCATGCAGTATTGATATGAGGTATTGTTTACGTGAGGCGGGACCTAATAGAGTTGAGAATTCGGATGAAGGGTTGTATTGGGGTATTGGACGAGGAGAAGGAGCTGGCGTTGGTGGTGATACTATTGGCATGTTACTGGTCATGGTCAAGACATAGACTTGACACGTGACTTAATACTCTCTCGACTTTATTCAATTTTTCATTGTAACAAGTTAACTATGACCAAAAAGAAGACTCAAGCAAAGAAAAAGCAGGCTCAGGCTGCTGCTGCCAATGCAAATGGCATAAAGTATGGTTTAATTCGTTCCATTCACTCGCAATTGACCGCCATCTCATCGTTGATTAGCAAAAATCCACCTCCTCCCGAGCCTAGTCCTTCCTCACCCTCCATCCCCAAGCCTGAGGGCCCTTGTGCAGATGACGTAAAAGAGCAAGGTAATGTAGCCTTCAAAGCAAAACAATATACAGAAGCTATCGAGCTATATACCAAAGCTATCGGTAAAATAACTACATCTCCTTCGCAACTCACAGAATAACCCCCTTCCAGATATCAAACCAACAGAACCAGCATATTTCACTAATCGCGCAGCCTCTTACATGGCTTTGAAGCGTTTCCGTCCCGCACTATCAGACTGCCAACAAGCAGCTACACTCCAATCCTCAGAACCATCATCAAAGACTCTCATCCGTCTCGCACGTTGTCAATTCGCACTCGGTTTATCAGAGCCTGCATTAACAACACTACGCTCGGTCCTCGATCTTGAACCTACAAATCTTGCTGCTGCACAACTGAGAGACAAAGTCCTCGAACTAGAAGCTCACTTGCGTACCTTTACCTCTTCCCGCACACGCAAGGAATGGGGCATGGCACGCCTTGCGTTAGATAAATGTCTACAAAGCATCGAGGCTGAGGGCGGCGAGATACCAACTCAGTGGCGGCTATGGAAAGTTGAACTCGAGCTCTCAAGAGGGAACTGGGATGCTGCAAACATTGCTGCAAAGTGAGTCTGACCCTATCACCACAGATCTCTGGACATTAACAGTCTTTCAGCGATGCTCTTCGATTAGAACCCAACTCACCAGAAGTACTTACACACCGTGGTCTCGTGCTCTTCCTCAGTGGTAAGCTATCCCAAGCACTACAACACGTGGCTTCGGCGCTTCGCCTCGATCCTGGACACGAGCCTGCCCACCGCCTGCGTAAGCGCGTAAAAGACGTAGAGCGTCTAAAGGAGGAGGGAAACACCGCCTTCAAAGGTAGCAGACTCCAAGACGCAATCGCACGATACACAGAAGCCCTCGATGTACGTCCCTCCTTACTTCAATAACTCAGGCTCATACTCATACTTCATTTCAGCGAATAGGCGAAATCGAAGAAGAAGGCAAAGGCGGACAGATCCGCGCAACCCTTCTCTCAAATCGCGCTACGACTCTCGTAAAGGTATGTCCCCTCTAACGCCTCACTCATACCACATTTTCACATCATTCTCAGCTTGATAAATACGAAGAAGCACTCCTAGACACAGAAGCTTCTCTCACACTTTACTCCACCTCCTTCAAAGCCCTCCGCACGCGCGCGCGCATCAACCTCCATCTCGAGAAATATGATGCTGCAATCGCCGATTTCAGAGCGTCGATGGAACAAGCAGAGTTTGAGGGTGTAGACGCCGATGTTAGGGCGCTGAGGAGCGAACTTAAGAAAGCGGAGGCTGCACTTAAGAGGAGTAAGACGAAGGATTATTATAATATCCTCGGTGCGTCCTTTTCTTTTCGAGAAATAGGTAATATGTATCGATTGTTACTTTCCAGGCATTGCGAGAGACTGCAACGAACTCGACATCAAGAAAGCATACAGACGTGAAAGCCTCAAACATCACCCAGACAAAGGAGGCGACGAGGAGAAATTCAAACTGGTAGTAGAAGCACACGCAGTCCTCAGCGACCCTCAACGCCGCGAACGCTATGACATGGGCGAGGACGAGGATGGACAGACGGAGGGTGGGATGGGTGGCGCAGGGGCGTTTAATACGGCTGATTTGGCCGAGATATTTAGTCAGTTTCAGGGCGGGTTTAGTGGGGGGCCGTTTGGTGGCGCAGGAGGAGGAGGGTTTGGCGGAGGGCAAGGGGCCAGTTTCCATTTTCATTCGGGGAGGCCGCATGACTTTCATTGAGTGGTTCCATTATATGAGAATTTTTTTCGTATTGTTGGATTTCGTCGGACTTGAATTTGTGAGACATATCGCGCTAGCACTTAGACTGCGAGCTCCGCGGGGATCAGCTTGACTGATCAGATTTCTTGGACAAAAATATCGTTTGAGTGGCGACACTGCTTTGAACCTCTTGTACATAAAATTATGGCGAACCCCTGACCAGGCTTAGAGACTCTCATCATCGCTGGCACACAAACTCAACTCTTCGAGTTTCAAAACAGTCGCATTGGCAAGAGGGACAAAAATCATGGCCAACGTGGGGATCGAACCCAAGACCTTCGCGTTATTAGCACGACGCTCTAACCAACTGAGCTAGTCGGCCGTTGGAAAATAAATGTACTCAATCAACAAGACAAAGCGGCATCCTGAATGCCAAGTCAACGGGCCCCTGTGAACTATTCTTAAATTCGAACCAAGTCCACAATGTCCTCCACGAAGAAATCAAGACGAAACAATAGTGCCCCGGCCCTTAAACAGGGGACCTTGGCCTTTTCTGTTAAGCGCACAAACTCCCACACCACTACTAAGACGAAAGGGACTCTACCACGACGGTCATCCCCTTTGATTGAAAAGCATGCAGCTGAAGACGCAATAGACTTGGAGATAAACAACGAGCAGGACAGTGACGCCGTGCTGGAGATATCTTCAGAAGAGGAGTACTCACCAGCTTCTGTGAAGCGAGGTGGAGCTCCCAACGCCACGAAAGCATCGACATCCAGTCCTGCCAAAAGGCTAAAGGATAATCCTCCTGCTGTTAAATCCGTGGGGCAACGGCCGACATTAGATGTATCGGGCAAGGCCTACCGCAAACACTATGGACACGTGCGAGAAAAGATGGGCCACCTTGAACCGAGTGAGTGGCTATATGCGTCTCTATCGTTCACAAGGCTAAAGCGGGAACATATGTTTAGTTCATTCGGAAGGGCAGAATAGAATCCATCAGATACTCCGCGTGTTTGACATGTATGTAAACTTTGGATCCAGGGAATTAGATCGATGTTTAGCTTTTTTTAGGTCCTACGAGTACGGTCCGTGTGTTGGTATGTCACGTCTTGAGCGTTGGGAGAGAGCCGCTTCGTTTGGTCTCAACCCACCTGATGAGGTATGTGCATGTACACCATGACGCTCCAACATAAATGCACTCTTGCTTTGTGATCAGGTTCGGCATATTCTCTTGACTGAAGAAGGAGTCGAAAAAGATGAATATTCTCAATGTGTTCTCTATGGAGAAGTGTAGTTTGAAGACTTGTTCAACTTCTCGGATGTAACCTAGTAAGTGCCTACATGTTCACCCCATCGGGTCCGTCCGATAACTGGCTCATGGCTATCTCCGTAAGTCTGGTTTTTCCTACGTGTCCGACTCGACTCGGATGTAGTGTTTGGGGTTATCCATGCGCGCCGCGGGCACTTCCGGACAAGCCTGTGAGTCGTGACACAACAACCTCGGTCCTCCACTGCTCCATCATATCGAAGAGGATAGAGTACTTGTTCCATACTTCTCTGTTGTACTGATCACTTGTTATATTAACATTCGTTGTGCTACCCAAGTCAGGATGATTGATCTCACGGAAGGATATCGGACATCACTCCATGTCAAGTCCACCCGAATGTGCTGTCACTTACGGTCTTGATGGTGCCAGCCTATTAAGAACAATACGGGGTACACAATATTTTTATTCGCAGGATGATATGTTTATCCAGATTCAAAATTCAAGTCAGCGCCTTAGAATCGCTGTGGGTCTAGTCAATGATCAATAAATAAGCGTATAGAACACAAAATTCAATCAGGGATGTATTTCTGACATACCAATAAGCGTATTGTGTTGTAAAATAGTTGCTAATGCATACGAGGTGTCTGGTCAGCTTAGTCATCACTAGAATGTGCTCACATAAGCTTGACGTCGCCACATGGAGCTCCCTTGGTGAAATTCACTGTCGCAATTGCGTTCGAGAACATCGTCAACAGTTAATTCTTGATGCTTAGTGTCATATAGCAAATGCTTTTATCTCGATGCGGCAAGAATTGCACATACACTCCTGGTGCGTTGGGTCAAGCTCTCCCACCGTGCTCGAGAGTCGAGAACCATTATGCTTCCTTTTCGCCGAAATAGCCTCGACGTAGCTCCGCTGATTAGGATAAATTTTGAAGTGCACAGGATGGCCATAGATTCATCTCGGTAGGTTCTTAGAGAAATTTGCATATATTTTGTGACGCGGCTGCCGGTAATCGCAGCTAGTCCTTGTGACTCAATTTGTCAGTAGGTTGGCAATGCTCGGGCCCTAGTACCAGTGGCATGTTTATTGAGAAAGAGACGATGTGTCAGCAGGAGAGCGTCGATACGCAAAATCACATACATCCATTATCACTTGGATTTGCCCATATTGCATGCGGCTCAGCTCACACCATGTACATTTCAGGCTCAACCTTCTGCACGCGGATTATACACCTCTATGTATGTCACAGTGTTTCCCATAAAGTCTCACTGAAGCCGGTTCTATTTTCTGATCCCTCCGTTTGTCCGTGGCCTGTGGTGAGGTCGGCCGGGCGGATAATTGACTAGTACAGTGTTGGTGAGGACTTTTTTATTTTTATTTTTAACAAACCAGGAGCTCATGAAAACGGGAGTAGCGAGGCATCACCCAAATTTCAATCAAATATTTTTTTGCCAGATCGATTAGCTCCTTTACTCGTCCCCAGTAGAAACCCAGCAATCAACCACATCAGAGCTACATGCATCTAATTTATTGTGAACAACTACACATTTGATGAACTCCTCGATAGATTCGGTATTTGCCACGTGTAGGAGGCAGAAATATGATCGCCCACATAGTCTTATCCAGACATCTTGCAAATGTGGATTACTGTGAGATAGGCTCATATATTTATCCTGCCTCTGGTCATTTGCTCTCACGAGCACTCTGGACATTGTGGCTACGATCCTCTACAGTTACACCCTGGTATCCGGGCCTTCGGTATCAGATGACTTTGGTGAGTGCGAGTGTGGTCTTAATTTGCGCAATTAGCTGAATTGGCACTACTAGCGGTGCTACAATCATGTTTGATTTTTGCTTACTCTCCCGTGGAGGTCCGGGCGCCAGTGCTCCGCTTCAGTTAAGGATAGGGATTCCCGCACTCGCACCCTTTGTATAAAGACGCTCTACATTTTCATTTTTTCACCATCACAATCTTATTTGCAATGCCTGTCCCCGTCGTACCCCACTCCGAAGTCGATGTTCTCATTATTGGGGCTGGCCCTGCTGGCCTCATGTGTGCGAACGCTCTGGCAAATGCGAAAGTGAATGTTCGGGTCATCGATAAAAGGTATGTGAGTTTGGTGGCTAGCATTCCTTCTTACTTGATTTTGCATCAGGGCTGCTCGAGTAGCCGCCGGTCAGGCTGATGGACTTTCACCTCGTACTATTGAAGTTTTCCAGGTGAGATCGCTTCTTTACTCAATGCTGGCTGACTAATGATCCATCACAGAGCTATGGCATTGCAGAGCGCCTTTTGAAGGAATCTGTTCAAGTCCATCAAGCGGTATGTCCTTCAACAGGGGCTGTCCTTCAACAGGGACTTGGCCAATCAAACTTACTGTTTTCTAGGCCTTCTATAACCCTTCCCCGTCTGGCGGTATCGAGGTTCGTAACTTTTTGTGATCAACGAGGAATATTCAATGAATGACGGCCATCAGCTTACCAGCAGAACACAAGATGTAGTAGCTCCGTCTGCAAGATACCCATTCGAGGTATGCTCATTATTTAAAGCGAAAATGTATACCAGCTGAACGAAATGCAGTGTGCACTTCATCAAGGAGCTATTCAAGCTATTTTTATAGATTCCATGAAACCGCTTGGTGTCGAGGTTGAGTGGTCAACGTTACCAACTTCGATAGAGATCTGCAATGACGAACATGTGTTGATGGACCCTGCATCGCATCCTGTTCGCGTTGTTCTACAAAAACTAAACGCCCCTGAGGGTCAACTACAAGAAGAGATTGTCCGTGCTAAATATGTTGTTGGAGCTGATGGTACGTTCCGAGGATATCCATCTGGCCGTCCTAATCATTGTTTCCTATAGGCGCTCACTCATGGGTTCGCAAACAATTTGATATTACGATGGATGGCGAACAATCTGGTAAGCATCTATATCAGTTAGGGTTTACAGCAAGCCTAATCTCGATTGATAGATTTCATCTGGGGTGTCATGGACATGGTGCCTGACACGGATTTCCCGGATGTCAGGAATAAGTGTCTTATGCATTCCAACAATGGCTCAATTCTTCTTGTACCTCGAGAACAAGATCGCCTTCGCGTGTATGTGCAACTAGAGAACAAGGATATCATCGATCCAGCAACAGGTAGAGTAGATAAGGATAGAATGGGTCCGGATGAGATGCTTGAAGTAAGTGATACCCGTTCAACGGATCAACAATCATCAATATCCCCCTTAGGTTGCCCGAAAATCGTTTAGCCCTTACAAAATTTCCCCGACGACTGGGTTTTTGTGGTGGACACTATATATCAGTACGCATCTGACCAATTTGCCATCGAATGTTTGTTTGACACGTCGCTTAAGTCGGGCAACGAGTGGCCTCACAATTTTCCGTCAAAAACCGAGTACTTATCGTCGGCGATGCTTGTCATACACACTCTCCGAAAGCAGGCAAGTGTCTTAAATCCGGCCCTCCCCTATCAGTCTGCTTACAATGGAATTTTCAGGGCAAGGAATGAACGCAGGTGTGAGCGATGCACACAATCTAGGTGTGTTTCCTGTTTCCTGCGGCGTCGGTTGAAGCCAATGGGCTTTTACAGCATGGAAGCTCGCCCTAGTGATTCGTGGTTGGGCAGATCTGTCACTTTTGTCAACGGTACGCTCTCGTATACCCATTTGACTATCTGCTCACGCATCGCCATTAGTACGAATCAGAGCGCCGTAAATTCGCATTGGACCTCATCGTATTTGATAAAATGTATTCCACCCTCTTTTCTGGGAAGCCCTTGTCCCAGGAGAACGCCCATGGGGTTGCGCCCGAGCATTTCTTGAAGTGAGAATATGCTACCAACAGTGTTGCCTTGTTACTAATGCAACGGGGTTATAGGATATTTAAACAGTTCGGTGGCTTCACCAGTGGCATTGGGGTACATTATGAGCCTTCGATTGCAACACTTGACAAAAACCAAGAGTTGGCCAGTGGTGTAGTGATTGGCGAACGTTTCCCTCCATACAAATTCATCCGCGCTGCAGACGCATGGCCCTTTGAAATCCAGGACCTTCTTCCTGCGGACTTCCGCTTCAAATTGCTCGTTTTCACTGGTGACTTCAACGACCCACTTCAACATGCGAGGGTTGAGTCGATGGTTGCTACCATGCAGAAACCCGAGAGCTTCCTAAACCGTTACGCGACGTCTAGCAAGGGCGTTGAAAACTCACGATTTGACATCATCACCATCAGCAAAGGTCGAAAAGAAGGATTCAATTTCTTGCAGTTCCCAACGCTTCTTCGCTCTCACTGGTCGAAGTGAGTATTTGATTTATAATATGTGTGATGATATTGATAGGGGTATTCTCAGGGTATTTATCGATGACATTGATGTCACCGGTAGCTTCGGGGGGAAAGGCTACTCGTATTATGGTGTAGGCCATGAGGGCGCAATAGTTGCTGTTCGCCCCGATGGCTATGTTGGAGCTATCGCGCCCCTGGATCACGTTGAAGACCTTGATGAGTATTTCACATCTTTCATGACGGCTGCCGTTTAGTTTCCACGACCAATTCGTTTTGCACATTGCTTCAAAATAACATATTTTCTATTCTTTATGTATTAAAAAAAGTCCTGTTGTATTATCATAGAGTCATCATCAAATGCATTACAAATATATCTTTGGCTTGGAAATCTCCACATGTCGCCTTCAATGATGCAAATAATGCTGCGGGGTGTTTACACCGTGAGCGAGTGAACTTGTGAGGAGGTGCCAAATTCGAATTGAATCCGCGTGTGCTGTTGGTAAAAGCGCAGCCAGTCGTCTTACATAGCAGTCACGAGGGTAATGCAGCTGAGAACAACTTTTGAATAATCTTTCCTATTTTTGTAACTCCAAAGACGGCCGTCTCTACCACGAGTCCAAAAGGGCGACGGAGGAGAGTAAGAAACTCGGCGGCGCAGGGAATGTCGTGGCCAAATTGTCTTTGCGAGACGTGTCTATCAACCTTATGGGCATATAATCGAATGGCTTTAGTTGCAGACACCATGACGTCTGCGATGTGGCATTCAATTTCAGAGTTGCGTGCCCTTCCGTGTTTACATAATGACCTAAGGCGGGTGTGGCGCGCAGTTGCCTTTTCGAGCGGAGTCGGTGGCGCCAGGCCCGTATATGTACGTCTCGAATTTCTTAGATTTCTAATTGATGCCAAGTTGGATCTAGACGTCTATTGCCACCTATCTTCCTCTTGTTGTCGAACCAGTCGATTTTCATTAATGGGACTGTCAACATGATGACTAGAAGGCGCACAGACACGCGTAGTAACCGGGTGCGTATCCATACATACGCCCTGCACACTCAAGCTAGCAGGGCCCAGGCTACCGTGACATCACAGCCCACAAGCACAAGAGTTACAGTATCTCTCCTCGCGCACGAGCAAGATAAAGGACGACGTATTCTCTTCATAAACCATATAGCCGAGATAGCTTCGGATCCGGAAATGCCGCTGGTGTTCGGTGACGAAGCTGCGAAAGATAAAGGACGTTTCGGAATTTGGAACAAGGTTTGCTTCATTTACAGCCTAGTACCAGTCGAAGCGTACCGTTGCTTCTTAGTGACCCGTTATCGTGCTTCGCAAGCGTAACTGTGAGGAAATTGAGGTATTTGGAGTTGAGATATGAAATTTGACTTCTTTGACTTCGCTGAAGGTGAGGCCATTATTAAAAGCGAGTCTATCTCGAAGTTAGTATCTCTTGCAGCATAGTGTTCGAGTCTGACGTACTTATGGGGTCCAACATTACCAACTTTTGCGCCTCCACGTAACTTGCGAGCGGCTGTAATGTCCAGCATCTCAGCTTTATAGAACCCCATGGGCGTAGAAAAAACTATATGATTCAGTTATTACAATTGACAAGCTGACACGTTTATGCGTATGGTGTCGAAACTCTATTGGCAATATGCTAAAAAGATGTGTATGAAACGAGATGAATCGTCTCAAGAAACGTGATGGTGAACGCCAAGGCACTACGCCTCGCGGTTCAAGGTTTTTCCTATCAGGAAAGAACCGAAGTACTTATCCATGCTCTCTAACTCCGTAGATGGTGCAATCATACCGACATAACCGTCAGGCCGAACAACCACTATCGTGATTTCTTTCTCATCGATACCGAATCTCGGATATGCGCCTCCACCCAAGCGGCCTGTCACATCCGTGTCATCGATCAAGACTCTGCAAGATCATATGTCAGTGTCGTGAGACAGTAGAAAGCACGACGACTCACTTAGACCAGTGTGTCCTCAACGTCGAAGGAATGTCCAGGAAATTCACATCATCCTTGTGACCAGCGGCTATCGAAATGATGTCGAACGTAGACTGTGCCTTGCCCTGGGCAGGGGAGCCGTACTTTTGTAGGAAACTTGTGGGGAGTTCCAACTCCTCAGCAAGCCTTCGAACCTTCGTGAGCTGTTCCGATGTCAAAAGGCCAACGAAGAAGAGAAGCTTGAAGCGGGTATCTGCGGGAAGCATGTCTTGGAGCTCCATAGGACGAGCATCCGCTGCACGAACGAATATTTGGGGCAGCATCCGCTCGCCGATGATGATGTTGGGCGCGCAGCCTTGATGGATAGCATCGACAATCGCTGAAGGCATGTAATGCACACCGATTCCACTGCTGAAGCCACCAAAAGCCTGGAAGGCACTGAGAAGCGTAATTCAGATAAAGTTATAGAACGCTATTGAGAGAACTCGACCTCAAGAATTCTTCATGGGTAACACCCTCCTGGTTTTCCAACGTCCTCGGTTTGCCGGAAAACAGAGCGGAGAACTCACGATCGAAATCAATGAGATCTTGGGCATATTTCTGGCGCTCAAGCTCGTACTGAGGGGTGATAAGTCCTTGACATGAACGAGTGATACGCGAACATACAGTTTTCAAAAGGGAAATATCCGCCCTGCCCCGCAGGACTTGTGCCAGCTTCCACGCTATTTGCAAAGACTCTGAGAAATGCACTTCATCTGGAATAGGAAACCCGTACCAAGGTTATGGGTGTCGTTCATGCTCGCGTTCATACCCTGTCCTGTAATGCAATGAGACACGTTTATCTTCTTGGACCATCACATGGCTCACCTGCTTTCGGAGAGTGCGTGTGGCACGCGTCACCAGCGATGAAGACACGGTCATGTTTAGAGAACTTGGAGGCTACACGTTGACCAACTGGAGTGCCAACTGTTCAACTCGCGATCCCAATGATAGCAATGTAATGCCCTTACTGATGTAAATTGAACACCAGTCCACTTCTTTTGGTTCGTTAACTACATACGGGTAGAATGTTCTGCGAGCAGTCTGTTGGAAAAGGTATTAGCAGTCCTTTGAGGCGATCGAGTTGTTGCATACGTTGATGAGGTTCTCAGCGGTCACTTTCTGCTTGTCGATTCTTCCTGTTGCAGGATCCATGACGTCTTTATCCGCCATCTGCAGGTAGAACCGGACTTTGTCTCCTTCGCGGGGTATGATCATACATGAGCCGTTCTCGGAGTGGATTGCAGCACGATTGCGAATGTCTGGGAAGTCGGTATCCGGAATGAAGTCGATCACGCCCCAAATGTAATCTGAAATGGGCTCCACATATTAGAATATCTCATGTTGAGGAGTGAGTGCCCAAGTTGACCTGTTTGTTCCCCATCCATCGTAAAGCCCAAGGTTTTGCGAACCCACGAGTGTGCACCTGAGTAATAGGCACCATCAGTTCCACAAGAGCGTCCGACATGTTGCATGTCTCACCATCTGCACCGACGACGAACTTTGCATGAACGATCTCCTGTTCTGGTGCATCGTCTGAAGAATGTATGTGGTCCAAGACCACCTGTGCCAATGTGTCAAAAGTAGCGTCTTGTTGGGATTAGAATCTTGAGCACCTTCACAGGGTATGATGATGGGTCCAGAAGTTCTGCGGGATCTTGTGAAATTTCTAGTGAAGAAGGGACGATCGGACGGTCAACTGATATTCCTTGGGACTTCAGGGATTCGACGAAAAGTGCTTCGATTGATGCTTGTGCGATCGTGATCTGCCCGACAGTAAGAATCAGATATGAATAAGCCGAATAATAAAACATACCTTGAAGGGATAACGGGCGGTTGGAGCTGTCACATCTGCAGCGCGGCCAGTACGCTGCAAGTATTGTTTGAACAAATAGTGACACAGCAATTAACAAACATACTTCGATGCCGCCATCAGGGCCGGGGTTGTAAAAGGCCTACACAAACATCATTACTGCTTAGAATTTGAATCAACTGAAAGTCTGAGACTTACACAAAGATGCATCTGAGCACCGTCCTTCAACAAAGGCTCTGCCAAACCATAACTCTGGAGGAATTGAATATCACTCCTCTTCTATTGCAAATGTTGGGACATACTTGAAGAACTTCGATCGTCCTGGGCTGTATGCCATCAGCTTGGCCAGCGGCCACACCCACCGGTCTGGGTTGAGGTGAGTCATCCATCTGCGCCCAAAACTCTAAACAACGGACCTGTTGTCTATGATTCTAAAGTCGACTCCAGCGCCAGCTAATGCATTGGCACACATGAGGCCAGATGGACCTGCACCGATGATGAGTACATCAACATGACTTTCCTTGAACATGACGATAGGGATATGTGTAGGGATGATAGAGTGACTGTGTTTTTGGATGAGGGTTTATATATACGATTTAATACGCGTGCTGTGTTAACGTTTGAAAGACCCGCCCGAACAGAAATCCCATGATATTCGGTTCACCTTCGAAAGCTGTGTCACTGGCAGCTGTGAGATCTGGGTACTTGTACGGTATCCGATACTTATAAATGGTACGATAACAATTATGTAGACCCGAGCAATATTATATGGCCTGACCCTTTGCTTCATTAATTAAAGTATATGTATTACTCCTATTTTGTACTTGCCAACTCCTACATCGGCATCCGACACCCAAGTGTCCCTGGATGTCCGCCCGATGCACGATTTTTGCTTGTAATCGCAGGGATGCAGTGATACATTATCGCAGTAGTACTTTGGTGCATCACTCAATGCCATCAAGTGCTTTGATGCCGCATCACATACCGACTGTGGGAATTTTATCAAAACATAGCCATTTTCGGTCTCCTGCTTCCTACTATACCATATCCACCTAGAGAAGGCAATGTACATATTTAAAACGCTTTTTTGTCCCGATACAAACTCCAGACCTGGGAGGATCCAGGAGATGGAGAAGGAGATGACCGGAAATGCATCACTGCATCCCCACAATTGTTACATCATCATATCAATATAGGTGCTTGTGAATCTTCTATAGATATTATAAGACAGTCTGAACTCAACGGAACATCATCGATGTGATCCCTAAAGTAAGCTGAAGGACACCCCCTCGCACCTCAATTCCGAAATTCACCCACTCAATATTAATGCATCTCTCTGCTGTGACAATTCTCCCAATTATAGGGCATGCAGGCGAGGTAGAGCGCACCGTGACATCACAACACAGTCTACATGACTCTCAATTTGAAACGCAGCACCGGGGAACTGGGGAGTCCCTGCCGTCGACATGCTCATATGCGCACGTGTGAAGAGGTTGGCATTACTGTTGAGGCTGCACGAAATCTTGAAGCATTTTTCGCGTGGACGCCTCCGAGCTTCTTGCTGGTCTAGAGAATATCTCGTCTGACGACGTTACTGCTGGATTTGCGGCTCTCAAAGAGTGGACTGAAGAAGTTCAAAGCAGTAACGAAGTTGAAGTGCTCGAGGTAAATGCTTCAGGTTGAACAAGGGATAATACCATAGGCTATTCTAGAGGACCACAGTTTTCCGATTCCGCCGGTTGTAACCGGAGTAGATCTACCCCTGCCAGAACTTGAACTTTTCTTCCGTGGTCATCGACATCAATTGAATACTTGAAGTTGAATCACTGTGCCAACCACGCGATGGCTCGGAATCTAAGTATGTATTTGCAAAATGCCACATGTAGCGGACTCGGTTCAAGCGCGATGTCCATGTCAACGCTTGTCAACGCGATGTGAAAATGCTGCAATGTCACTGCGTGGTGACAAGACTATTCGTGAGTACTGCAATTTCACGTGCACTCGATTAAACGTGTCGCTCCATTCTGCTTGCTTGGCCTTCGTTGATGGGCTTATCGTGGGTGCTGGACCAGTAGAGCTGATGTTCACTAATCATGCACTCGCGACTGGTCACTGCTGGGATTCTTGTTAAAATTGTGTGTCTTCTTTACTGCGGTACTTATGCCAACTTTATTTCAGACCGCCGAAAGTATCAACAGGACAACGGCCGCACGCGGGCCCGGTATTCAATGATTGAAGTTCCTCAGGTCGATTCCACCATGGTTCTGTACCACATTGCTGCGACACACTAGGCTGGGATTCTTGTTAAAATTGTGCCTTCTTTACTACGGTACTTGTGCCAACTTTATCTCAGACCGCCGAAAGTATCAACAGGACAACGGCCGCACGCGGGCCCGGTCACGGTATTCAACGATTGAAGTTCCTCAGGTCGATTCCACCATGGCTCTGTACCACATTGTTACGACACACCAGCCTACTACTACCACAACGTCTGCTCAAGGCTGTCAAATGCACATGTGTGTAAGCCAAACCACTAGAGCGCGCAGTACTTGTCGTCGCAGCCGGCTGCCCGTTGTTAATGTCGATCTAAATCAAGGAGTTCTATAGCCCCGATCACGATGGTACATTCGCAGTACGAGTTTTACGTTAAATTCTCATACTAACCTCATGCTGGATGCACTCCTGACACAACTACCCCAACAGCTCGATATCCCTTTGAGATCCTGTTTAATCAAGAAGTTGCCAAGTCAATCTTTGTCGAATTCATGGACACGGTCTAGATCTCATAGTCGGCCGTCCCATGATGCCTGCTTCTATCGAGCTGTCCAATCATTCGAGGCAACTTTGAACTTGCAGGTCCGTTCATCCGTGATAAGAAACCTTGAACAAGGCAGGAAAATGATGATGTTTTCTTATTTAGATACCCCCAATCAGATGGTGCATGCTTGTTTTGTTGCCGTAGGTTTGATCTTTCCTACGTGAAATTAATGAATGATACAAGGTAGGCTTCTGTATATTTTTGTCAAGGCTGCAGATCTCGTTTATATGACATATCTGACACACGTTGGTCTGCTGATGCGCCAAGAGCACCTCACGCTCTTGTCGACCACCAGCCAGTCAGCCAATGAAAATTGTTTATCGTTTATCCACTTCTTCTTGGACGCCATTCGGCAAAGTTCTGAACAACAACGCGAACCTCAAAGGACATCTCGGGCCGTCTACATGAGGCTGATAGCAATATTCCGCAGGAGATAGCATTTTGTGACCGTCTGGCCGCCTGATGATTTAATTCATGGCCGCCCCTCGGGGAGAAGCACTTCATCATCAAACGCTGTAAGGCATTCATCTGACTCTGGTAATGGGCTTCTTTGATACTTCCTCTTATGAAACATTATTGCATACGTAGGCACAGATGTTAATGTTTACAATAAAACCGTAGGGTATCATAATAATACGGCAGGAGAAAATCACGGACGTGTGTGGGGACAACTACAAAAGACTATTAGTCATAACGTCTCTCATCCTCGCCACCCAGGCAAAGGAGCAGCTTCGGCACTTCCAATTAATACCCTCCTCGCACCACCCTTTCCAGAAGGTAGCTTCGGTGGAGGCTTGTTTGCAGCTACGCCGCTAGCCTTCAGCTTTGGTTGAGGAGCAGGAGGCAACGAAGGAGATGGTTTTCGGAAGACCTTGTCGCAGTTTTCTTTCTCTGGTTTCAGCTTTCCAGGAACAAGCTCCGCTTTGGTCTTTCCCTTCTCTTTTGTCGAAAAGCGCTTCGATTCGGGGGGTAGCACTTTTTTGAAGGGAACCAGAGGAACAACATTTGGCTCGGTCTTCTTATCCCTCAGGGGACTATCATCTGACTCTGATTCGCTTTGGAACGTCTTCTTTGTAGCAACTGGTGGGGGAACAACAGACGTCGGAGAGTCTTCGCCCTCTTCTGATACCCCGTCCAGGCTGTCAGGAGAGTTCGCAAGCATGAGAATGCGAGAGAGTGGACTTGGTTTTACAGGCGAGTAAGCATGTGACATGTGTGGCGCAAGTGGCTTCGCAAGTGGGAATGGACGGAGTGTATTCGCAACAGGAGCAGGAGGTGTTTTAGGTGATGGAAGGATAATTTTCGGTATTGCGGCTCGTGCCTGAGTAGGAGGCGACGTGTCATCTAACGGAGAAGTATCAGTGCTCGAAGCGGAGGCTGACTCGGTGTCGGTGGAAATTCCTCCTAACGTTGCCTGATGTGTATTTATCACTGGAGGAAGGAATGCCTCCACAGGGGGTAAGGACGTCCGGGGTGAACGCGGAGGGAGCACAAACGCGGAGGGTAAAATAGAAGCCCCCAAGGTTGACTTTTTGCCTAGCGCCTCAATGGCAGCCGGTGGGATAGCGATAGGAATCACCTCCGTCTCGTATGCAGGCTCTACTTTACTTGGTGGTGTGATCGAGGACGAGGAGCGCCGAGACACTCGGGTCTTTCTGCTTGCCACCTTGCCGACGACCTTGGGCTTCATAGGCGACTTTCGGGGCGACTTGATCTTATGAAGCTGAGGTGGTCGAGGTGCAGGTTGGGAGGTTGTGGGAGGTGTTGGTGGGAGATCGGAGAGCATCTGCTCGACATGCCATGAACGTTTCTCTTCAAGAAACTGGATACGCTCAGTCTGAGTATGATCATCAGTAATGTGCTAGACCCAAGTATTGGATTTTTACCTCGAGAGCAGCTTTCTCCTTGCCGAGTTTGACAGCAACATCGGTAAACTTTTTCCGCTCCTCATCAAGTTCGATCTTCATTCGCTCAAGGCGCTCAGCGGCAAGATCTCGCTCTGGCTGTGTCATGAGCTCGGCGCTTTCGTCCCTTGGATGGCGTTCTGTAGATGATGTTTGGGATGCAATTTGCATCAAGAGTGCCTGAGTCTCTACAACATGCCTGTCATGGAGTTTCTTAGCTCCATCTGTTCCGAACACTTGTTAGGTATGTGCAAGGAAACCCGATGGCGTCCAGACACGCACCAAGTTCTGAGCGCAACTCGTCGACGATTCCTTGTAATCGTTTATTCTCCAGAGCATCCGAAGCCTTGGCGCAGTCTGGTGCTGGTAGTGCAGCAGCTCGCTGTGACAAGAGTTCTGAAATATCATCGAAGATGCTGTGCGCCGAGGAAAAAAGAGTAGAAAGCTTGTCATTGGCAGCGTTGGGATGTGCTAGAGGAAATAATATGCTGTGTGATATTATTGTGGGCTACGGACAGGTTAGCAGGTTGGTTTGTGCTCGAAGCTGTAGTCATACCTCTTCATCACAAGGTGAAACTAAGCATTGCAGTTCGTGCAGTACCGACTGCAGTCGGTTTGCGACATTTACAACAAGTCGCTGTAACGCCAATGTTTCATCAGCTAGTGTAGCGCGAGCAGATTCAGCTTGCTCAAGAGCAATCTCAAGGTATCCCTTCCCCTTGCCAAGGGTTTCGGACCCGCTCACCACGTCGGCATTACCGCATCGAAAAGTCAATCCTGAAGACGAAGTTGACAACTTGGTCTGCATGTCAGAAAGCTTTGACCATTTCTCGATAATGCGCTCGACATCTTTCTCTTTCTTTTTGATTTCCGCCGAGTGAGTCGCCCGAAGAGCTATCAACGAGGAGCGTGTGCGCTGAAGTTCGGCTGAAGTTTGCTTGTGGGCTGATTCCGAAGCTGCCAAAGTTTTGGAGGCCGTTCTGCCACAAAATTTAGATTTAAATTTTCGATAAAGATAACCAATCGCTCACGCCATTCGTGACTTGTAAACGTTCATTTCGCGCTCTGCATTAGCTGCCTTCTCAGTGGCTGAGCGATGCATCCCCATAAGCCGCTCGTGGTCATAAGAAAGGGTGCGCAAACTGGTCGATAGATCTTCAGCGCGAGACATGTCATTCTAATATTTCAAAGGAAAGTCTTGAATGAGACTGGTATCACTCGCGCTATCACATAACCGCGTTAACGCACCACTCTTTGGCCTAACATAGCAAGCAAACACCTTGCAAGCTGATCGGCGTCAGAATTCGAGAGTCCTTCGAAGGAGATCCCAGGTGAATGAGTGAATCCATGTGCCACAAGCTGAGAGTTGATGTATTCCAGACTGGATGTTGACGCGACGGAATCGGAGGACGTTGCTTCCGAGCATGGTGATCCAAGGTCAGAAATAGAGACATCAAGACCCCAATGCACCAGCTTTCGTGGTGTGACGGCCATCATCGGTCGTGGTGCTGAGTTGTTGGTTGTGGTTGTCGTCGGCGTCGTCGATGTTGAACTATTTCTGACGCGACTCGGTCACGTGTAATCAATGTTAACGCGTGACAGCGTAAAATCTGTGACAATATCACAAACCGAATCATGATGATTCAAGACATGTCGGAAATCTCGGAAATTGATTTCAACCGATTAGGATGCTTTGTAATAGTCCCAATATCACACGTGATTGGCAAGCCATTGCAATAGAAGCCACGGTTTGGAATACATATTATAATGACGCCATAAACGTTACATTTACACCTCTAATGCTCATTACATTTTCCAATTCCACTATGTTTTCAATTTTTTTGGGTGTCATTGCAATTAATTTTCAATATAATGGTGATCTTTGGCTTGCGCATTACGATTAGTGATGTTCCGGCCCGGCTTTGGCTTGGCCTGAGGGGGCTCGGGCTCACCATATTTCAAGCCAAGGCCATGAGCCAAAGCCGGCCAAAAGCCACGGCTTGAGCCAAACGAAGCCGCGGCTCTTTTGCTATCAGTGCGACATTATATATTGTAGTGCAATAGAACTACGGAACAAGCAACATGGAGCAGACCTAGTCTGTCTCAAAGTCAGACACCTCATCATCAGCTTCATCATCAGCATCGTCTTCCGCATCATCAAGCATGATATCCCAACTATCCTTGTCATCACCATCATCACCTGCAGTCTTCGAGTCAACCGAAGAAGTTGTCAATGTCGGCAGTTTTGCCTTTCTGAGATGACCCTGGGTCTGCGATAGAGACGTCGACATCAACAAGAACCCCATCTTCATCAACTAACTCTGGGGACTTCTCTGGGGACTTGCGCTTCCTTCTAGCACACTTAGGGTTGACACGAGCGTTCTCGCGCTCCATATCACCAGATTCATCGTCATCGAGGGCATCATCGAGGGCATCATCGGGACACACATGTTTGTTGGATGGGGGAGGCGCTAATTGTGTGGCTGGTACAGGCACTGTGAGTGCAGCAGGCTGAGAAACCTCTGAAGCACGCTTGGCAGCCTCAGCTGCACAAAAATCGTTGATAGCTTTTGTTTGGGAGGGAAGAGCCGCTTTCTCCGAGTGTTGAAGAAGGGCAGCAGTGGGTTTGATTTTGCATACGGGACGCACAACACGTGGCTCATCTTCACCATCGGTGAGAACTGTGCCCATCATGCCAGTCATTGCAGGCAGCTACACAGATAAAATACACACACATACCATTTATAAACAACTGAAGCTTGTTCAAGAATCCATCAAGCTCACAAAGCTGCAGCACAAAGTAGGACTTGAGAGGTGCATAGATTGCTGAAAACAGTGCAATATGATACGGCGGGTGATGTCTGTTTTTCCGTCACCGGGGTGAGTATTAGCGGAAGCTTTGAAAGAAGACAACAATGGCAACTCACCGTGTCATTCTGACATACCCTACAGTATGATGGACTAGGAAGCAAGAACCAAAGAGAAGCAAGAAAATGACAAAAATAGAGTTGACAATCAGGTTCCTGCGCAGTACTTACATAATTCTAAGCTGCGGCTTGGGCCGGCGGCTCAGGCTTCGCAGAATTGAAGCCTAGGCCAAAGCCCTTGTCAGGCCGTCACCTGGGCCTGGGCTTGGCCTGGCTCAATTTGGCCCGGCTTTGGCTGGCCCGGGGCTTGAAGCCAGGCCGGAACATCACTAATTACGATGGGTTTGCATTGCACATGTCAATTATTCCCATAGTATTCTGCCAATTACAACATAAATTTTATTGCGCTGTAGAGACTCATGCCTCTCCTTGTGCAATATTGCAGTTTTCACCAAGGAGTATGCTGCATGAACTTGTAGTATCACTCTGTATGCTATCCACAGCTATTCCTATACGAGGCGCAGCTTTCCCACGCAACGCGCAACTCGTGCGCGTGCCTTTCCCGCGCTTCACAATGTATATGCGCGCGCACTTTCCCGCGCTTGAGCGCCCTATAGCGCCAGCCATCCAGAAGCATCCATCCACTGTCCACCAAGTTCCCTAGTGCGTATATTTCCATTTCTCACATTTGCTTATCGTTCCATCTTTATTTTTATCATGGACCCTTACTTACATATACCTTTACATACCTTACTCGGTAGCGCTTCGGCTCCGCATGACAGCGCTTAGGCGCCATACTTAAGCACCAGCAGTACATACTATTAGGAACTTACTCACCCACCACAAACAACGGAAGACTGAACCACAACAATACCCATTTACTACCCAGCAGAGCATAGTTGAAATCTATTCCTTGGCACCTCGCATATAACATCTCTCAGCTTGCATCTCTCACCTCTTGTCTGGTGTCTTATCATCACTTAAGCAAACTCACTCTTACTCTCTCTTGTTTCTGCATACACGCGCATGCATTCCCGCGCTTCGCGCATTCTCGCACCTCGCGCACACCTGCGCTTTCCCGCGCTTCGCATTCGCCAACCAGTAGCGCCTTTGGCGCCTACTACTAGATCCTTGCTGCACTTGCTTCCCCTTTAGGGTCAAATGCACTTGTCGTCTCAAGTATAGCAGACTAGGCAACACGCGACCTTACAACATTTATAGATACAGTCAGGAGCATTGTTTGTGCCTCGCTGTATCGTTGAACCTTCAACGTTGAAGGTACAACAATTCAGATGGTGAGTCTGAACAATGTTGGGTCTTGCAGAACCTAGCTGCTATTCGACCCTAAAGGGTTTCTGGACCAGGCTCAAGGCTCAGAGGAGAGGAAATGTCATAAAAACTGCTCAAGACTCAGACAGACTCATACTGGTAACTGGTGAAAAGATAACTTCATTATGTAAGCTACAAAAGTGCAAACATAACACTAAGGTAAAAACAGTCTCTGCAAGCCCAGCCAGAAATGAATCCCTACAGCACATTATAATGGATATATAGTTGTACATTATGATCAATTTCGAAACATCTAACAGTTGCACGAATTCATTATACTGGCACTCGCAAGTCCTGCGGAGACCCTTGCGCGTACGAATGCCCCTGACAAACTTTTCGATCTTGCTTCAAGAGGAGCTGATGGATTTCATTAGTATTAACAGTCTTCATACGTCACACAATTACGCACATCCATTCATGATCTCCTAGTGGTCAAACACAATGTCACTCTGGGGGAAGGCTTGACCAGCTGTCTGTGAGCGGAGATCACTGTTGAAGCCAAAGGACTCCATGACGGGGAGGTACGCCTTGATGGTGAACATGGGCATTCTTGCTCGACTATGAATGGTATCAGCACCCTGTAAAATTATGAGGCAAGCGTACCGAGATACACTGGCTCCTGGAGACCAGGGGTAGCAAGCAAACATGCAGCGTAGCAGACACGATGGCACGTAGGAATGATTTGTCCACCGCCATGATGGATAGCATCAGCGTGCAGCTGTCAACTTTGCATAAGAAGATGTAATACAAGTAGGCATGAAGTGAACTTAAAGTGACATCAAGGACATTGAAATGGATACCACACATGTTCTCCTCAGCACAGACACCTTCCTTGGTTGCCCACTGGAAGGCAGAGTCCTTGATTTCATTAAGGTACTGCACACCATTGGTAACATCAATGAGCAAGTTGGGGCCAGTGGTATCGGGACCGAAACACCAGATCTTCCTTGCATCGATGACATCGTCACGGGAGTTGACGGTACCAGCCTCGATTTCCTTGGTGAGTTCCTCATTGAGAGGCATTGCTTTGGTGTAGAGATGGCTGTGTTTATTCTGCGACTTGGACAAGGTCATGATTGTGGACTCAGCCTTGACAGTCGCATGGTAGCCGTCGATGACAGGGTCAGATACCTTGAGAAGAACACCAGCGTGGTCTTCTTGGAGATCCTACAATAAGGGTCAGACTAATGAGATGGACCAGCAAGTAGATAAATTTTTATAGCTGTTTACCTTCAAGCAAATTTCCAATTAAAGTGCAGCTCACCAGCACCAGTGACAATGTGCTCACCAGTATAAGCAATCCAAGCCTAGACACAGAGGTCAGACTCCAACAGATGCTCGAGACCTTCGACAAGCTTGGGCAAATCTGCAGCGTCATTGTAGACATTATAGTTTAAGGGAGATGTGGACTAAGTTCAAAAGAGAAACCAAAACACCAGTGATGCGTGTTGCAATGCTGACATAATCACTGCACAGAGATTGTGAAGTTCATGGTGAACTTGGTATACTTATTTGATTCATTGTATTGGTACTAGCTATCATCAAAATTTTAAGAGCAGACACTTGACATCAGGACCGCTGAATCTAAGTGACTACTTGAAGAGAGATAAATTGTGAGTAACTGTAGCTGTATCAATAATCAGGAGAAAAGTTGGGATATGTATTAGTATTAACATTTCTTCGAACGGCCACATCGTTTTGGGGCCTCAGCGCCTCCGTCCTGTAACACCTTTGACTTCTTGGACCGACCAGCCTTAGACTTCGTCTTGACAACCTCTTCGACTACTGTGACCTCTCCAACAATCTCATCTGGTCCAGGTCCATGCTGAACTTGAAGACTGGTGATCAGCGAAGAGTTGGTTGCTACACTGGCAGTGAGGGTTGATGTCATAGTGGTAGTTGACAAAGGAGTAGGAGCCTCATTGGAATCACGTAGCGCTATATTGCCTGTAGCTTTAGCGAGGACGTCAATACTAGCATTTTCATTGTCAGACAGAGACAGATCATCTTCTGTGTCTGCTGCTAATCCAAGTCGAGCGAGACACATTTCTTCTTGAAGATCATCAGCAGAATCCCTACTGTTAAGATCATGAGAGGGGCAAGAAGTGCGCTCGAAAATGAAGGTATTGATATGCTTGATGATTGTCTTCAGGCAAGGCTTCTCCCAGTCGCAGATCAGCAGTTCTTTAAAGAACATAAAGATCATGCCATAGTTGATTCTGGAGGTCTTCCCTTTGCCTTCTTGGGAAAATTCCTGGTCGGGTGATAATAGAAATATGTTCTATTAGAAGTGTACAGAGATTGAATCAGCCAAGATGAGCACAATGAATAAAGGCCTAGACTTACTGCGACAATAGCCCAAGCCACAGCCCCAGGTGTTACTGCCATGACGCCCCACTTAACTGCGTTGGGTGGAGCACCGCCCTGTCGTCTACTCTCATTGGAGAGTGATGTCCTGCCCTTAAGGCAGCAGCTCAGTGTCTATCGATACAGTGTAGATTAGATGTCAAATGTGAATGAAGTGAATGACGACGCACCTTAGCAATAAGTTGCCAGTTACCAAACAGTGTTTTACAACTGCAGTTGACAATATTCCCTGGAAACAACATAGGTGGCAGAGTCGGATATGACTCGCCGGCTTTGCCAGTGGTGCCAAGTAGCTGGCTGTCACAACCCCTTAAACAAATTAACGCAGGGCAGAGACTAGGACTCAAACACAGAAAGATCACAACAAAGGATAAGGCAGCAGGTATGTCTTGGATTGCTCACTTGGAGATACAAGAGGTTTGAACTAAAGAACTACTGGCTACAAGACACTACCTATATACATATATTGAAGCGGAGATCGAAACTGAGTATGAACTAACCAGCCAATGAGAATAATTAAAGGTATCGTATGATTCTATAATTATGATGTCATAACATGTGCTGCAGCTGCAGTAAGACTCTGGAACATTCCAAGAGTGTCGCATGGCATGATGTCATCTTCTGATGAGTCACGTGATTCTGATATAGGGGAGTTTGGTAATTCTACAATAGATGCCGTAGGCGCTTCCTCGACTATAAATACATTCTTAGGTTTATCTTTAGGTACAGGCGCTATACTTGTGTGCTTAAAGGACTTCAAATTCAGAAAAGTATAATGATTCGTATTTGGAACTCGTGACACTGGCGAATCTCAGTTTCTGTGTCGCGAGCATATGAGATGGCGAAGTAACACTGAGGAAGCTCGAAAATCTGACCAGTGGCACTCCTGAGCTTGTTAAGCTCGGAGGCACGACCAGCACAGACTGCCTTGGAGAACTGTAGATAGTGTCAATGGTACTAAGTAAGACATTGCATGATAATGAAAAATAAATGTATTACCACGTTCGAAAACTGATTCATCGGCACCAGGTGATACAGGTGCTGGGGGAGCATGTCGTACAATTCTGCCAGAACTGCAATCTCCTGCGAACCTGTAGTAGCATACCGAGCAGCTGTATTGAATGACAGTGCAGGGTCGGGAAGTGTTGTTTTGAGCAGGGCTGCTGGCGGAGGGAACATATTGACCATGAGACTGTATCGTTTTGCACAGACCTTGAGTTCTGCTTCGAAGGCCAGAATGTCTTCAGCAACCGCATCGTCCTTCTTGCGGCGACCCTTATTGGCCGATAGTATCTTATTCTGTTCCTCCACGATGCGGAGTCTTTCCTTCAGTGCCTGGTTTTCAAGCTGTGCATTCTTGACCCCCTGTAGACATCGATAATGCTTTGGTGAGTGATACGAAAGGGAATCATGTACTTTCATACTTACTTCTGCTTCGTGTCTAGAATGGTGCAGTCTTCGTTCACTGGCAGCCGCACTGGTAGCCTGACGTTGAACAATATCAGAGGCTGACCCTCAAACAACACTATGCGTAGGTCCGGGCCTCTCATCAGATGATGAAGATTCATCAGCATAACGAGATTGAGACATGATAACAAGTCTAAGGGGAGACGAAATCAGCGACACTTGAACGTCGAAGTGGTGCTTGTACCAACAGCACAACACCAGCTACAATTTATATGCAGTTTGGATGACAGTGGGAACATGTCGGACCAGTGCATATGGGGCATGGTATTGGGGTGTGGAGGACAGGTTGTGCGATTAATGATGTATTCGGAACCTTGATAAGCCTCTGGATGACATCAAATGAGTGGCTGTAGACTCGGATCGTGAGAATGGACTCATACTTACGGTTGGTTTGAAACGAGGATGCTGCAATATTACTCTCATCCGCCAAAAGCAGTATTGTCGGCGCGAGTGCGGTTGATGTCAAGAGACATTAAGTGTGTTGGGGCAGACCCGTCCGCTCAGGGTTTGTTAGACATGTTAGCGTTGAACTAAACCAAAGATAAACAGAAATTGATCAGTAGTTCCGACTCGAACATCCTGACTCTTACGGTTTGAGAGTCCCTGCCAGACAATGGAAGCTTGCAGGAAGAGTACATAATAAGGGCCCCATTGAGGATACAGCGTGGCGTGAATGATGTTGGATCTGTCGCATTGTTGGGTCGCCACAGAGATAATACCAAGCTTACAAGTATCCATGCCACAATTCTAAGTCTCCACCCAAGGTCTGTATGCTGGTGTCCTTGGTAAAGAATGCGCGTGTATTGTTTGGATATCTCCTGCAAAGAAAATGAGCACTACTGATAAAAGCGCAACGCACAAATTGCATGCCTGGATGATTAATTGGAGGACATTGATGACAGTCAGAACCTGAGTAGTCTGCTTGGTCTGTTTTCCGTCGATGAATGCTTGCAAACCGCTGTAATTTGACAGTAGTAAGTGGAAAACTGGGGGGGAAACATGCTTGATAAAAGTACATACCTGGAGGACTCCGCGGGTTGGGACAGACCCATCCGTTAGGGGTTTGTCTGACATTGATGGCCGTCAGAACTTGAGTAGTCTGCTTGGTCTGTTTGCCGTCAATGAATGCTTGCAAACCACTGTAATTCGACAATAGTAAGTGGAAAACTGGGGGGGGGGAAACTCGCTTGATAAAAGTACATACCTGGAGGACTCCGCGGGTTGGGACAGACCCATGTCATTATCAGAGTAAATAGAGCTTGAACTCGTGCTTAATGCCAAAGGCAAAGAGTTTGGTGAGGGTGTGTACACGCAAGAAGTTCAATGGAAACGGGCCTCGAACATGCCCGACACTTGATAATATGCCCTCCTGGAGAGATAGCTTTGCACGTGGTGATGGGACAGGATGCAAAGGCATAGAGAAGTCGCCACTACCGGATTGTGCCGATTTGCATTTGGTGCCCACGCACCATGATGTGCAGGCTGCAAATTGAGCTGCTTTGCAGCTAGTATGGTACAATGGGAGTCCTTGACTGGCGTAAGCAGTGGTTGAGTGAATGTGTGATGAAAGAAAGGGGAAGGTACAGTGGATGGAGAGGATCCAGAGAGGAAAATGGTCGCCTAACACGATTGGTTTGATTGGTTTCTGAGGATGTGAGATGGAGTATAGACAGTGCACTATGGGTGGTGATCTGAATGGAGATTGTAAGAAGATATCGCTGTCGTTGTGATCCTGCTCCTGAGCCATTCATCTACTTCATGTGTGGCATCTGCTGGGAACAATGATCGCTATCTAAGAGGAGACGGTGTCAACAATGAACATTGGTGACAGATGCTCAGATGACACCCTGACCTTTGGGGGAGTTTGATAATGGGCTGCGCAACAGCCTGAAGATATTGGTGAGACACTCTGGTCGCATGCTCTAGTTCTGGATTTTTGTACAGAACCTATGTACTGTGGGACAGACGTCGAGACGAGTGCCGTCATCGTTGCCGGTGTACTGTTTTTGTTGTCTTCATTGTTGCTGTCGTGATCATCACTGTGGTCAATGTTAGGGAGGAACAAAGGTTGCAATAGCTGAATCTGACGGCTGAAGAATGAGCGTCCCAGGCCATTATTAGACATTGACATGCTCCACAGACTCAGAGGGTCCAGAGAGGGAGGAAAAGAAAACGGACATTGCATGATGCGGCTAGTAATAAGTATGAGTACATGTCCCTATACTATGATGAACAACATAACAAAGGAATGTTAGTTGGCATGAAGCCGCAATGATGGTTACTAGTCTAAGTGCCTGGCTGCGAGGTGCATTTGCTTCATGCGCAGAAATATATCACTGTCTACAGTGTCCATAACGAGAAAATCACCAGGTATAGTGGGATCGGGAGCAAGAGCGACTCCTCGGATGATTGATTCTGCTAGTATGAACTCACTAGCAGTTTCTCTCGGTTGCGATCTAACACGCCAAAATTTCAGGTGTTTGTCCTTCTGGAGACGCCTCCCAATTGGTGCGTTGTCTTACTAGGATGTGATTGGCAATAAAATCACCAGTTCTCACTATCCTCCATGGTCAACAGTTCAGACAAATACCAACAGTTGATAACGTGGTCGTTCGTGGGAGGAGGCGTAAATAGCTGGGTCAATCTAAACAACTTCTAATGACTTTAGGTGGGTTGAGACAGTGACCGTTAACTGGCTTGATGTAGTGCTTAGGTACTTGAAGGTCGATAGTCCATTAACTGGCTTGATGCAGTACTTAGGACGGTGAAGATAAGGATCGTAAATGGTGTAGCCAAATCGATAACTGGCTTGATGCAGTACTATGATGCTACTAAAAGAGGATTGCAAAGGTGTGCAATATGAAGATGAAGATATGAATCACACAGTACACAATGAATCAGAGTAATATCTTGTAAACACTCCCTATTCTCAAAAATTAGAGGAGATCAAACTAAGCCTCTAACACAATCGAATCAACCAAAATATGTGGCTTCGAAACTAACTTCTCTGCTGCTCAGGCACTCACGATGAGTATGACGCAGAATCAGAACAGAGTACACCCTCTTGATGTAGTCTTAAAGCAGCCAAGCTCTTAATATTGTTGAATAAAGTGCTAGTCTTGTTTGTCGTCCTCCTAATCGTTAAAAATACGTAAATTCTCCCAACAGAAAAGGTATCCTGTGTTTGTAAAGAGAATGTGACGAAACTACAACTAGATGACTGATAACCGTGTACCAGCTAGTGTAATTCAAGGATTGGCTCAAGGTAGGCCTCAGAAGATCAGTATGTTGTGGGAAATGATGACAAAAGAATGGAGGGAATAAACTAATATTCACTCAGATGTTCACACAAATGTAGGGTGAGAAATTCAGGAAGATACTCAAATCCTCCTCCCTCTCTCTAAAAGGGGGATGTCTGTCCTCTCAAAGGAAGCTTATTTCAAAAGGGAGATTGTCATTATTCAGAGGGGAAACTGGGCCCCTTATATACTACTCTAAATGTGGCTGTGTAACTATCTATTTAAGGAAATATGACTCATCCTGACTCATACTGAGTCATATTAAAGATGACTCATAGTGACTCAGACAGAAAATGATTCATAATGACTCATACTGAGTCATAGTTGAAATGTCTCATGATGACTTGTTCACTTCTCAAATATTCCCATCTATCAACTTTCTTCCTTCAGTTTCCTGACTAATCCATCTCATCTTACTAATCCATTTCATCTGACTAAGCCATTGATCACACATGAACTGTTGAAATGTTGAAATGCTACTGTAAATATGTTTCAGAACATACAGAAAAAATGTGAAGAATTTGTAAAAAAAAAAACACTCATAAGATTGTGAGAGAATGCTGACTAATGTGTTGTGGTATGTTTGGAACTTTATCTTTAGATTGGATCAGTGTTAATTGAATTATTATGTAGTATTATGGGTTTGTTATGTCTGAAAATTACTCAAATCAAATCATAATGTGTTATAGAAAATTCTCAGTAATTTCATAAAGTATGGTAGAGAACGTCAAAGCTAAAAAGTAGCCATGACCATGCACAAAACAAGTTTGGTGCGTGTCAGCATCGTATGAATGTACAAGGGCGATGGGATAGGATGTGTCATTGACATTACATGTAAAGAGGAATAGGAGCCGTGCAAAAAACACACCAGTCGTGGTGTTAACGATGATGCAGTCATATTGGGGAAGATTGTGGAATCTCAGGCTGCAACGGAGATAGTCTGTGGTCTGGCAGAAGTCAACTAGTGACTCATAGTTAACCTTGAGGAATCGAAACTCTATTATCTGCTCAGTATTAGTCATGTGTAAGCACCGACATTCAATGTGATAGACTTACTTCGTCAGAAGGTAACATGTTCACCTGCTGCAAGACAGTGGGCAAAGCATTTAAAAATGCATTGAGCTTGGTGCAAAACTGCCTGAAGGAAGGGTTGTCAATATGTCGTTCGTCGATTGCCTCAAGAGACTTTTTCGGTTGCCTCGATCCAAATCTGATATGGAAATTGGATGCGATGTTAGTATCCGGGCCAGTCTTGTCAACCTCGTCTTCATCCATCCGAGCATCATATGCAGCCAGTTCGTCTACTCAACCACGGATGAACTCAGAAACGAGAGACCAATGGTCTGCACGTAAAATCTGTATGTAATAACCTAGATTAAAACTAGAACCAATGATATTGAAAATAGGACGATGAACTTGTGGTGCTACATTTTTGAAATTGGTTTGTTGTTGATATGACTCCTTTAGAGGACCATGACACTTCTCATTTGGCTTTGTGTTGTAGTTGCGAGTTGCTCCCTTAGCCTCGATGTCGTTGAATAAGTGGGCAGCTAGATGGATCTTCAGGAATGACCAGTTTTTGTCTGGCCATAAAGCTTCAGACTTGCGGATGTATTTCTAACGAATCAATCTGAGAGTGAAAGGGCCATCAAGAAGTCTAATATGACATACATTCATTAGTTCCAAGAAAGATTGAAGGGCTTTGCGTCCTGCAGCTATCATTTTCGTGGTATGTACCTCCAATGCTGCATACAGGTCCACCTCGAGGTATGCATGGATACATCGAAGGAGAAGGTAAGCAATTTTACATTCGTCAGTGTTCGGAAGAATATCATGAGCTGCAAATACTATTAGCTGGTTCGGTAGTACATAGTCCTGTGAGTAGAAGACACTCGCACTTCGATAAAAAGATCATTTACCTTGAAAATGTCTTCGTATTTACTGCCATCAGTAAATGTTATAGCCATGACAGCATCAAAATGATTCATATTGCGCCAACGTGGCAGTGCATCAAAACTACGAGTGAGAAATGAGAACAAATTATGTTGTGAAACTTGACAAGTTTACTTCTGGTCAACTTTTACGGCGAAGTCACGTCCCAAAAGACCGATTAGTACTTGTAGCTCTGGCCACATGTGGTCCCCAAAGAGACCTCGGAGGACAATGTGAAGGCGGTCATAGCATAGTGCACGGTGCACATCAGTAGTCTTGCGATTCATCTTGTGAAATGTGTTCTAAATGTGAGATGGTTATTGCAATAGATCTAATCAAATCAAACACTATCATACATCAACATCGCGAATTGACTGTCCCTTGAGTATTGCCTCCCACTGTCCTTTGCGGTGCTCTGCCCTTGCCTTGATCAAAAGGTCATTCATTGCCTGGCATGTGCGAAGAGTATAGTTATGGGGCATGACAGAAGACAATTTGTCCTCGGGGATCAGACAGATTGGGCATGGAAAGTTGCTCATCACGCCTCGAGTGAGGGACATTACACTCCTGGACCACCAAAAAAGTTAGATAACATATCAATAAACTTAACAAATGAAACCTGACTGCTCCTCGTAGTCCGCGGATAGTATCAACACCAGTGTATAGAAGAGCCTCACAACATCGTCCCAGCAATTCGCCCAGTGGCCATGTTTCGAAGGCGGTATGATTGATGCAAGCACTTTCTTGAAGGCAGCATGCCATACAGCAACTTTGAAGTTAGCGAATTGTTGGGTACCTTTGTATTTCAGGTCGTCTTTGACCTATGGAGTGATGGTTAGCTCTTGATGCAAATCTGTGATGAACGGCCTTGAAACGTACCAGTGGGAGCCATCCAACCACTCGTCCCCCACCCACCCCATTTCTGTTTCTGATGGTGACAGGAAGGTTTGCTAGCCGAGCGATGACAGGATATCCCTTCTCGTGCCCAAATGATGATAGCTTCGACTTGTCAGCATACAGGATGAACGCCAACAGTTTTGCTTCTGGAGGGATCTGGGACTACATAATTTTCCTACACATCAATGGTATGTCATAGTATGACATGGAAATACGTACCTGGCATTCCCAAAATGCATCTGCGGTCCATGGCTCATCAATGAACCTAATAAATGAGTCTCCATCAAATTTCGATAGCTGCTGGGCATCAAAAATGCAATGAGGGCCAATGTCAGGGTGTTGCAAAATATCTACTCCCCAATCCCAAAGGGAGCGAAAATAAACTGTATATTCCATGTCATTGCCATCAAGTGGTACTGTAATAGTATCCTTTTCGAACTGAACTGATCAGATGACTTGTGACAACAAACATAGATAAGACTTACCGGCGTCAAGCGATGGGACGCTGCTTCCCATGTATTCCGAACATCGGCGTAATTTTTAAGAGTGAAGTCTTCGGTCCTACCATGCTGAACCAACTGGATGAGGCACGTCGTTTGTTCATGAGTGAGTACGGTCTCGTGCACCAACCCCGCAACCTCAAAGTCAAGTTGGCATCTGAATGGGAGCCAAGGGTGGCGATCTGGGCAGGGTGGCTCGTAGTGATGTTGTCGTGTGAAGTCAGAGAATGCTTCAATGCGCATTGTGATCCTCGCGTGCGGATGAAACTCAGTGCGGATATCATCCACACTGGTATGTTCAGGGACATTCTCGGGCTCAGAGCGATCTAAACAAGATCTCAGCACACTGTATACTGACCAACTGATAGCAACTCACCCGATAGCATGTCAACGTCGGCGTTATAATGGCCGACGTAGTCGTTGTCATGATCATAGCCATGGTCCTCGTTCCAGGCTTGTCCTTGTACGGCCAGGGCCAGCACAGCAACTGTAAAAAGTAGAGTTATATTAGCAGAATCATATTAGTATTGATCCGCTGACCTTGTACAGGCGGGATCGAAGCCCATAGCTCTCCATCTTCTTCTGACTCTCTTGCTCGTTGCTCGCAGGCTCTTTGGTGATGATCGAAGCCTTTGGGCTTGAAACTGCGTCCACAGGTATCACAGACTTTCTGTCTGTCATCTGGTACATATTGCAAATACGCAGACATGCTGCAGTGGTGCGCTGTGCAATGCTGGCAGGAGTTCGGGATGGTATACACGTAGAGTACTGGTAGAGTACAGTGAGAACAATACAAAAGATGTTGTTGGATGAAACTCACACGCGAGTGCAATGCGTTAATGAAAAACGTGTCCACGGACTGCGTCATAATAAGTCATTATGTGTCAGATGATAATACTAATGACTTACTACATAATCGCCACACAGTACATTGACGGCTCATTGTTCGATACCCTGTTGGCTTGCGAGTGCACTGAAATGCAGTGTGATTGTGATCATAGGTGTGAGGCGACTGAGAGAATCCTGAATCAGAGAATGAGCGAACAATGTCATAACAAGAGCAAGCAAACAGAGAATAGCGAGGAATAAATGAGCACATATTCACTGTTCCACTTACTGATGGCATTCAGATAAACTAATCAATCCTGGACCAGACATTGCAAGAATCATCTGAATTGATTACCGCCGTGTTCGCCACTTGAGAGCTGATGCATCAATAACCCGATAGAGGCGCGCTTATGTGTGACGACAAGTCTAATAAGGAATGGTAGCGGCACTAGGTACTGGAGTTAGAGGCTGGAGGACCAGGGATTATGGCGTGGATAGTATTTGTTGCATGTTGGCGGCTCAGAACAAGATCGATCAGCTGTGGCAGTGCGATTTCAATCAATTTGCAATCAATTGCGTTTTTGCCCTGTTATATTACATAAAATAGGCCATGCTTGCATTGGAACTGACTCAAATTCTGAAGTCTATATCAATATTATTAAAATATTATCATATCTACGTCGCATTTGCAAAACTTTGAGCTGTATTGCAATTAGGTCACGTGTATTGTAATGTCCAATTCAAGACTTATCTCAATCACCGGCTATTGCAATGAGGGTGGGAAATTTCCGACACATGCAGAATCATTCCAGAAGTAGAGCTGATCACGGTCAAATTGGCGGTCCAGCATGGGCTTACCCAAGCGAGCACCGCCACCGCGGCACATGAACCGCAACGTCAAAAAAGATGTGACCCCAGACAGCAACATTTCAAACCACAGATAGGCTCGGAAAATGCGCGAGAGGGCACCAGACGGGCTATGGACGCCATAGGCAGCAAAAATCGATGTTTTTGAGCTGCGAGAGAGCTCTGGATGGCTGCTGGATGGGGTGGAGGGTCCTGGGTGAGCACAATGCAAACCACCTGTGGGAGAATCCCGAGACGCTAACCGAGAGACTGCAAATTTCGCACATTAGGACCGTCAATTTTTCGTTTACACCCAGCTTCGGTCTTGGTGGCGACGCATCCTTCCCTCCTGCCAAAAAAACACGCTGCACGCTGATGTGCTGCAGATTGACAGTCCTCGTATTTACAGTCCCGGCTGGCTGCTATACCATACATGGTACTGCCACCACTGATGTATGCACACATACGCTACTAGTACTAGTGAGTACCTCCTCTTCTCGTTCAACTCCCGTCTCCTCCACACATAGCGGCTGTGCTTGTCAGCCTACTGATCTCAAATTATACTTCCAGCATCCTCATCGTCATGGGCATCAACGACCTGTGGGAGGCACATTCCCACTGTTCACTCGGCAGGTGCTGAAACTCACCCCATCATTTGTCAGGTGCTCGAGCCTGCCGCAACGACGGTGCCCCTCATCTCTCTCGCCATCCGGGGCCGATATGAGGGACCTGCCCCTCACTCGCCTTATATTGTAGGCGTGGATGCAAGGTTTGTGTTCGCTCGCTGTGTTCGATGGCAAACATTCTCACATTCTCATTTCTTGATTCTAGTGCATGGTTCAAACAATGCCAGCAGGGCAGGTGGCACCGTGCACATGCTCAGACAGGCCAGAATCCCGCCCTTCGAACATTTTTGAAATCAAATGGGGCCACAGAGTGTCTACCAACGACCATTGGATGGTCAAGCCCACCCAGCGCCTACTGAATGCATTCAACGTGCAGTGGATCATGGTGAGTTTTTTCTTTTTTTTCATTGTCATCTATATCAATCCTGGCTATCCAGACTGCCAGAGAAGCTGAGACACAGCTGGCACTGATGAATGGTGCCGGTGAAGGTACAACAATTCAGATGGTGAGTCTGAACAATGTTGGGTCTTGCAGAACCTAGCTGCTATTCGACCCTAAAGGGTTTCTGGACCAGGCTCAAGGCTCAGAGAAGAGGAAATATGATAGAAACTTGCTGAATACTCAGACTCATAGTAGAACTGGTGAAAAGGTAACTTGATTATGTAAGCTACAAAAGTGCAAACATAACACTAAGGTAAAAACAGTCTCTGCAAGCCCAGCCAGAAATGAATCCCTACACCGGTATTATTGATGCTGTCATGACAGATGACAGCGACTCATTTGTTTTTGGTGCTCAGACTGTCCTGCGCAAGTAAGATCTCTCATGTTCTCTTTCACATGCCCTGCTGACTCTTTTTAAGCTCGACATTTTCAATAGATTCGACTGTCAAATTGTATACAACGAGTGCCATTCAAGAGCACTCAGGAGCACGTTTCTTTATCATATCCCCCCGGACTCGTCACTTACTACATATCCCATCCATGCAGCGGCACACCATCAAATTTGCACTGTCTACCACTATATCCCTACCTAGCTGTTTCTACAGGTAACTTCAATCTCGCTCGGGCATTTGTCCAATAGTTTATGATTATAAACCATACATTCTCTTCTAATCTACTACTGTACACACAAGTATGCACTACATAATCTAATTGTCTTGTCTCCAACCCATGAACAGAGCGCTCAAGAGCTTCTCCAGCGCACCTGTAACCATTAACAGAGCACATCGGTACCTGGTGCAGGGATTTGGTGAGTCTTGGGGGCCGGACAGAGACGGCACATACGTATAATCATGAATGGAGTGCTCATGAGCTTCTCCAGCGCACCTGTAACCATTAACAGAGCATGTTGGTACCTGGTGCAGGGATTTGGTGAGTCTAGGGATCTGCACGGGTACGGGTAACCCGCACGGGTCACGGGTACGGTGTAGAGACTCATGCCTCTCATTGTGCAATATGGCAGTTTTCACTGGGGAGTACATGGCACGAACTTGTAGCATCACTCTGTGTGCTACCTGCAGCTATCTCTATATGAGGCGCAGCTTTCCCGCGCAATGCGCGCCATGCGCGCGTACCTTTCCCGCGCTTCACGATGTATATGCGCGCGCGCTTTCCCGCGCTTGAGCGCCCTATAGCGCCAGCCATCCGGAAGCATCCATCCACTGTCCACCAAGTTCCCTAGTGCGTATATTTCCATTTCTCACATTTGCTTATCGTTCCATCTTTATTTTTATCATGGACCCTTACTTACATATATCTTTACATACCTTACTCGGTAGCGCTTCGGCTCCGCATGACAGCGCTTAGGCACCATACTTAAGCGCCAGCAGTACATACTAACTTACTCTCCCACCAGAACGACAGAGGACTTACTGGTTACTACCCACTATTTACCTAGCAGAACATAGTAGAAATCTATTTGTTTACACCTCGCATCTCTCTTCTCTTGTCTTACATCATATCACCACTTAAGCAAACTCACTCTTACTCTCTCTCATATCTGTATACACGCGCACGCTTTCCCGCGCTTCGCGCCATACACGCGCGCATTCCCGCGCCTTGCGCGCACCTGCGCTTTCTTGCGCTTCGCATTGGCCAACCAGTAGCGCTTTCAGCGCATACCTCTAGATCCTTGCTGCACTCGCTTCCCCTTTAGGGTTGAACGCACTTGTCGTCTCAAGTATAGCAGACTAGGCAACGCGCGACCTTACAACAATTATAGATACAGTCAGGAGCATTGTTCGTGCCTTGCTGTATCGTTGAACCTTCAACGGGTACTACTGGGGTACGGGTACGGGTCAGGATTCTAAGACCCGCGCTCTTACCCATACCCCAGCTATACCCATGCCTTCCATAAACGCGATACTTCCCGCGTGCACGCTACAACCGGCACCACCACCAAGCACTCACCTGCTAACACACCACCACCAGCATCCTCGCATTCGGCAGCACTCGCTGCACCCCCCATGCCAATTCTTCCGGCACCCGTTCTAACGCCACTAAGCACGTCAACGGATGCCCTCAGCCAGCAACCACCACCACCATTCACACGTTCCTCGATGCCGGCACCACCACCACCATTGCTAGCAGCTCCCTTCCCACAGCAACAACCACCTCCATCCAGGATGCCACCAGCAGCTCCCACCTCGTGCTACCAACCGCCAGCATCGAGCATCTGTGCCCAGAGCACGCCAGCATTTGCTGGCGTGGCTCAGACACATACGGAGGATACGACGACGAGGAAAGAAGGGAAAGAGAAGGAAGTGAGAAGGAAAAGAGGAGGAACGAGAGGAGGAAGGAAGGATCTTGTCAGTAAGTCGCCGTCCTGACTCTGCCCCCATTTTCTGCAATGAGGATGTGACGCCCGACACGTCACACTCTCACGCCACCACACCACCATCTCCCATTTCGACATGCTCACCTTCGACTTCGATCATATGCGATGAAGGTTCAACGATACAGCGAGGCACGAACAATGCTCCTGACTGTATCTATAATGTTGTAAGGTCACGCGTTGCCTAGTCTGCTATACTTGAGACGACAAGTGCATTCGACCCTAAAGGGGAAGCGAGTGCAGCAAGGATCTAGAGGTATGTGCTGAAAGCGCTACTGGTTGGCCAATGCGAAGCGCGGGAAAGCGCAGGTGCACGCGAGGCGCGAGAATGCGCGTGTGTATGGCGCGAAGCGCGGGAAAGCGTGCACGTGTATACAGATACGAGAGAGAGTAAGAGTGAGTTTGCTTAAGTGATGATATGATGTAAGACAAGAGAAGAGAGATGTGAGGTGTAAACAAATAGATTTCTACTATGTTCTGCTAGGTAAATAGTGGGTAGTAACCAGTAAGTCCTCTGTCGTTCTGGTGGGAGAGTAAGTTAGTATGTACTGCTGGCGCTTAAGTATGGTGCCTAA